GTGAGTGAGTGGAGTGAGTGGAGTGAGTGAGTGGAGTGAGTGGAGTGAGTAAGTGGAGTGAGTGAGTGAGTGGAGTGAGTGAGTGGAGTGAGTGGAGTGAGTGAGTGGAGTGGAGTGAGTGGAGTGAGTGAGTGGAGTGGAGTGAGTGGAGTGGAGTGAGTGAGTGGAGTGAGTGGAGTGAGTGAGTGGAGTGAGTGAGTGGAGTGAGTGGAGTGAGTGGAGTTAGTGGAGAGAGTGAGTGGAGTGAGTGAGTGGAGTGAATGGGTGGAGTGAGTGAGTGGAGTGAGTGAGTGGAGTGAGTGAGTGAGTGGAGTGAGTGGAGTGAGTGAAGGAGACTATACTGTCCACAGGACAGCGCTGGAGTGCACACAGTCAAGCTCAGACCGCGACCTCTAAGTTGTGTGAGAGGAAGCAGAGCACCCTGACAAATGAGTTAGCATAATAATTAGCATTTCATTGGCGGACACGACGTTTTGGCCGCAACACAAGTGGCCTTCATCAGGTGAAGGGACCGTGCTGTCATGAGGACAGCGTTGGAGTGAAAACAGCCAAGCCTAGGTCTTGTCCTTTTAAGCTGTGTGGGAGGAAGCAAAACGCTTTGACAAAGGAATTAGCATAGAAATGAGCACGATATACGTAGGAGGTGTATGGGCCATGATGGACCAGGAGCGGGTGGGGACCATGACGGACCAGCAGCAGGGGGGGGGGGGAGTAGAGTGAGTGAGTGGAGTGAGTGGAGTGAGTGAATGAGTGGAGTGAGTGGAGTGAGTGAGTGGAGTGAGTGAGTGGAGTGAGTGAGTGGAGTGAGTGAGTGGAGTGAGTGGGGTGAGTGAGTGGAGTGAGTGGAGTGAGTGAGTGGAGTGAAGTGAGTGGAGTGAGTGAGTAAGTGGAGTGAGTGAGTGGAGTGGAGTGAGTGGAGTGAGTGAGTGGAGTGAGTGAGTGGAGTGAGTGAGTGGAGTGAGTGGAGTTAGGGGAGAGAGTGAGTGGAGTGAGTGAGTGGAGTGAATGGCTGGAGTGAGTGAGTGGAGTGAGTGAGTGGAGTGAGTGAGTGAGTGGAGTGAGTGAGTAGAGTGAGTGAGTGGAGTGAGTGGAGTGAGTGGAGTGAGTGAGTGGAGTGAGTGAGTGGAATGAGTGAGTAGAGTGAGTGAGTGGAATGAGTGAGTGGAGTGAGTGGAGTGAGTGGAGTGAGTGAGTGGAGTGAAGTGAGTGGAGTGAGTGAGTAAGTGGAGTGAGTGAGTGGAGTGGAGTGAGTGGAGTGAGTGAGTGGAGTGAGTGAGTGGAGTGAGTGAGTGGAGTGAGTGGAGTTAGGGGAGAGAGTGAGTGGAGTGAGTGAGTGGAGTGAATGGGTGGAGTGAGTGAGTGGAGTGAGTGAGTGGAGTGAGTGAGTGAGTAGAGTGAGTGAGTGGAGTGAGTGGAGTGAGTGAGTGGAGTGAGTGAGTGGAGTGAGTGAGTGGAATGAGTGAGTAGAGTGAGTGAGTGGAGTGAGTGAGTAGAGTGAGTGAGTGGAGTGAGTGAGTGGAGTGAGTGGAGTTAGTGGAGAGAGTGAGTGGAGTGAATGGGTAGAGTGAGTGAGTGGAGTGAGTGAGTTGAGTGAGTGGAGTGAGTGAAGGGGACCATACTGTCCAGAGGACAGCGCTGGAGTGCACACAGTCATGCTCAGACCGCGACCTCTAAGCTGTGTGAGAGGAAGCAGAGCGCCCTGACAAATGAATTAGCATAAAAATTAGCATTTCATTGGCGGACTTAGAATGAAGGACGATGTACTGGGGGGGAGCATGTGCAGACCGGCGAGTGGGAGAGGGGGGAGCCCACATATTTATGGTGTGAAAAGGGGGAATTTAAGCAGCTGCGAAAGTTTGGGATACCACTACTTAAAAAATATACTGTACCATTGAAAATTAGTTTAATGTTTGGTTTGATTCAGAACATCTTTCCAATGGTTGCTTAATTTTAAACCATCCTCTCGGTTGAAATTGTGTCTGTGATTGTAAATCTGAATTGCCTCGTGAACAAATCTCTGATAAAAACCCGTGGGTTTGCAAAGAACCTTGGTATCGGAGAAAATTATATGTGATCACCCACAGTGTTGTAACAGTGATCAGCTACGGAAGAAGAATTCGTTCTGCCGTGTTTCAAATCTGATTTGTGCTCGCGGATTCGGTCAGAGACATGTCGTTTCGTCTCCCCGATATAGCAGTCACCACAGGTGCAGATCAATTTGTAAACCCTGGGGTACTGTAAGTCAGGAATGACATCCTTCACGGATGGGATCAGATCACGAATTTTGTGTACTGTATTGAACCGGACCTGGATCTTGTGTTTGTTTAGAATTTTGGAAATCTTTTTAGTAACGCCTGCTATATATGGTAGTGTGATGGTTTTGATTGGAGTATCAAGTGGTTGTTTCTGTATGGAGGGAGAAACAGCTTGGCGGATGGTACGGTCAGAGTATCCATTCCTTTTTAGGGCCAGATGTACATGTTTTAATTCACTGGTCAGGTGGTGTTGGTCCGAAATGCAATGAGCCCTGTGGTATAACGTTTTGATGAGAGAATTATTTTGCGTCGGGTGGTGGTGGGAATCAGGTTTCAAGTAGGAATCTGTGTGGGTGGGTTTCCTGTAGACAGAATGTCCCAATGAGCCATCAGGTCTCCTCTCAAACAAAACATCCAAGAATGGCAGCTTGCCATCTTTCTCCACTTCCATGGTGAATTTGATGGTGGGGTGTCTATAATTAATGTGGTCTAGGAAAAGGTTCAAAGCCGGGAGGCCATGTGGCCAAATGACGAAAGTGTCGTCTACATATCTCTTCCACAGGGAAGATCTGAGGGTGGAAGTCTGGATGGCGTCCGATTCAAATTTCCTCATGAAAATATTGGCTATCACTGGTGACAAGGGGGATCCCATGGGGGTACCCTCATTTTGTTTGTAGAAGGAGCCATTCCAAGTAAAGTAGGCATTGTTGAGGCAGTGCCTAACCAGTGCAGGTGTATCGGGGTCTAGTCCATGTTGGACCAAATTTTCAATTATTTCAATGGTATCAGGTACTGGGACCTTGGTGAACAAAGAGACCACATCGAAGCTGACAAGGATATCGTCAGGGGACAGTACAACGTCTTTGACCATAGAGACCAATTGGGCTGAGTTAAGTACTGCTGAGGCGGTCTTGCCAGTGAAAGGCAGCAAGGTATCTGACAGAAAACAAGCTAGTCTATAGGTAGGGGAGTTGATCGTGGATACGATGGGTCGTAGTGGGTTGTCTTCTTTATGAATCTTGGGAAGACCATAGAATCTAGGGGGTCTTGCAGCAGAAGGTTTTAGGGAGGGACGTTTAGTTGGGTCGATTAGGGAAGTCGAACTTGTGATGATCTTGTTGGTTTTCATCGCTAGGCTATTAGTAGGGTCATTTTTTATTTTTGAGTAACTTCCATCGTTGAGCAGATTCTGGATTTTGTTGTTGTATGAATCTTTATCCATAATTACAGTAGCGTTGCTTTTATCGTCTGAGAGGATGACTATATCACTTCTGTTTTTAAACTCACGAGTTCAGAGCGTTCATTTCTGCTGATGTTACTAATGGGTTTCTTAGCATTCTTAATAGTGGCTATTTCAGCTCTCGCAACGTCTGCTTGGATGTGTCCTAGGCCTTTGAGGGCTACATCGACCTGAGAGATGATATCTTCTACTAGTATGTGTTTTGGGGTGACAGCAAAATTCAGCCCCCTAGCCAGTACTGTTTTCAGATTGTCCGAAATCGGGGTGCTACTCTGATTAATGACGATTTTGTTGACGTCTAGTTTTGTTTAATGTGGAACTGGGTTCTTCTTTGATAGGTGGTTGAATTTAGAAATCAGGTTAGCTTTACATTTGACTGACAGTGAATCAGCCGAAGAAGCAGTCATGTTGTCTACGTGATTCCAATCAGAAGGTGACATTTTTTGTGTTAACATTAAATGAGCTTGTAGGAGAGTCCTGTCACTCACTCCAATCACTCACTCACTCCACCCACTCACCTCACTCACTCCACTCACTCCACCCACTCCACCCACTCTCCACTCACTCCACCCACTCACTCCACTCTCCACTCACTCACTCCACCCACTCACTCATTCACTCCACCCACTCACTCCACTCCCCCCCCCGCCCCCTGCTGGTCCGTCATGGTCCCCACCCGCTCCTGGTCCATCATGGCCCATGCACCTCCTACGTACATCATGCTCATTTCGATACTAATTCCTTTGTCAAGCGTTTTGCTTCCTCCCACACAGCTTAAAGGACGCGACCTGGGCTTGGCTGTTTTCACTACAACGCTGTCCTCATGACAGCACGGTCCCTTCACCTGATGAAGGCCACTTGTGTTGTGGCCGAAACGTCGTGAATTTATTTATGTGACTTTACCAAATAGAACGAAAGAGTATGGATCCTTGCAGTCACGAAAGCTTTAAATCTAGAATCAAGCACTGACCTAGATATCATGGGTCGAATGATTACCACCCACTTACCTGAATACAGCATTGAGACTTGAGGCTTCCCTGGGTATACAATTATATATTTGTGCAGCCACAAGCAACATTGGGAATGTTAACACAACCGAGGCTGTCCCAGCCTGCTTGTAGTTTCATGGCAAACATTCAGCTGACAAAACGTTTTCTCCCTTCCGAAGGCTCAGTTCTGGCCAACACTGGCTCGTTCCATCAAATACATACTGTGGATTGGTCTATAAGACAAAGTGTGCTGGATTCTCAGCCAAGTAATCTACAGGCATCCCAGAGGAAAAGGCAAGGGATAGTGTTGCATTGAACTTGGTTGTATTGTACCATCGTTTATGTGCCTGATGCACCTGTTTACAAACTAGTTGGCGTTGAGATGTAAAATTACTGTTTTGAACAAATATGCACTTTTATACCAATTCCTAACAGTGCATCTTGACATGTCATACTTACAGAACATAAGTGCACCCAATTCAACTCACTTAATAATATAAGCTAGAGAAAAGCACATTTTTTTTAGAGTAATGTTTTATTATGCTCAATGACGAGAAAAATCACATTTTGCATTATTTAAGAGTACTATAAATAAACTTCATCAGGAACAAATATTTAAACTCCCCCCAATACCCACCAACATCAAAAACAACTTTATACAGTAAGAGCCACCAAAAGATAATAATCATAATTAGTGACATTATAAAAACTAGTCCAGTACAATATAAATGTGCATACCCAGTACAGTATTTAAAAAAATAACCTTAATAACTTTTGCGAAGCGGAAGAATGGAATACTAGACCATAGTATCATTTTGAAAATTAAGGGCAATTACGTCCAAAAATGCCCCATCAAAGGCCACGTGCCTGTGTGTGAGAGTTTAGTTAAAGCAACAGTTGCAGCCAATCTGTTAGAACTTTTTTACTTTTCAGTGAGAATTGTTTTATGGTCGCCATGTTTCTTGAAAAAAATAATCGCTGCAACTGGAGCAGCCCTCGGGGCAGGCCACCCCCCCCCCCCCCCCCCCCCGTGTGGCATTAAAAGAAGGTGACACCCCCGCTGGAGCCTCCCTCCAACCAGTCGCTCTTCCTCTGTCCCATCACCACGGTCTGGCCCTGCATGGACGCCATCTGAGCAGCATTGGGGGCGTAGCCAGGGGGAGGGGGCTGAACAATGAAGAGACACGAGCACTGGTTAGATGTGCTAAATAAAGTCACTTGCGCGACAAAAAAATAACCAGTAGCTGCGTTGGTGGGAAAATACGACTTTAAAGTGTCTTGCAGGAGGGCTAGTGACGTAGCATCACGATGTACAGGCTTGAGTGCGCGCCTGCACGTAATGTGAACGGCATTTGTCAACACTCGTGAAGGGTGGGACATCTTTGTGCACACAACATAGGTATGCATCTACGAGGTAATAGCGGTCCGTTTAGTTTGTATTCTTTCTCTGAACATGTAACCAAGACCCATCGCTAAGGTATACACAACAGCTGAGGAGATGCATTTGCTTGATGTCAATAGTGCCACTGATAATGTAATGCGATATAGCAGATGTTTTCTTATTTTAATTTCTTCTAAAAGTGATTATTTGTTTACATTTCTAACCAAGTGTGCTATCAAATAACTGATAATAAAAGTGTCAACACTATAATTTACCAACGACACCAAATTTTGTCATGATCAAGATTGCAAAATACATCTCTTACTATATCATTCTTTCCATGCCTGTTCTCTTTCTACTCTGAAATAAAAGGCTGTTTGCCTGGATCCTTTCTTTGTATTTTCTGCTTATATATTAGGTAAGAGTCTGTAATAATGGTACCAAAGGGAAAAGCTATGATTGCAGCTCGTCCTTACCGGAACATTGGGCATGGACCCACTGCCAAACCGGGCTCCAGCATCAAACGCATTGGGCACGAAGACAGTGCTGTTGCCATGCGCTGCAGCGGGTACCGGCTGATATTGGCAAGCAGCATATGGGGCAGCGGCAAACGGTGAATACATCGGAGGGGGGCCACCGGAAGTGGCGGGATGATTCCCGTAACCCATGGGGGAAGCTTGTGGTGGAGCAGCCTGTGACAGACAGACAGACAGTTGCACATTAGGTCGAGTAGATATGGGTTTCATGAACGAATGATGCACAATGTTTGCGTTTTTCTAAATTAATGCAAATGCACGTGAAATTATGCGTAAGTGGTGTTCACTTGTGAATTAAATCGATTGACATTAAAGATGTCTCTTAATCAAGTTACAGTCGAAGACCACACCTCTCTTTTTCAAAACGTTTAGAATACATGAACCAGGAGGCTAAATGTACAATGGTGCCAAAGATATATTTTAGTGTTGTGGTAGTGGAAGAGAGGTGATTTCCTCAAACCAACGGACATGACGAATGTCCCGTCAGTACGTTTTATCTTTTTATCTGTACGCTAACACATACACTACACATACTGTACATCGTATCGTACAGTCATCCCTCGTTATACGGCAACTAATACAGAATTTCACTATGTAATTTATCAATTGGGGAACGATTTCGATATAAGTTACGTTAAATTCGCATTCACGGAATGTTGAATTTCCAAATAATTATTTGGGGGGTGGGGAATCGAACTAGGCACCATTTGTCTTTGTCTTGCGTACATTTGTTGCATCTCCAAGTCGTTCTCAAAGTCGTTTTTGCATGTGTTTTGCACACTGTAGTGGTTTCTTGCACTCATCATGCCACCCAAACTTAGCTTGTTCTGGTAATGTGCAGTATTTTTTTATTTTGTGGTTTCTTGAGTAATATTCATATTATGATAAAATTATAGATTTTTTTTTCAATTAAATGTGTCCTTTATGAAGGTTTTCCATTGGAGCGCATCTCAATTTACATAATGGAAGAAAATGGGAAAATAGGGTTCAAGAAACAGAATTTTGCTTTCGTGGCAAACCTCAGGAACCCGTCTGTTGTGAATATTGACAGATGCCTATACATGTGTATATATGTTCAACTCTTTTCGCACCGTACCTAGCCAACCGTGCTAAATCGGAGGTGCTAATATATGCAATGAACATACACGCGTTTACTGCTTTTGTGTGTGGCAGGTGGGCGTGTTTGCTTACTGCGCTCACGCTGGAGTACGAGGGTGGCGGGTAGTACAGTCCCGGGGGTGCCGCGTTACCAGCGTACGCCATCGGTGGGGGCATCTGCTGCTGGGCAGGGTGGGCAGAGGCTGTCTGCACAGGGTAAGGACTGGCCGTCTGGGTTGGGTACGCAGGCCCTGCACAGGGAAAAATGCAATGGACTTTCATCGTCAGCTATCAAATGCTTAGGCAAAGTGTTGCATCGCAGGGCCACGAGAGGTCACGATGGCTTTGAAGAAGTCCTTTTTTTATTCAGCAGTGGATTGATCATGGCTGATGATGATCAATGCATGGCTTTCTGTTTTGGTGGTGATGCACAATTAAGATGAGGTATAATTTTAGCTGTAATAATATTAAATGTCAGGTAGAATTTTTACGTGTATTCAAATTTGGTAGAGTGGTGGCACGGTGGTTTGCGCACTGTGGCATGAACAGGGTACTCTCATCTTCTTTGGTTCTTTCGGTAAAGTCACGTAGAATGAGAATAAAATAATAAATTGATAAAATAAAATAACACACGCTCAGATCGCGACCTTTAAGCTAAAAGGTCGCGATCCGAGCATGGCTTTTTCGCTCCAGCGCTGTCCTCCAGACAGTCTCGTCCCTTCACCTGATGAAGGCCGCTTGTGTTGTGGCCGAAACGTCGTGAGAATATTATTGTGTTATTTTATTTTATGAATTTATTATTTTATTCTCATTCTGCGTGACTTTACCGAAAGAACCAAAGAAGATGAATCCTTGCAGTCACGAAAGCTTTAAATCGAAAGGGTACTCTCATGCTTAAAGTGGCGAGTACTCGGTGGCGAGTGCACGGAGCAGTGTGGTAAAGTATCATCAAAACAACCCTCATGATTGACAAATGGCTTGGAGGGTTTAATCCATTATTGGAGTTTATGGAATTTGAAAATATTATCGTAATTACGTAAAATAGTAAAGGATGCCAATAATAAGAACATGTTGTTGGACTGGTATTTTTATGCAGTTTCCTCCCCAAAGACTGCAATTTTTTGGCAGTCCGTTGCCGAGTATGGTTTGGTGATGAGTTCTTACGAGCGACACGTCTGCTTCTCGCATGCCATAGTCTGGAATGCATGTATGGAAAGTAAGAGGTGAAGATTGATAAATGTCGCTAAAGCAACTTTAACATGTGGAATTCACGATACATAATGCACCAGATTATCAGAATGACAAGTGCTCACATGTCACAAAAACATTCCAGATATCTAATATCATTAATTGGGGAATATTATCAAAACAATACTCAATTTCATCATGATGAGAATCTGGCCCAACGCTGTAAATCTCTGCTTGGATGAGCACCTTCTCCAACCCAGCCACTGAGCTGGGTTGTATATTATTCATGGTGCAATTTCCATGTGCACAAGGTGGCCTCGCTGTGAATGGCAATATTTGTCCGCGTGGACGTGTAATGCAGATCTATTATAGATGGAATTTTACAAATCTGCTTTTATCCTAGATGCTTTGCGTGCCACAGGATTTCACCGCGTCACCACAAGTGGCATTTGACTCGAGGCATTTGACAGACTGAGGCTAAACAAACCACACGCTGGGGGGGGGGGGGAAACATGTGAAAAAGAGCTTCATAGCTCATCAGATTCCCGCAGTCTAAATATTCATATCTCTTAAGCAACAGCGCCATGTGAGTTACATAGACAATGATCAAGGCCAGTCAGTCAGCAGAAATACACGTATGTAATATACAATGTGCCAACGTTTGTTCCAGCTGCGTAAATCCGGTCACGATGGCGAGATTCCAGATAAGGTCAACGCCAGTTTTTCGACGGCACACAGAGGCAAGGTGTCTATTGTGCATGAGGGGCTTTCAAAATACAAAAACATATTTTTGGCATTTTCGGGCAACAGATAAATAGATAAAAACATGCTCGACAATAAAAAACTGGACAACATGGACTTACCTACATTTGAAAAAAGTCACAACCCAAGATGTCACACTCCATAGTCTTGAATTATCAAAAAGTTTATACTAACCAGGGTAGATGGCAATATCCAGAACTGGAATGATCGTAAAAACAGCCTCGCACGTGCAACACGATATTGCTCCAAGAAATAAAAGCAGAAGATGCACTAGACTGCAGCCATGATCGAAACAAGGATCACCAAGATGACCATAATAGCGACAGAGATAATGGAGACTATTATAATCATGTATACTGATATACATTTGTTTAATTGAAATAATTTTAAGAGTCACAGCAAAGGACGCATGTACATGCAAGTAGGCTTGGTATATCTGGAGATTGTTGGCTTCACTTCATTGCTTAGCTTAAGGTATGAAGGGTTCATTTTCTAACTAAGGTGGGAAATAGGAAAAAGGTAACGGATTAAATAAAATAAAAAAAGAACAACGGACTGGACTCACACCCACCCACCCCTCCTGGGATCAGCCATAACCGTAAGATATATAGGGAGGCTAAAATGAACCCAAGAGCCCACCCCCCACTTCCTCCCCATTCCTTGTCCTCATTTCAAGTTTACAGCATGGGTGGCCCTGCAGTCGCTTGCACAAGACGGGGTTGTTGTTTATAACCTCCACGTTCATCAACAGCTTCAGGACCGTTTACAACTCTTGAGGGTTTTGATTTAAAGCTTTCGTGACTGCAGTAATTCATATTCTTAGTTTTTTCCGGTAAAGTCACGTTGAAGAGAAACAACAAAATATATATAAAACAATAAAAAATTCTCACGACGTTTCGACCATAACTCAAACGGTCATCATCAGGTGTGTCGGTTTGCATAAATTTATTTTGAAAACGGCATATTTATTTATATATATAAAAATAACGTTTGCGTCACGCGCAACGATGGCAGTTTGCCAGGACTAGTCCATCTATTTTTTGAAAAGAGGAGGGGGGAGACGAAATTTGTTTTTATGTATGCTGTCTGAAAGGCACTGTAAGCGTGAACAATCAATCATTGGAAAGATTTGATAAATCATTTCAGTTCTTGATTGATTGTTCACGCTTACAGTGCCTTTCAGACAGCATACATAAAAACAAATTTCGTCTCCCCCCTCCTCTTTTCAAAAAATAGATGGACTAGTCCTGGCAAACTGCCATCGTTGCGCGTGACGCAAACGTTATTTTTATATATATAAATAAATATGCCGTTTTCAAAATAAATTTATGCAAACCGACACACCTGATGATGACCGTTTGAGTTATGGTCGAAACGTCGTGAGAATTTTTTTATTGTTTTATATATATTTTGTTGTTTCTCTTCAACGTGACTTTACCGAAAAAACTAAGAATATAACTCTTGAGGGTGTTTGTTTTCAGCCGATGCGACTTATCATTCACTTGCGGAAGAGGGACATTCTTTGAAACCACGTGGTATTGCTTAAACTTTGGAATTACATAACATTGCTCCTCTATGTATTATAACCCGCGAATGTGCGCAACGTTGTGGGTTTATATCCTGGTCCAGAATACATGGTATCATACAGTTATTGTATACACGAGGTATAGCATATATTAACATAAATCCCACGTGAGTATAATTAGCATTATCCATAAGTTTTTGTCATATTGCGTAAGTGTGTCGTTGAAACGGCCACCACCCGACACAGCCAATTAGTAAGGTTTGTCACGTCAACAAAAGATACCAATTCGTTACTAATACAGCACACCGGTGTGTTGGAGAGTAAACCCAAGCGAATTGTAGATGTGGGTTTGTCTACAATTGAATCATTTGGCGGGACCCCAGGGTCCTACAAAAATCAGGTGAATAATAATAATTATTTTTCAGTCCGCCCACTCGTGATCCCGCAAGGACACCGCCTGTTGGTGCCAACAAGCGCCAGCAGGCGGCGATCGACACGATGGGCGCCACCCCACCGGCCAAACGCAAGCCCCGGGGGGCGTCCGCCGCAGTCGCGCGCGGCGACGACGCCCTCCGGTCAGCCGTCGATCCTCAGCTTCTTTGCCAAGGCGAGCCCGCCCCCGCAGTGAATTTAACGTGTTTATGTAATTTTTCTACTTTTTACGAAACTTAGTGCCCCGAGTAGCTCTCGACGAGGCCAATCGATTGACCAATAGTTGTGTTGTCGGTAAGGCAAGACTCGTGTCGCTACGCGGTTTTTCCCACCCCGGGGCAGTGATGGGACCCCGGGGTCCCGCCAATTGCTTCAATTAGTAGATAAACCTTACTAATTGGCCGTGTCGGGTGGTGGCGGTTTTAACGACACATTTACGCTCACCCCAAAAAACCTCTATGGATAATATTGGTCACGAAAGCCTACGTGTTATATTTAGTATTAGCATGGAAAATTTCATATTCAGACCCACGTCCACATCGATCACTGCGCCTGTGTACTTCTTATAGCACATCGCATGCATGTTCTCTATTTATTAACGTTATTGAATTGTATTTTTTAAAATATTACTTTAAACCTACTCTAACATCTTTGGGGTGACTCAATCATTGCGGGAACACCAGTGCATTATATTCGCGAGAGTTAAATGGTAAGATTTTATTTCGCTTTAAAGAAAATAGTTACAGTATTTCCAGGAAATAAATTATGGAATTGGATCACGTGCTTATCAAGGATGCCACTCCATCTGATAAAACTCCAGGCAGCCACCTGGCACGCATGATACATGGACAACCCCTTGAGTTTTCAAAAGGTTCACTAGGGTATACATTTACACGCTACCCAATGTATACTCACCCCTCGCAGCGATTACAGGCTAATATACAGGGTATATCTATATATGTGTGTCTCTTCCAAGACGTCTATCCAGCGTGGAAGAGTAGGCCAAAACACCTTCCCGCCATCGTGGCGTGAGAAAGCGATTGGGGGGGGGGTCTGCAACTTGGCCTTATATTCGTGTGCATGATGGCAGCAGCAGCAGCAATGTGTTCAGGAGCTCAATGCCAACGTCGAGGTCTGCTGCGAGCCACGAGAGGGCTTCAGGAGAGAGAGTTCGTGTAGTTTCGCTTTTCCTTCTCCTACAGTGGTCCCCGTAGTTTGGGTGGCATGGCCACAATCGCACCGCTGTGGCGCTGTATTTCATTCATTACACGCTTTTATTTAACTCGCTGTCTGTTGTATTTCCTCAACTCTGTCTGTTGTTGTTATCCTCAAATCTTGTAACTCAATTTTAACCCACTTCCCAATGTCGTATCGACTGCAAACTTGGTATACGTATGTCATACCGATGACAATATTATATTCTATCGTTAAAAATAAATATATTTTTAAGCAATCTTTTTTTATATATATATTACGTTTCGGCTTGGGTCTAATTGTCCACGCTCAACTCACGTTGGCTGTAAATCATCACGGTCCCCCCTTAGGTCAGTGGTTCTTAACCTTGTTGGAGGTACCGAACCCCACCAGTTTCATATGCGCATTCACCGAACCCCTCTTTAGTGAAAAATAAAATGTGATTTTTTTCAAATTCAAGACATAGATATGTTTTTTACTGGTACACAAAATGAGCCGTGCATGAACATTACCTTGTTCAAAGAATAAAACCAACACAATGCATAAACTCACAACAAATTACATACCTGGAAATCAATGTGACTTCTGCTGTTGCCTTTGAGAGATCAGTTCAGATATGCGTGGCTTCACCTTGGCAAGTGCCACTCTCATGTCATTTTCACAGCAAAGTCTGTTCCTTTTCTTCGTTTTTATGTCCAGCATCCTCGAAAAGGATTGCTCACAAAGATATGTTGTAACAAATGGTATAAAAAAATCCAGGGCTTTCTTAGCAATAACTGGATACTTGTTCATTTGTCGACACCAAAACGTTGAGAGCGTTGTTGTTCTGAAGAGTTGCTGTTGAACCTGGCTCTGCTGAATTTCAATGATTTCGTCGAGGAATTCATCATTGACATCTGCTGTTTAAACAGCAAACGTGAACGGCTGTCTCACCCATGCTGGATATGACTCTCTTGTAGGGAAATATCCGTCGAGAGACTTTGCAAGCTCATCTAAGTGCGTGGCAATTGTTTGCTTCAGTTCCGTGGATACAGAAATATCTCCGATTCCAGACACATCTTCGATCTTACTTGCACAGTCGTCCAGAAGCGGGAAGTTTGCGAAGTTATTGTTCTCTGTTCGTCGTTTCCATAACGGTAGCTTTTTTTGAAAAGCCTTCAGCTGCTCTTCCGCTTCCATGATATTGACTCCACCACCCTGCATCTGCTGATTGAGATGATTGAGAGCTGCGAATATATCAGCCATGTACGCTAAAATGAGAATGAACTCAGGATTTTTGAAGCAATCTGCATGGCAGTGTTGGTGCTCTTGCAAAAACAGGGCTAATTCCACACACATGGCAAAAACACGATTCAGCACCTGTCCCCGGGATAACCACCGAATATTAGAATGGAGCAGAAGTACCTCAAATTCAGAGCCCATTTCTTTACACAGCTCACTGAAGATGCGGTGCCTCAGAGCACTTTTTCGCACATAGTTCACACATTCCACCACAGTTTTTAATACTTCTGCCATTTTTGGAGGTAAGGTTTTTGTTGCCAACGCATGCCTGTGCAGAATACAATGCGTCACAATGATGTGTGGTGCATCGGCCTTTACTAGCGCACCAAAACCAGACTTTCTTCCCAGCATGACTGGAGCTCCGTCCGTACAAACTGCAGAAACCATATCCCATGAAAGATTGTTGTCTCTGAAGAAGTCATCCACAAGCTTCTTCACATCGGCTGCCTTCGTTGTTGTTGTAAGAGGCTTACAAAATAAAAACTCTTCTTTTATCATGTCGTCTTTCACATAGCGTACAAAAACAGCAAGCTGGCTTAGATCAGAAACGTCTGTGGTTTCGTCGAGTTGAAGGCTGAATTTTGCCGGGCTTGAAATCAGATCCGTGACTACTTGAGCCAAGATGTCTTTACTCATGTCTTCTATTCTGTCACTGACGGTGTCATTTGAAAGGGGAATTTGGGATAATTTACTTCGGCCGCTGTTCCGAGTATCAGATTCGCCATCTTTAATGCAGCTGGTTTCACAAGTGTTTCACCAATGGTGTGTGGCTTGCCCTGCTTTGCGATCAGGTAAGCAACTTCGTACGATGCTGTCAGGATCGGTTTGTTAACAGGTACAAATCCAAGAGCAGGCAGAGTGGCCCTTTCATCGAATCTGGCTCTCTTCACCCTGAATTCAGCAAGTGTTGTGTTCTTGTATTCCCCGTCTCCATGCAGCTTCAAGAAGTGTTCCTTTAGTTTTGCCGGTGCAAGACTAGAGTTGCTCAACTTGGCGTTGCAAATCATGCAGATAGGACGCTCACTCCCATCACGTTCCGTGATACATGAGAATCCATGTTGTACATATTCGTCCGACCACTTTCTTCTTTTGCCCGACATAGTTAGTATGGATAAAATATTAAAGAAATCACACGACGTACGACAACAACAGTCACACGTTGACTACTGAGTACGCACTAAATTCCCCGCAGCGCTGATTGGCCAAGCAGTGTAGCATGATCATCTGCAGCCAGTGATGGCCAAGCGGGCCGTGTGTGTCATCACAAATTTACACAATAATTCAAGTGTGTCCGGACCTCCGTGGCGGGGGCTCTGCCGAACCCCTGAGATCGACTCACCGAACCCCTGGGGTTCGATCGAACCCAGGTTAAGAACCACTGCCTTAGGTTGTGGCAAGCCTCGGGGCTACTTCCTGGAGTCGTGGAGTTCTGACGTTACTCGTACGGTACATTTAATTAAAGCGTGTTTTAAAAAAAGTATTCTAAATATTACTTATTTATAATTCATAATAAAGGTTTTTGGGTTAGATCGCGTTATTTATAAATGTGTCGTAACCCTCCACCACCCGGCACGGCCAATCCAATCAGCAAAAAAGCGTCACCTTGACAAGAGTTCACTACTTTATCCCACCGGTGTGTTGAAGAGTGAATCCACAACATCTACAGTTTGATTACTTACTTAGTTTACGTTCATTAAAGGAGATGGGCGCATCATGCCTGGCGATGTTCAGACGCAGACGATGGTTCGTTACACCGGTGTACCAACCGATTTCCATCCGTGTAACAAACGTACATGAAAAACCGCACTGATAGCAGTGCTTCAACACGAACAACATCTTAAGTTTCGCGAGATATCAAAGTGCGTATTATACCGGCTACAACATGAATGATAAGCGACAAAATCATGTAACATCGCCAACGATGTGTGGGGGAGGGAGGGGCGCGTGATTGGAATTCCACTAGGCCTCGGCAAGGTAAGGTCAAAGGTAAAAACAACGAGCCTACCTTTACCCTACCTTTTACCTTACCACAATACAATCACTCTACCCTACCTTTTACCCTTCAGCAGGTAAGGTAAAAGGTTAAAAGCAACGAGCCTACCTTTACCCGACCTTTTACCCTTACCCCATACAAATTACCCGATTACAGAGTAATTACTGGGGTACTACTACACATGAAAAAGGTTTATAACAGGTAAATGCTAGGTAGAGTGCTTAATTAATATAGAAAACTCTCGATTATTCCACTTTTACACGCTTGTTGTTGTCCTTGTTGTTGCATCCTCAAATCTTGTAACTCAATTGTAACCCACTTCCCAATGTGGTATCGACTGCAAACTTGGTAAACTTATCTCACACTGATGACAATACTATATTCTATCATACAAAATAAATATTTGTAAACATTATATTTTTTATACGTTATGTTTCGGCTTGGGTCTCTAATTGTCCACGCTCAACTCACGTTGGCTGTAAATCGCCCACGGCCCCCCTTACGTTGTGGCAAACTTCGGGGCCACTTCCTGGAGTCGTGGAGTTCTTCCATTACGAGTACATGTCATTAAAGCGTGGTTTTAAAAAAAAAAGGTTTTTTAAAAATATTACTTATTAAACGTAAGCCACGGAATGCGCCACGGAGCTTTTAGCGGTAAACAAGGCACCGGATTTACCGGGTTAATACTTCGCGCCACCTTTACCCTACCGGGTAATTCTTCCGAGCAACCTCTAACCCCACACTTTATTTACCTTACCCCCTTGGCATGTCGACACCTTGACCCTTTTACCCGGTTAAAAACAACAACAAAAAGGGGGTAAATTACTTTACCTCGCCGAGGCCTAAATCCCACCGAGAACGACAAGAACGGCGGATCACAAACTGAAGTTCACTGGGCGCCTTTGCTGACCGCCGTTCACAGGGGATGTGGACCATGGGCAGACGAGAAGCAGGCGATGGCCGAGACGAACGACGCCGTGACAGCCATGGGAATGGAATTTCGGGAACGCCACGGAGACAATAAGGTGCCCCCCGCCGAGAGACGAAGCGATGATCATTAACATCGGGCTCGTTGGCAGGTGCCCTGGATTGATTGTTACACCGAGAGACCGTGCGAGGCGTTGACGGGTCTGGGAGACCCGTTCATCCAGCAGTGGATAAGATAATAGCTGCCGACGATATCACTCACCTCGCTGCTTCTCTTCTTTCCCCTTCTCCGTCTTCTTCTTCCCGAAGAGCGGCATGATGCTGCAGAGGCTCACGACAAACACTGCCACCACAACACTGCCGCCGCCACCACCACCACCACAAGTGCGTACACGGAGCGAAGACACAAACACAGACACAAAACCCCACCACGACCTGGGCCGCTTTCAGCGCTTCACCACCACCACCACACACACAACGGGTGCCAACACTAACACGGGTGGGCCACAACTAGCACGCACACCAACAGGACTCGCAGACACACAACAAACACAACAACTACCAAGAACAAACAACAACAACAACCAGCGGCACCGCGAACTCAGTCCCAGCAACGAAGACGACCAGCGTCGCGATCACATTTCCTCCCACGCTTAAGCAAGCGGACCCGCCCCTCATTGGTCCAAAATTGTCCATTGCTGTGGGGGGGGGGGGGGGGGGGACACGCGCATCCCGCCAACCAATCAGCGCTCGGACAGTGTCGCGGGGCGTGCCAATGTGAACTGGGTAATGTAACTCTGAGCGGGGGGGGGGTGTTGTTTCCCGGTTGTGTGGGTTTCTGAAGGAATCGATTCTCGATTCTATACTGGGGAATCGATTTCAACTCACGATTCGGCTTCAAAACGTAACGTCTTTTATCTTTTGATTTAAAGCTTTCGTGACTGCAGTAATTCATATTCTTAGTTCTTTCGGTAAAGTCACGTTGAAGGGAAACAACAAAATAATACAATAAAAAACCGATAACATTCTCACGACGTTTCGATTGCAACACAAGCAATCATCATCAGGTGTGAAAACCACAGCCAAGCCACTGTGTTTGTGAATCGGGCATTATTGAGAGATAATTGTTCATGTTCCACGTGTGCATCAATTATCTGCTGCAGTTTAAGGGTTGTACCCATAAGGGGCCGTCCATAAATGACGTCACGCACCTGGGGGGGGGGGGAGTTCAGACATTTGTGACGATGTGTGACGAGGGTGGGGGGGGGGTGTGAGAAATGTGACGTCACATCAAAATGCGCAACTTTAAATAAATATAGACAACACGTTCTACTTAATTAAATTGACTTTTTAATAAATGTTTTCTCCTACAACATCAGAGTGCAGAGCCACATTAAATACGCACTACAATGACAATAGTTTAAAGCGATTTGAAGCATGTTTTATTTTCAAAATGGAAATATGGTTTTTTGGGGGGGGGGGCAGAGCTTTGTGACGTCATATTTGAGGGGGGAGTCTGACTCTTTGTGACGCCGTGTGACGAGGAGGGGGAGGGGGAGGTAAAAAATCGTACAAAATCGCGTGACGTCATTTATGGACAGCCCCTTAGCTTAGCAGAAGATCAAAGCCAGAAGGGAGCTTCTGCGTCGGGCCTTACACGAAGACGTCCGCGACTTCTACACGCCGGGTGATTAGATCACGGGGCGTTTTTGCGACATATCCTCGGCACCTAAATGTATTGATGGTCGGAACAAACGAGACGGTAGAGATGGGTACAGCACGGGAAAACCGCATCAAACGAGACGCGGCAGCCTTGGCGAGGCATTCGATTGGCCCACTCGAGGGCACTAGAACGCAGCAGACATTCTCGCAAACCCAAACACCTCTTGTATCCAATGGCATTCGAACAGCATAGTAACACCGGTTAGGGGCCGTCCATAAATGACGTCACGCACCTGGTGGGAGCGGGGGGGTCAGACATTTGTGACGATGTGTCACGAAGGCGGGGGGGGGGGGGAGTTTGAGAAATGTGACGTCACATCAAAATGCGCAACTTTCAATAAAAATAGATAAACAGGTTCTACTTAATTAAATAGACTTTTAAATAAATGTTTTCTGCTACAACATCAGAGTGCAGCGCCACATTAAATACGCACTACAATGACAATAGTTTAAAGCGATTTGAAGCATGTTTTATATATATATATATTTTTGGGGGGTGGCAGAGCTTTGTGACGTCATATTTGAGGGGGGGGGTCTGACTTTTTGTGACGCCGTGTGACTAGGGGGGGGGAGGGTCAAAAAATCGTCAAAAATCGAGGTGACGTCATTTATGGAGACACGTGCTCTCACAGAATCAGAATCTTTTATTTTGGACTGGAGGAATCCGATTAGCTGTGGGGCCTTTTTTTTGCACAGGTGTGCAGTATGGGCGGGTTAGCAAATTTGAATGCCAACGTGACACAGGGGTGGCCACCGGCCAATTTGGTGGTGGTTCTGGTGGAGTCCCCCACCCCACCCCCACCCCACCCCCACCCCACCCCCACCCCACCCCCACCCCACCCCCACCCCACCCCCACCCCGAGTGAAGGAGGGACTCGGTGAGTAATGCAGGAAAAGTCACGCAGGGGTGGAGCTAACCCCATCCGCCCGCCCATGAACCCACCCACACCGTGAATAATTGCTACTTCGTATACTTATTTAACGCAATCACACACTTTGTCGACGTAGTTTTGTCACAAGCGAGGGTGAATGTCGCCCGAGCTAGCCAGGAATGAGCCGAGGCGGCATCGGCTGGAGGTCAGGGACCGAGATTTGAGAGCGCAGTTCGGTGAGGAGTTGACAACAGCAGGGGCTGGAGAATAACCAACTTCTGGGAGAGTTGCGACAGCAGAAGGCGAGTCTGGCCACTACGGGTGACCTGCACAGTGCCAGGTACCCTGCTTCTTCTTGGTGTTTAAATTCCCGTTTCCTTTAAATACTTTTGTCGTGTAACCAAACCTATCGCCGTTTTAGCATCACGTTCATTTTTTTATACACACAGAATATCTAGAGAGAAAGGCCGTTCTACACTGCAGGGTGGTCCCAACGTCTTGTGACCCCCTAATTAATTGACCCCTTTCCTTTGCGTATTAATTTCTGCTTTAAATAAACTTTACCTTAAAAATAGAAAGTTTTAGAGGACTAAATAGGGGCACAAGACATCCGGACCACCCCATATGTATCGGCTCATTCACGGGCGTAGCTGCTTTGGGATATTTGGCCAAATTTTTTGTCCTCATCCATCCACTGTAATTTTTGTTTAAAAAAAATGTTTACTGATCGTTTTAATATTACTCACGCAAGAGGATGATGATTATACCCCCCCCCCCCCCCAAAAAAAAAGTGTGTAAAAAAACAGAGGTAATGCTCACATACCCATTCTTAATGTTACTTTCAGAGTCCTCCACGCTTGTCAGAAATTGAGTTACCTTGATTCTCTGTCAGAATCCGAGTTTAATCGCTGAACGTTACGAGTTTCCATGGTAAAACTATTTAAACAACATTACTCGATAATAGCTGTTCGATGTAAATGTAAAGCATTTCGACCAGCCCCCCCCCCCACCTCTGTTGGACATTGAGCTGAAAAGTCTGCAGAACTCTTACGCAGAAATTCCCACGCTTGGTACCCAGTCATGCGGCTGCCCTCGCGATCGATTCGCCAACCGTAATCAACATTTGTGATGGCATCGTGGAGTCCCGATTTGTGATGATGTGTGCATTGTTGCGTGTACGCTTCATTCTGAGGCGTTACAACAGCAGGGATGTTTCCCACGCTGCTGTGTGCGGATGTCGAGATGGTCACATTTACCCGTTATCGCGTTTCGTATCACGTTTCTCCTCAAACGAAGCGAAAATTATGATTTTTTTTTAAGCCAGCAGTCTAACATCAACACCACCTAAAATCATAATTCTCCGTGTTTATGCTATAGCATTGTGTCCCATTGCCATACATATACAAGCTGAAAGGAAATTTCCCCTGAGTTTGACACTTGATGAAACGAATGGCACAAGTCAAGAGTAAATGGTAATTTCAGGGGTTTTATGCAACTCCACTGCTGAGGGCCCAACTTTTCAAAGAAAACGTTGAGTGTGTATTTTGGTTCAGTGACAACTCATTCCTCAAATATTGAGCAAATCAGTGCTATTGTGAAAAGTAAACAGTTGACCTGTGGTGGAGAGACAGGTGCCTGTCGTAGGAATCTGGAGTTTCCACCAATGGCCCAACAAATGGAGGTGATCGCCTTCCAATTTCCTTTTAAAAAGGAGGATATTTTGGCTATTGCCTCATTATAATAATTATTGTAATGCCAATAAATTACTTGATACATTTTGTAAGAAAAGTATGAAAACAGTACAGTACACCCTGCAACTATGAACGATTTCTTTTTAAATCAAATACTGTGTGATGTCAACATTGGCATACAAATACCGTACTATTGCCATAATTTAAAGTTTTCGTTTTCAGTTGACAAAAATATATAATCAACTTTTGAACACTCGGCAAATTGAGTGACATTGTCAAGCCAGCACATGTTTAGTTTGAACCTTTTCCAACACTTTGATGTAGCTCAATGTTGATCCCCACAGTATTTGTGCATGCGTCTGGCCCATTATAGTGTCGAGCTACGTAAGTACATTTATACTGGTAGGAAACGTAGTGGACTGGAAGCCCAACCGGGATTAATTCACAGGAGGCAAGAGAGTAATTGTGTATGTCTGTGGATGTCTGTCCACGTGTATCCGGACACCCGGATATAAAACAAATGCGCTCCTAGTGGGCATTACTGATAGGAAACGTAGTGGACTGGAAGCCCAATCGGGATTAATTCACAGGAGGCAGGGGATTAATTGTTGTATATGTCTGTGGATGTCTGTTCACGTGTATCTGGACACCCGGATAAAATGGAAGGGATGGGCTGGGTGGAGAGGGGAGGGTGGGGAGGGGCTGGGTGGGGAGGGGAGGGTGGGGAGGGGCTGCGGAGGGTGGGGAGGGGAGGGTGGGGAGGGGCTGGGTGGGGAGGGTGGGGCTGGGTGGGGGGTGGGAGGGGTGGGGCTGGGTGGGAGGGGTGGGGCTGGGTGGGAGGGGTGGGGCTGGGTGGGAGGGGTGGGGCTGGGTGGGGAGGGGCTGGTCACCCCGTGGTGCCCTTATAAAACTCAACGTTTCACCTACTCACGCCGGCTTGTGCCCGCCCTCACAGTCGGGCATATTGTGTGGAACACACCACATGGTGCCGCCGTTGACCCTGGCCATTGACCGAGCAACCCAACGTTCCTACCAGCTCCCTCCGCAGGAATGTGTTTAAATAGGCAACAGCTTTGCTTGCGAGCATCAGAGGAGCCGACACAGGTACATCATTTCCTAATTTAAACAAAGGCTGTGGGGGTTCATTCATCGAGAAGGCCGATTTACAATTCGATGACATGAAGGCTCTTTAAATATCAGTGATTAAACAGACACCATTATTAAAATATATATTTTACTTCATAAAAAGGAGTGATAAAAATGAATGGCTAATTGTCTTAATTCAACCTGTGCTTCACATACGATAATTAACTCGGCAATGATTACACAAAGGTACACATGCAGCCATTTTGTCCATCCACGCTTGGATGAGGGGTTTTCTCACACTGTGGTCTTGGGGGTTATTTGATCATATTTCTTCATGACATTATGGTTTGGTAAGGGAGGTTTGCATATACTTGGACCATAGAAATATCTAGATTTGAAGCTTTCGTGACTGCAAGGATCCATACTCTTTGGTTCTATTCGGTAAAGTCACGTATAGAACCAAAGACCATAGAAATATCGTACAACAGTGGATTCTTCCGCTTGCAATGTAGCCCTCGCAGTAAGGTGTGAGTGATTTATTCAGATTGTGCCGCGTCTTCCTCTCGGACACGGCGGATGCAGGTCAGCCACCGTCGACGAAGCCACCTGCTGGTGGCCACGATTGTGGTCCATTGAGTGAAGTCCTGCACTTATGGCCAGCGGTGGAGTTCCCAACGAGAACCTCCCCACCTACAAGGTGGTGGTAGTGGGCGATGGTGGCGTGGGCAAGAGCGCGCTCACCATCCAATTCTTCCAAAAGATCTTTGTGCCGGACTACGACCCCACCATCGAGGACTCGTACATTAAGCACGCAGAGATTGACGGACAGTGGGCCATCCTGGACGGTACGCCATAGCGCCGCGTCACGTCTCGCCAACTGACAGACTACATTCACCTTGGTCAATTCTGAAGTGCTGTGGTTTTAGTCAATTATTTTGCCGTTGCTAGGTGTGCCACATCACATTTATACGTCTAATGAAACAATTACCTTCAAGTACCTCGCTTGTGTTAAGCATGTATTTTGACATGCATGAATGCACTAATTATATCGTTATGGCACCATGAAATTTTACTAAAACAAAAATAAATAAAAAACTTGAAATGCGAGACGTGGAAGTTAGAAGCCATTCCACAAAGAGAACCCTCTAGGTTAGGAAACATGGAAAACAAATCTCATTCAACCTCCCCCTCTGCATGACTTTGAATGCTCCAATTTCAGCACCCTTGACCAGCACAGATGTAAGTGAGGTGTAAGTAACCTGGAATGTTCCTTGCTCAGGGAAACTTGTGGAATGGTAGGTGTTGTCTTTGCTGTGGTGGACAGCGTCACAGGGCTGGTGTGGTTTGAAGGATGTTTTTCATGATGGTGGAAGTGCTCACTTCCTCACAACTGGAGGGTGTAAAGGGTCCACTTCCTGTCCTATCTCAGACTTTGCCGGTGGATGCTATCTGGGACAATAGCAGGAAACCTGTGATAATTCACGATTAGGTTTGTGCAAGTCTGTAAGAATTCATACAATGCAGAAGCTGCTTATACATGACACCCGTAGAGCCAGGTGTTAAAAAACAATGCCTTGTAAAAAAAAAGTCCAAAAGGCTAATATATTTGTGAATGAATTAACTGTTGCAGTCTGCTACACATATCAGAATTTGAGTGTGGCTGTTGTCTTTACGAGGCATGTAATTGTGCATTTATTAAAATCGATTCTTACACTCCTGATACATACAAACAATGGTGAGCGTGGGAATCAAATGTTTACAATTTACACAAATTACATGAAGTTGACATGCTGGTGGTACATTTATAATAATGGAGCGAACAGAGCTGTACAAAGGGGACAGGTAAGAGCAAGGAAACAAACGAGACAGTAAACGTAATCAATTCCATCAACAGGAGAGTCATAAATTACGAGCTCCACAATGAAGATCATAAGGCAGGAGTTCCATTCCAAAAGGTGTGGATGGTGTGGTTCAGTGACCAGTTAGAGGAGGGGAAAAAGGGGATATCTCTCAGGCCTCAGATCTAAAGCGGCATGATAAAGGGCCCAGGTGACCTCAAAGGGCCTCAACTGGCATTTTGCCACGGGCCTTTAAAAGATTCAATAGCCCCGAGACGGGCATGTGTGTGTATGCATCTGTTGTGAAGTGGCTCCATTCACAAAAAAATGCAGCACATTCGTCAATATAACATTGTGGCCTTAAAAGTAAAAAAAAACGTAACGTGACATTTTGGCCAATGGGCCTTCTTCATAGCCCATATATTATATATTCTTAGTTTTTTCGGTAAAGTCACGTTGAAGAGAAACAACAAAATAACAAAATATATATAAAACAATAAAAAATTCTCACGACGTTTCGACCATAACTCAAACGGTCATCATCAGGTGTGTCGGTTTGCATAAATTTATTTTGAAAACGGCATATTTATTTATATATATAAAAATAACGTTTGCGTCACGCGCAACGATTGGCTGTTTGCCAGGACTAGTCCATCTATTTTTTGAAAAGAGGAGGGGGGAGACGAAATTTGTTTTTATGTATGCTGTCTGAAAGCCACTGTAAGCGTGAACAATCAATCAAGAACTGAAATGATTTATCAAATCTTTCCAATGATTGCTAAGATAGAATCCATCTTCTTGGTTGAAATTGTCTCTGTGTTTGTATATGTGGATAGCCTCATGAACGAATCTCTCATGGAAGCCAGATGGCTTACAAAGAACCTCCGTCTTGGAAAAGTCAATGGCATGTGAGCCTACTGAATTAGAACAATGATCTGCTACGGCCGAGGTGTTGGTCCTACCGTGTTTAAGGTCTGCTTTATGTTCACGAATGCGGTCCGAGATATGGCGTTTGGTTTCTCCAATGTAACTACTACCACAGAGGCAACTTAGTTTGTAGACACCAGGGTATTGTATGTCCGGAATCACATCTTTTACAGACGGAACCAGATCACGGATTTTATGTAATGTGTTGAAACGGACCTGGATCTTGTGTTTATTCAAGATTTTGGAGATCTTTTTTGTGATCCCAGCAATGTAGGGTAAAGTGATGGTTTTGAAAGGCTCCTCAAGAGGGTTCTTCTTCATGGTTTGAGTGATAGCTTTGCGGATTGTATAGTCGGAGTAACCATTAGCCCTAAGAGCTTGGTGTACGTGCTTGAGTTCACTGCTTATGTGTTCCTGGTCGGATATGCATTGGGCTCTATGATACAGAGTCTTGATGAGAGAATTCTTCTGTGATGGATGGTGGTGGGAATCCGGTTTCAGATAAGCATCCGTATGGGTAGCTTTCCTGTAGACAGAGTGGCTCATTGAACCATCAGGTCTCTTTTCAAAACTAGCTTAGCTCTTATCTCAGAAAAAATCAGACTTATACGCACAGAACTAGATCAGTTAGACAAGACACTCTACAAATCACACTTATCATTGACGGCAATAATGTCCACATCGGATTGGGAACATGTAGACAATATGACTGCCTCTTCAGCTGCTACTATGTCGACCAAATGTAAGGAAAACCTGATTTCCAAATTTAACCTCCTATTCAACAAAAGACCGGACCCACACACCAAAAAGTTAGACGTTAATAAAATCGTAATTAATCGCAGTAACAGTTCTATTTCCGATGGTCTGAAATCCGTTTTAGCTAAAGGTCTAAACTTTGCAGTCACACCTAAACACATACCAGTTAATGATATAATTGCCCAAGTAGACGTTGCTCTCAGGGGCCTGGGTCACATCGCTGCAGACGTAGCAAGATCTGAAATCGCTGCAACCCTCAAAAACGCTAAGATGCCAGCTAGCAACCTCAGCAAAAATGAGCGTTTTGAATTATATAAATTAAAAAAGAGGAATGATATTGTAGTTCTCTCAGCTGACAAAGGCAATGCTACTGTTATCATGGATAAAATAGAATACAACAACAAAATTAAAGAATTACTCGACGATGGTAGTTATACAAAAATAAAAAGAGATCCCACCAACAGCCTCGTCACACAAACCAACAAAATAATTTCTGATTCAACCGCATTAATTGATCAATCTAAACAGTTTTCATTGAAACCTTCTGCTGCCAGGCCACCAAGATTATACGGCTTACCAAAAATACATAAAGTTGATACACCTCTTCGTCCCATAGTCTCTACTATCAGCTCCCCCACCTACAAACTAGCTCGTTTTTTGTCTGAAATCCTGCGTCCTTTCACTGGAAAGACCACCTCTGCGGTACAAAATTCTACTCACCTGGTATCAACAATCAAGGGTATTTCCCTGTCCCCAGACGACCTGCTTGTCAGTTTTGATGTAGTTTCCTTATTCACCAAGGTTCCTGTACCTGACACCATTGCAATCATTGAAGACTTGGTTCATCAAGGACTAAACACTGAGGTACCCCCCCTGGTGAGACACTGTTTAACCAATACATACTTCACTTGGAATGGAACTTTCTACAAACAAACTGAGGGCACCCCAATGGGCTCCCCCCTTTCTCCAGTTATAGCTAACATTTCAATGGAGAAATTTGAGACTGACGCCATCCAGACTGCCACTCTGCGCCCAACCTTATGGAAGAGGTACGTGGATGACACTTTTGTCATCTGGCCACATGGCCGGCCTGCTCTAGACCAATTCTTCGACCACATCAATTCCATACACCCAGCCATCAGATTTACCATGGAAGTCGAAATAGATGGCAAGATACCTTTTTTGGATGTCCTAATTAAAAAGAGACCTGATGGTTCAATGAGCCACTCTGTCTACAGGAAAGCTACCCATACGGATGCTTATCTGAAACCGGATTCCCACCACCATCCATCACAGAAGAATTCTCTCATCAAGACTCTGTATCATAGAGCCCAATGCATATCCGACCAGGAACACATAAGCAGTGAACTCAAGCACGTACACCAAGCTCTTAGGGCTAATGGTTACTCCGACTATACAATCCGCAAAGCTATCACTCAAACCATGAAGAAGAACCCTCTTGAGGAGCCTTTCAAAACCATCACTTTACCCTACATTGCTGGGATCACAAAAAAGATCTCCAAAATCTTGAATAAACACAAGATCCAGGTCCGTTTCAACACATTACATAAAATCCGTGATCTGGTTCCGTCTGTAAAAGATGTGATTCCGGACATACAATACCCTGGTGTCTACAAACTAAGTTGCCTCTGTGGTAGTAGTTACATTGGAGAAACCAAACGCCATATCTCGGACCGCATTCGTGAACATAAAGCAGACCTTAAACACGGTAGGACCAACACCTCGGCTGTAGCAGATCATTGTTCTAATTCAGTAGGCTCACATGCCATTGACTTTTCCAAGACGGAGGTTCTTTGTAAGCCATCTGGCTTCCATGAGAGATTCGTTCATGAGGCTATCCACATATACAAACACAGAGACAATTTCAACCGAGAAGATGGATTCTATCTTAGCAATCATTGGAAAGATTTGATAAATCATTTCAGTTCTTGATTGATTGTTCACGCTTACAGTGGCTTTCAGACAGCATACATAAAAACAAATTTCGTCTCCCCCCTCCTCTTTTCAAAAAATAGATGGACTAGTCCTGGCAAACAGCCAATCGTTGCGCGTGACGCAAACGTTATTTTTATATATATAAATAAATATGCCGTTTTCAAAATAAATTTATGCAAACCGACACACCTGATGATGACCGTTTGAGTTATGGTCGAAACGTCGTGAGAATTTTTTATTGTTTTATATATATTTTGTTATTTTGTTGTTTCTCTTCAACGTGACTTTACCGAAAAAACTAAGAATATGAATTACTGCAGTCACGAAAGCTTTAAATCAAAGCCCATATATTGTTTAGTGGAGTCCCTAAGTCCCATGTCACTAGTTCTTAGCATGGCACATGGCTCATCTCTCATTGCTTGCGACCTCTCTCTGGCAGTGCTGGACACAGCCGGGCAGGAGGAGTTCAGCGCCATGAGGGAGCAGTACATGCGCACGGGCGACGGTTTCCTCATCGTATACTCGGTGACGGATAAGGCGAGCTTCGAGCATGTGGAACGATTCCACCAGCTCATCCTGCGCGTCAAAGACAGGTGGGCATGCCCATGTCGTTAGGCATGCCTGGTCATTGCTGGTATAGGAAATGTGGAGATGAAAATATTTATTATTTAATTTCGCACTCAGCAGCCCATATCAATGGATAGGAAATAGTCTCATTTTGATAGCTTGAGTTCAGTGATATTTTGTAAGTGTTGAGCAACGCATTTCCAAAACCCTTTTGAACGCAGTACAAATTGTATACGATTGCAGTTGAATCAATGACGACCAAAGGCTTGATTCCTTATCATTATTTCACATTTACTTTCTCCAATCTTATTACATTTTAACATCTGCATAGTATATTTCATTGTTCTTGACGACATGCTGTCCTTCGTGCGAGTCGTCATTTGATTTTCGTAACACCTGTCTCTTTTCTCGTTGGATTGATCCTGGCTCAGAGAGTCATTTCCCATGGTCCTTGTGGCTAACAAGGTGGATCTGCTGCATCTAAGAAAAATCTCCACGGAGCAGGGCCAGGAGATGGCAAGCAAGTACGATGTAAGAACTCGTCACGAGTTGCCAAAAGGATTTGGGAGGCCTCGGTCAATGCAAGATGAGGCCCGCTCAGCCGTTTCTGAGGCTCCCTTGTACAGTGAGGGAAAAAAAGTAATTGATCCCCTGCTGATTTTGTACGTTTGCCCACTGACAAAAAAATGATTAGTCTATAATTTTAATGGTATGTTTATTTGAACAGTGAGAGACAGAATAACAACAACAAAAAACGGAAAAACGCATGTCAAAATTTTTATAAATTGATAGGCATTTTAATGAGGGAAATAAGTATTTGACCCCCTCTCAATCAGAAAGATTTCTGGCTCCCAGGTGTCTTTTATGCAGGTAACGAGCTGAGATTAGGAGCACACTCTTAAAGGGAGTGCTCCTAATTTCAGCTTGTTACCTGTATAAAAGACACCTGTCCCCAGAAGCAATCAATCAATTAGATTCCAAACTCTCCACCATGCCAAGACCAAAGAGCTCTCCAAAGATGGCAGGGACAAGATTGTAGACCTACACAAGGCTGGAATGGGCTACAAGACCATTGCCAAGCAGCTTTGTGAGAAGGTGACAACAGTTGGTGCGATTATTCGCAAATGGAAGAAACACAAAAGAACTGTCAATCTCCCTCGGCCTGGGGCTCCATGCAAGGTCTCACCTCGTGGAGTCGCAGTGATCATGAGAACGGTGAGGAATCAGCCCAGAACTACACGGGAGGATCTTGTCAATGATCTCAAGGCAGCTGGGAACATAGTCACCAAGAAAACAATTGGAAACACACTACGCCGTGAAGGACTGAAATCCTGCAGCGCCCGCAAGGTCCCCCTACTCAAGAAAGCACATATACATGCCCGTCTGAAGTTTGCCAATGAACATCTAAATGATTCAGAGGACAACTGGGTGAAAGTGTTGTGGTCAGATGAGACCAAAATGGAGCTCTTTGGCATCAACTCAACTCGCCGTGTTTGGAGGAGGAGGAATGCTGCCTATGACCCCAAGAACACCATCCCCACCGTCAAACATGGAGGTGGAAACATTATGCTTTGGGGGTGTTTTTCTGCTAAGGGGACAGGACAACTTCACCGCATCAAAGGGACGATGGACGGGGCCATGTACCGTCAAATCTTGGGTGAGAACCTTCTTCCCTCAGCCAGGGCATTGAAAATGGTTCGTGGATGGGTATTCCAGCATGACAATGACCCAAAACACACGGCCTAGGCAACAAAGGAGTGGCTCAAGAAGAAGCACATTAAGGTTCTGGAGTGGCCTAGCCAGTCTCCAGACCTTAATCCCATAGAAAATCTATGGAGGGAGCTGAAGGTTCGAGTTGCCAAACGTCAGCCTCGAAACCTTAATGACTTGGAGAAGATCTGCAAAGAGGAGTGGGACAAAATCCCTCCAGAGATGTGTGCAAACCTGGTGGCCAACTACAAGAAACGTCTGACCACTGTGATTGCCAACAAGGGTTTTGCCACCAAGTACTAAGTCACGTTTTGCAGAGGGGTCAAATACTTATTTCCCTCATTCAAATGCAAATCAATTTATAACATTTTTGACATGCATTTTTCTGGATTTTGTTGTTGTTTTTCTGTCTCTCACTGTTCAAATAAATCTACCATTAAAATTATAGACTAATCATTTCTTTGTCAGTGGGCAAACGTACAAAATCAGCAGGGGATCAAATACTTTTTCCCTCACTGTATCTGAGGCTCAGCGTAAACTGCCCTACCTGCCCCCCTACCTGCAGCCATACTTTTGATGTCTAGGAAAAAAAATATAATTTTTGGATGTATCGTTCTCTATTGGCAGATTCCATACATTGAGACAAGTGCCAAGGAACCTCCCTTAAATGTGGACAAGGCGTTTCACCAGCTGGTCAGAGTCATACGGTAAGGCTTCTGAATTCACAAGTGAGATTCATCACTATTATCAACATCAGTAATCCATTGCCAATATTGTGTTGGTGTTTTCCGATTAAACAATCATTATTTGACGAGTCTCTATAACCTGGTAATGATGGCAGAATAATTGCACATTCCCATACTTTGACCTCATCATTCCAATTATGAATGTAGAGTTGCAGCTCATGAAAGGTCTATCATCGGTAAAGTCACGTAGATGAAAAATAAAAATAATAATTAAAATAATACAATTAAATCACGACGTTTCGGGCGCAACATAAGCGTCCGTCATCAGGTGGGAAAGCATGGTCTGCTAAAAAAACAGTCTGCATCAGCCTGGTCTGCTAAAAAAACAGTCTGCATCAGCAGCAGATCACGCTTTCCCACCTGATGACGGACGCTTGTGTTGCGCCCGAAACGTCGTGATTTAATTTTGTTATTTTCATTTTATTATTTTCATTATTTTTATTTTTTATCTACGTGACTTTACCGAAAGAACCAAAGAGTATGGATCCTTGCAGTCACGAAAACTTCAAATGTAGAATTAGGTCTATCATCATCTAAATATTATTTTGTGCAAATTACATGCTCTCAGAGCACATATCATACATCAGTTAAACACGGTAACACAATTTAGAAGACACTTATTAAATTTATTTTAATTTCCTGGAAAAAATATATGAAATTATTGAATTCCTTGTTCATGTACTTCTCATAAAAACTAAGCTGAGCACCTGCTTTAGATGAGTCCCAAGGGAAAAAAAATCATATTTTATAAGTGGCTAGACAGGTTTGGAGCTACATCCCTCTCTGCACTGAACTCTGAAAACTGTTCACTGTACTGTGCGTGAATTGTCCAACTCAAACCATAACCCATTGTTTGCTCTCTATGTAATAGGCCATGTGCACCACCAAACCTATACTGGGTCACTCACCTCAACTTTGTAAACATTCATCTCTTTACACTTACACAGTGTTGGGTATCACGCTGTTCAAATGAGAATGCCACGGCTGACTACTGGCCTGCCCTGCCGTCCTCCCGCATGCCCCACAGGCAGCAGGTGCCTGAGCACGACTGCAAGAAGAAAAAGAAAGAGAAGTGGAGAAGGGAGCGAGTGAGAGGGTCCAGGATCAAGTGTGCCACGTCCTAGCGTGGCACCCATGGACAGCCGAGCCTCATTGCCACGCGACATCGCTAAGCTAATAATGCCACGCTGGTGGCCTTTGGAAAATTGCACTGCGGCGTGATGTGGGGGAAAAAAATTAGATGTTATTGCACTAGTAACCTGTACACGAGAGGACTGTCGATGCTGAAAATATATGGTGATGATGGCACTGTCCTGGGGGAACGGTCACACCCTTGCACGAGCTGCACCACCCTTGACAACACAGCAGCAGAGGTGTTGATGCCTGCAAGGTTCAGCATTTTTCGTTTTTCAAGAAATGCTTCACACCAACATTATGTAAACTCCTCCCCCCCCCCACCCCCACCGTGCCGGTTCAGTACATCATTTTATGCTAATTCCTTTGTCAAGGCGTTTTTTGTTTCCTCCCACGCAGCTTAAAGGACGCGACCTGGGCTTGGCTATCTTCACTCCAACGCTGTCCTCTGGACAGTCCGGTCCCTTCACCTGATGAAGGCCACTTGTGTTGTGGCCGAAAAGTCGTGATTTTTGTTATTTTATTTTTCACCTACGTGACTTTACCGAATAGAACCAAAGGGTATGGATCCTTGCAGTCACGAAAGCTTCAAATATAGAAATGCTTCAGTTGTCCACCCTAAGCCTCAATTTATGGATCCATCCGTGCAATCATGTGCTACGTTGTCGACAAGCGTTGAATCACACAAGTGGAGCCAGCAGGCAGTCATGCCGAGGTCGATTTGAATTTATCAGTCTATCCAGGCAAATCGTAAGTCACATGACGACATCGGTGCCAGGGGTGTGTCAAACCGTAACGTGCACGGAGCCGTGTCCAAATATGAAAGAACTGGTTTTGTTACTTGTGCGTAATAATTAGATTATTTTTTTATATTAAAACAGTAGAGTATTTTGTTGTTGGAACTGGAGAGACTTTGTTTTCCAAATAATGTAGGCGACCTATTGCTGTGACGAGTATTGTGAGGTTTACTTCACTCGCTGATGGTTAATTTTATTACCAGAAAAGCGGCAATAATTTGCATCCGTTGGTCATAATTACACAGCAAGTCGTGGTAATTATACAATCATTGAAATTTATTAGGAATATCCTAGAAAAACAGTAAATGCTACACGTAAATATTAATTTGTGTTGGATTTTTACATGTATTCTCATAACAGTGAAATACAATCTTTAACTGGTGTCTGTTGGTATGCAGTGATGCATTGACACCAAATGTTTACACAGTACTGTACTGATAAAATGTGCTTAATTATAGCACTATGGCAGGGTATGAAGTCATGAACACATGCCTATATTATATGGATATGGATCAATTTGGATTTCAGCGTTCTAGCAAGTGTTTTGCTTTGCCTAACGCACGCATGCATCGTTTTAAAAAAACTTTAACTATTGAAATCGTACACTTGCAACTGTGGAATATGCTCTATATATTCTCCTTTGGTAATAAGCGCCTATATCTTGCCCCCTCTTGTCACAAAGTATGGTATTTTATTCATATATTGTACAAGTTACTGAACTAAATGCAACTACTGGAGAGTATGAACATTTGCAATGACATTTAACTGACAATACATCACCAGCAGGGGTCGGCAGAGGGCAATAAGCAGTGGGTGGTCGTGCATCTCTATGGGCAGCATGTAACGATTCATAGTCCACCGGCTTGTCCGGCCTAAGCCTCCATTGAGTGCAACCTAATTGTATGGGATCACACTATCTCATACATATCACCTAAAATATCCGTTGTGGAGTCTGCCGCCAAGAAGAGAAGTTTGGGGTCACAGACTCAAACACGTTTTGGAACACGTTAACAATGTATGTCTCAAGAGTTCAGACGTGCTTTCAATAAACCTTAATTGGAAACGGGTGTGTGTTTTAGTAACGAAAGCCCGTGTGCACACACAAGCACAATCCAGGCTTAAATCTGCTTAGCTTCGGAGATTTGATGAGATCGGGTGCATTGTGCGGGTGATTCTGTGAGATGTATAATGTAGTAAATGTGGAGTGGGTCCAACTGAGTCGCAGACGTTCGTTTTAGAGGCAACATTTTTATTTGTAACACCGTAACACAAAGAGGTAACTGCCCCTTTGCCAGACTACAGCGAGTTACTGCTACGAGGGGTCGATCCCTCACTCGAGTCTCCGACCACGTGGTTGCCTCGTAAGACGGGGAGCTTCAGCTTGAGACGTAGAGCTTCCCGCTTGTAGATGTTGAGATTCCAGCTTGTAGAATGCAGCGACCCCGGTCCCTCTCAGGGACCCGCCTTATATCCCTCTCCGGTCGGGGCCGCTCCGCCCTCGGCCTCGCCCGCCTTCCCGAACATTCTCGTTCCCTCTCGATCCTTCTCAAGAGCTCTCTCTCCGGACACGTGATCACCCCCGAGTCCCCCCACCTGGGGCCCCCTGTATGGGCATTCCGGATCACGTGTCTACGGGGTCAACCAGAGTGCCATGGCCCGGGGCAACCCTGCCCCTGGCCTGACACTCACCCCCTCCCCCTCGGGGGAGCCCCCACCACACGCTGTGCGTGGTGCCCGCACTATCCCCGTGCTCACCAAGCCCCGCTAGGGCTGGTGTTACACACAGCCACCCACACGGTGCTGTCCACGCTAGGGCTGGTACTACACACAGCCACCCACACGGTGCTGTCCACGCTAGGGCTGGTGTTACACACAGCCACCCACACGGTGCTGTCCACGCTAGGGCTGGTGTTACACACAGCCACCCACATGGTGCTGTCCACGCTAGGGCTGGTGTTACACACAGCCACCCACACGGTGCTGTCCACGCTAGGGCTGGTGTTACACACAGCCACCCACACGGTGCTGTCCACGCTAGGGCTGGTGTTACACACAGCCACACACACGGTGCTGTCCACGCTAGGGCTGGTACTACACACAGCCACCCACACGGTGCTGTCCACGCTAGGGCTGGTGTTACACACAGCCACCCACACGGTGCTGTCCACGCTAGGGCTGATGTTACACACAGCCACCCACACGGTGCTGTCCACGCTAGGGCTGGTACTACACACAGCCACCCACACGGTGCTGTCCACGCTAGGGCTGGTGTTACACACAGCCACCCTCACGGTGCTGTCCACGCTAGGGCTGGTGTTACACACAGCCACCCACACGGTGCTGTCCACGCTAGGGCTGGTGTTACACACAGCCACCCTCACGGTGCTGTCCACGCTAGGGCTGGTGCTACACACAGCCACCCACACGGTGCTGTCCACACTAGGACTGGTGCTACACACAGCCATCCTCACGGTGCTGTCCACGCTAGGGCTGGTGTTACACACAGCCACCCACACGGTGCTGTCCACGCTAGGGCTGGTACTACACACAGCCACCCACACGGTGCTGTCCACGCTAGGGCTGGTACTACACACAGCCACCCACACGGTGCTGTCCACGCTAGGGCTGGTGTTACACACAGCCACCCTCACGGTGCTGTCCACGCTAGGGCTGGTGTTACACACAGCCACACACACGGTGCTGTCCACGCTAGGGCTGGTGTTACACACAGCCACCCTCACGGTGCTGTCCACGCTAGGGCTGGTGCTACACACAGCCACCCACACGGTGCTGTCCACACTAGGACTGGTGCTACACACAGCCATCCTCACGGTGCTGTCCACGCTAGGGCTGGTGTTACACACAGCCACCCACACGGTGCTGTCCACGCTAGGGCTGGTGTTACACACAGCCACCCTCACGGTGCTGTCCACGCTAGGGCTGGTGTTACACACAGCCACCCACACGGTGCTGTCCACGATGTAGGAACATCGAACGGCACGACCCTTTCGGGCTAGCACCATACAGTGACATCCCCGATGTCACTACAAATGCACAAATGTTCGATTTTTTTAAATTAAGATGATGGAACCTTGTTTCTATTGTGTTCCTATCTTGGAGCCATTTACCACCCTCCCTAAGATTCGACAATTCAGTGTTCATATTTTAAATCTCGCCTGAAGGTACAGCTTATACAAACAACGTATATAATTTAACTTGGCGGCACTGAGCGGTGTTTTAATTTAAATTATTTTAATCTCCGAACGTATCTTCAGCACAACTCCACAGTCTTGCGTATTAAGTAAGTTATATAATTTCCTTTAGTTCGTTCCAATTGGTTGTTATTACGCAGATTATACTGGTAGGAACGAAGTTGTAAACTGAGTGTACCAGCCTGCAATAGATTAATGTGTCCGTCCGTCCGTCCCCTTTCAATACTTTAACGAAGTGAAATCTCGTGCTGTTGGGTGTAAAATCAGCAATAGACAGCGCAGAAACTTGTCCTACCAGCCCACCCTGCAGGGACCTGTTGATCGTCTATGTTGTGTTCTAAAGTAACTGTAGATGAGGGTTGGATTGGTAAACATCTTTATAGTTCTTCATCCCGAAGGACACTATATAAATATATTGGATACAGTATTGTATATTTAAATGTTGGAATGGGTCTTAATTCAGCCAGTGCACTCCGAACACCCTCCCAGAAAATATTTCATGAAGAATTTAGCCCTGATTACTGCGTGCGAGAGTAAATATACGACAAAGCTAAAATAGGAATTCTACTTAATGAGCGGACGTTTTATGAATTATAATTCACAGCAATTCAGTCTTGACTTGGAACGCCTCCTTACAGTAAAAATACGATACAATTATTAAGGGCGAGGAGTGGTGACGCAGTGGTTCGCACACTGCGTTATGAATCTGACAACCAGAGTTCGATTCCTTATTTTTACTCTGGCCCCGTGGTTTAAAGTGCAGTCTACAACTCTTATTCTTGGTTCTTTCGATAAAGTCACGTAGAAGGGAAACAATAAAATAATAAAAATATTATTGTTCACTGTCTCTCCGGCCTCTATGAAGAAGGGCTATTTCCCGAAACGTCACCTCTGATTAATATATCATTGCAAGGCCAGTGTTATTGGCGGATGTTAGTTTTGAGTGCAATTCCGAGGAAGTGATGAATGGTACCTGGAACCGTTCCTGGGTCTCCCCCTACAGCAACCCACATTGGTCACCACGGTGAAGTATGGTCAAACATCCCCCACCATGCACACAGCAGTGGGTTGCCAAAGGAATACGAATAAAATAATTAATTTAAGTTGCAAACAATTGTGTTTAAAATTATTTCAACAAAACCTAATGCTTTTTCGCACAGCCAAAAGTCGCAAAATAAATTCATAATTATAAAATATGCATAGTATAGTGACATGCTACACTTTTCAGGTACCAATGATACACAAAATGACTGTTCCGTTAAAAAACAACATACAGCAGTAATAATTATACCACACGCAGTAAATGTACATAGTGTGTTCTGTGGGTGTAGTTTGGCATTGCACGCGGGAGGCCAGTCACGGTGTGAGCCCTGATGACTAACCGACGGGGAGAATATTGGACTATTGACTTCATACAGTAAAGTCACAGTGCCCGTGGGGTGACGTGGCTCTAACACGTGTCTCGGCTCACCTATTTTTCTTTATTACTGGATCCTCCACTTTAGTCGAGCTATGAGAAATTATTCTACTTAGACTCATTTAAAGCAACCACATTTCTCATTCACTGCGTTATAAATATATTTATATGCCTATATTTCTTCGGTCTTTCAGTAAAGCTACGTTATAGAAAAAATATATATCACGATTGTGATGTTTTTTATTATTTTTTCTATCTACGTGGCTTTACCGAAAGACCCAAAGAATATGAATTCCTGCAGTTACGAAAGCTTTAAGTCAATATATATGCCTGTAAATATGCCCCGGGTTTGCACGAGACAAGCTGTTATTTTATTGCCCTATTGATATTCCAATAATTTCGAAATATAATGAACAGTTCAGTACTTATTATTCGAGAGAGAAAAAACTCATTTGAAATCCAGTGCATCGTACTTTCACGATACTGTAATCATCCACGATGCCTGCTGGGTGAAGGCATCAGAATCATAATATGTACAGTGAGGGAAAAAAATATTTGATCCCCTGCTGATTTTGTACGTTTGCCCACTGACAAAGAAATGATCAGTCTATAATTTTAATGGTAGGTTTATTTGAACAGTGAGAGACAGAATAACAACAAAAAATCCAGAAAAACGCATGTCAAAAATGTTATAAATTGATTTGCATTTTAATGAGGGAAATAAGTATTTGACCCCTCTGCAAAACATGACTTAGTACTTGGTGGCAACACCCTTGTTGGCAATCACAGAGGTCAGGCGTTTCTTGTAGTTGGTCACCAGGTTTGCACACATCTCAGGAGGGATTTTGTCCCACGCCTCTTTGCAGATCTTCTCCAAGTCATTAAGGTTGCGAGGCTGACGTTTGGCAACTCGAACCTTCAGCTCCCTCCACAGATTTTCTATGGGATTAAGATCTGGAGACTGGCTAGGCGACTCCAGGACCTTAATGTGCTTCTTCTTGAGCCACTCCTTTGTTGCCTTGGCCATGTGTTTTGGGTCATTGTCATGCTGGAAAACCCATCCACGACTCATTTTCAATGCCCTGGCTGAGGGAAGGAGGTTCTCACCCAAGATTTGACGGTACATGGCCCCGTCCATCGTCCCTTTGATGCGGTGAAGTTGTCCTGTCCCCTTAGCAGAAAAACACCCCCAAAGCATAATGTTTCCACCTCCATGTTTGACGGTGGGGATGGTGTTCTTGGGGTCATAGGCAGCATTCCTCCTCCTCCAAACACGGCGAGTTGAGTTGATGCCAAAGAGCTCCATTTTGGTCTCATCTGACCACAACACTTTCACCCAGTTGTCCTCTGAATCGTTCAGATGTTCATTGGGAAACTTCAGACGGGCATGTATATGTGCTTTCTTGAGCAGGGGGACCTTGCGGGAGCTGCAGGATGTCAGTCCTTCACGGCATAGTGTGTTTCCAATTGTTTTCTTGTTGACTATGGTCCCAGCTGCCTTGAGATCATTAACAAGATCCTCCCGTGTAGTTCTGGGCTGATTCCTCACCGTTCTCATGATCATTGCAACTCCACGAGATGAGATCTTCCATGGAGTCCCAGGCCGAGGGAGATTGACAGTTCTGTCGTGTTTCTTCCATTTGCGAATAATCGCACCAACTATTGTCACCTTCTCACCAAGCTGCTTGGTCTTGTAGCCCATTCCAGCCTTGTGTAGGTCTACAATCTTGTCCCTGACATCCTTGGAGAGCTCTTTGGTCTTGGCATGGTGGAGAGTTTGGAATCTGATTGATTGATTGCTTGCTTCTGTGGACAGGTGTCTTTTATACAGGTAACAAGCTTAGATTAGGAGCACTCCCTTTAAGAGTGTGCTCCTAATCTCAGCTCGTTACCTGTATAAAAGACACCTAGGAGCCAGACATCTTTCTGATTGAGAGGGGGTCAAATACTTATTTCCCTCATTAAAATGCAAATCAATTTATAACATTTTTGACCTTCGTTTTTCTGGATTTTTGTTGTTGTTATTCTGTCTCTCACTGTTCAAATAAACATACCATTAAAATTATAGACTAATCATCAGCAGGGGATCAAATACTTTTTTCCCTCACTGTATTTATACTGGAAGAATCCAATGAGTTTTCAAGCTCTTTTTTATAGATGTCATGTGATTCAACAATTCATATAGCTTCTGCACACCAGCTAATTTCAGCGCTCCATCTCATATGAATGTCCTCTCGGCACTGTCCCTCCTTTGGCTGTCCTTCCATAGCCAGTCTCTATCACCTCCGCCATCCATCCTACCCAAGCCCACTTTTGCTGAACATTCAATATTACGTCTCTCGCTGAATCCCTGCCCTCAGATCCATGCATTCTGCTGTCCCTCGATGTAATTCCGAGGATGCATGCATGTGTTTTTGCCATGTACCTTATGTTTGCTTGTACACGTATCAACTTTTGTTCCATTTCTTCGTCAATGTCCATGTTTATGATTCATATATGGAGATAACAGGTAATATGTACTCATTGAAAACGTTCTCCATTCGCCACATTGGTATGTACAGCAATTGCTTTTCATGATCAAGCTCAGTTTCCCCAAATCAGCGTGTATATATATAGAGCATCAGGTTACCCAGAACTCATGCGTGGCGTGCACATCCACGTGTCGGGTGACAGACGGGACGCGCCAAAACGCCGTCCTGTCCGAGTTCACTCCAGCGCAGGAATCGCCAATCGCTGCTGCTCTTTTGCACAACTGTTGTATCTGCACTCACATGCGTGGCGGGGGGGGCATCTGGGTCGATGGGAATATCTCGAGGTAGGGGAGAGGATTGGATGGTTTGCGGTTAGGGGTAGGGCATGTTTGAGGGTTAGAATTGGGAGGTGTTCGGGGAGGGGAGGGGGGGAGATGCCGTGGGGAGTAAAAGGGACGGGTGCGGGGGGGGGTAACGAGGAGAAGAGGATAAACGGGCAGGCTTGTGTGAGAAGAGATGTTTGGTGGGAGAAATGGAAGGTTGGTGGGGGAAAATTAAGGAGCTGTGGAGAGATTGGTGGTGGGGGCAGATGGTAGGGGTGTGATGGGGGGGGGGGACATGGGATGGGGAGGCATGGGACGTGTGTTTGTGGGAGAGGAGTAGGGGGCATGGGCGGGGAAGTGTGGGGATGAGATGATGGGTGGGGGGCATTTAGAGTGGTGGGGGGCATGTGGGAGGGATTAGTTGGAGGTTAGTGGTGGGGCGGTGTGGAGGGCTGATGGGAGGTATGGGTGAGGCGATCAAGGTGGGGGATGAGATGCGTGGGTGGGGGGGTCATGAGATTGGTGGGGGGGGATGAGATGGGGGGGGTGATGAGATTGGTGGGGGTGGGGATGAGATGGGGGGGGTGGTGAGATGGGGGGGGGTGATGAGATGGGTGGGTGGTGAGATTGGTGGGGGGGGGGTGAGATGGGGGGGGGTGAGATTGGTGGGGGGGGGGTGAGATGGGGGGGTGAGATTGGTGGGGGTGAGATGGGGGGGGTGAGATGGGGGGGTGAGATGGGGAGGTGAGATGGGGGGGGTGAGATGGGGGGGGTGAGATGGGGGGGGGTGAGATGGGGGGGTGAGATGGGGGGGGGGGTGAGATGGAGGGGTGAGATGGGGGGGGTGAGATGGGGGGGGGGTGAGATGGGGGGGTGAGATGGGGGGGGTGAGATGGGTGGGGGGGTGAGATGGGGGGGGTGAGATGGGGGGGGGTGTGAGATGGACGTGAGACAGATGGGCTCTGTGAGTGGTGCCGTCACGTCCGGCGCCGCTCTGCGTGGCGCATGCGTAGACGGCGCTGTGGTGGTGGTGGCCGCGGAGGAGACGACGCAGCGCGAGTTACCGTCAGGCGCGCACCACCGCGGCGGATTCATCATCGTCCTGTTGCTGCTGCTCGTCTCGCCTCGCCTCCCCCCTCGTCTCTCGCCCTCTCATCGCAACCGCGCGGGGCACAGCTCCATCGCCGCGCCGCGAGCCAAGGACGAGCCCGGCTGAGCCCTGAAGACGCGGGAGGAGACCGCTTGGTTGAGGTGGAGGGAGAGATGAACTTCTTGCGACGGACCTTCACCAGAGGTCCGGTCCGTCCGCCGGGCCAGGGACCGGGCCACGGGCACGTGCAGGGCCATGTCCATGGGCACGGCCACGTGCAGGGCCATGTCCATGGGCACGGCCACGGGCACGGCCAGGGCAAGGCCGGCACCGTGGAGGCCGCGGCGCACATCCCCGCGGCTGGGGACGCGAGGGACCCCATCACTTGCCGGGTCTCGCTGCTCGACGGCTCCGACATCACCGTGGAGCTGCCGGTGCGAGTCCGCGTCCTCGCTCGCCTCGCCTCACCTCTTTACCTCTCTCCTCTCCTCCCTCCTGCCTCCCTACTCCCATACCCGACGATGACTGCTTCAACTTCTGTCTGCCGTAACGCATCTCTACAACATCAGCGACACTTGGAATCCATACGAGACGGTCACCTTCCCTCCGATGTCACTCTTCCTCCAGCACCTCATTAACGTCGTGCGCCTTTTACAGCAGCACATCATCCCTCAATCGACTGTCGTCGACTTCCTCTTTCCTTACCTCTTCGTTGACCTCAACCATGCCCACCTCCTGCAACTCCTCCAGCTTGTTATTTTTCGAGTATTTTTTTTACTTCACTCGCACCATTTCTTTATTCTCCAACACCTCTCGGCTCTCCACCATTTCCCCCTCTTTGTGCTCTTCAACATTCATCGTTACCACCTCCTTTCTCTTCTTCCTTATCCATCCAGTACCTCCTCCTCCTCCTTCCCCGGTTACTTGGCACACAGTGGGGGGGCACCTGGCCTTGTAGAGTCGTGGGGCCCTTCACGGTTATCTCTGGGATTCTGGGGATGATGGATGACCCACTCACTCTGCCCGTGTTTGAGGCCCTTGAAATGAAGGGGGGACCCCCCCCCCCACTTAGCCTGGGTCTCTGTTTCCCGCTGTTTCTCTACGCGTGGCCGGTATCTGCCGCACGGAATTTGGTTTTCACGCAACGAGAAGCGAATCTCGCCTTCGCAAGTGGCAGGTTGGCTGTGGTGGCGGCGGTTTTGGTTTTGGTATTGGCTCTGGTATTGGCTCAAAGCGTTTTGACCAAGTCCGTAGTATCTGCGTCCTGGGACTGTGACCTCTTGGGAGACGTGGCTGCCTGTGGCTGCCTGCGTCTTTGGCTCAGTTTGGCGGTAGCTATGAACGGAGGTGATTGGTGGTTGTTGTGGCATTTGCTTGTGGCTTTTGCTTGTGGCTTCTGCGTAAATGGTTGGTGCTTTCTGCTTCAATTGTGTGTTCGTGCCTCGTGCGTTTAGTTCTCAACCCGCTTATGGGCGAGGCGTTCAGATGCTGTACCGTTTTAGAGCCCACATAACTCTGTTACAGATGGAGATGCACGAAGCGCAAGCGATTGAGGGCTTCAGTCGTGGTTTATTTGTTTTAACACGCTCCACTGTCACCAGGCACCAGGAACGAAGTAATACTTGCATCGTTATTGCCATTTTTACTGCACCGGTGATGTCCTGTCATTTATTTGGCTAATTTTAAATGCAATCTTTTGTCAAGAAAAGTGGCAGCTGGACCGCATTTTTTTTTAGCGAGCAGCCAAATACAATGAAAAGCCATCGGGAAATATCTGGTTGCTTTGGCGAGGGAGAGCCGTGCAAACCATGCCCTCTGACTATCCAGGTTAATGAATAAAGTTACGTGTGTAAAGCAGCATGGGATAGTGATTATTATTTCTTGGCATGCCCACGCTCGACACGCTTGTTCCCCTGGAGTGTGTTGGCTCGAAGCTTCCTGCCACGGATCATTAGCATCATTTACCATGGCACCCAGTGATGTTTGCACGGTCCAAAGCTTCACCTTGTGACTTGCGGGGAACCACTTTGTTTTAAAGCACCTGGCGTGATAAATGTTGGCGTTTTGCACTTTTTTCATCTTTTGTATGTCTGTGGGGTATCCTGGACAAATCGGTGTTTGGGTTCACTGGTTACATTTGTCATGCAAAGCGATTTGCAGTGACATTTTTCCCCACAGTAGGCCACACCGTTTTATTTTGCGTGTGTCGTTTAAGCAAGCGTTAGTGACAGATTATTCCCTTTTCTGGTTTTGCACTTACGTAATTATAATCTGTTTAACAGGTTTTTCCAATACGAGTCGGCCTGGAATTCCCCAGGTGCTCCATCGGTGGGTGGGGGGGGGTGGGGCAGTGTAGTGAATGTTTCATTCGAAAGCACTTCGCGTTCAGACAAAACATGTTCGTCACATCTCACCTAGGTCTGGAAATTCCAGGTAGGCCACGTTTTTGCATAACAATTGGACTCGGCAACCAAACCTTGAAAACTGCCCCGAATTTTGTGCTGTTCGGCTGACAGATTGCAACTTGCAACCTACATGTGCATTGTTTTGGACTTTGGACAGTAACTGCTTTGACTGAGGTGCCCCTCCTTCGTGATTTAGGATGTCGTTAATCAGTAAATAGACATGCTAATGTAGAAAGACATTTTATTCTCTCAAAGCCTCTGTCACGTATAGTTTTGGGTGTTGCAAGAGTGCAACATCCGACATTGCAATACAATCACATGCATGTAACTTTATCATCTTCACAGAGGGTGTCCCGTAATTAAAGACCGTGTGCCAGATCTATTCATGACCTAGACACTTTGCTGTGACTCAATAGGCCACGGAAGTATTGCCTTCCCATCATGTTGCTGGTGTCAGGCTTTTTTTTTCCGGTATTATTTTTATGTTGACGAGAGAGTACAAAATGAAGAAATCTTAACGAACTTAGTTAAATGCAAGCACGTCATTGGAGGCTTTCATTCAAAACCTTACTTAAAAGTTTAAGAAAAAAAGGACATAGCGTGACTTTGTCTTTATTTATATCTGGCAGCATTCCATCTACGCCAAGCACGTGCAAGACTGGATTTAGCCAACCGTTACCATCTAGTCCTCAAACGAAACTTGTTGCTGCAAACCTCTTGCAGCGGCATCAACCATGAGCTTCGATAACATTTTAATATGAATACACCGCTGATCACATTGCATCCTGAAGCAGATACCGAGTTTACGCGGCCGCAACACTCATCTTGACTGGCTCACATCAGCACCGTTTTACCTTGTATGCGGAAAATGCAATCTGAGCTTATTATGTTCAAATCCATACCGAAATAAAGTCTATTATTCTGTAGTGCTGTGGGATTGCGCTAATCCCCTCCACGACTGGCTGAGCCAGTACTGTCACCCAGCGCGTTACTTGTCATCGTTCATATTAAACGCCACTTATGGAAGCGCTGCGTCGTGTACACGGTACTAGTGTAGGTGAAGGATAAATGATGAGTGTTTTGGGTGAAGTCTTACTTAGTCATCACCCCGCATTCTCGATGTGTAACCTTGTTATGGTTACTGTATTTGGCAAAATTGTGTTGTATGATTCTACTGAAATGTTAACAATATAAACTACTGTACTGTACTGCAAAGACCATTACGAATGAAGCATTCTAATTACGCACGCCTATATCAATATCGACGTGTATCCCAAGACTCAAATGAGTCAGATGGAAATTCCACACTACTGTTGCTCTATCTAGTTTATAGACCACTCGGTTGACTTATCACAAAGCAGTTTGCATTTAATTGGTTTGTGAGATTATAGGCTAAGTCAACCCCCAATTGAAATTTGCACTGACATCTAATCGTGAGTCCGACTTGTTGTCACATTGAAACCTGCCCGGGTATACCGTACTTGTATATCTCCATCTCTTTGTGGAAAAGTGTCTTTCGTGATGGTGTATTCCTGGCTCCGCTTGGATGTTGCTGCACATGTATTCCTAACCCAGATGGCAGAATGGAAAGCGCATGGTTATGGCCACTCTGAAGCGTTCTTTCTCATGAAGGTAGCATGTTGTCGTTGCGCAGAAAAAGGCGGTGGGCCAAGACCTCTTTGATCAAGTGATGTACCACCTGGACATCTTGGAGGTCGACTACTTTGGCCTGCAGTTCATGGACTCGGCACAAGTCTCCGTAAGGGAGCCTTTCACAATCTCATTCCAGTGTCAGCAGACACAATAATGGATTTTATTTTTTAACCTTCACAGAATATCCGTACCGATCTGCATTGGCAGTTGTTCGGTAAAACAAATATTTCATTCATGTTTTGACGTAATCTTTCTGGATCAGTTGGAGCATGTCTGCAATCCGTTATTTTTGAGGCGGGGATGGTAGACGCATGCATCATCATGTTCGATATACACCAACCTGTAGAAAGACAAGGTGCCTTTGAGAGATAGCACAGCAAGTAGATTGCTAATATCTTTGAAGGAGTTTTGATTGTTATCTTCTCGTGGGGATTTGCTCTAGAAATTCTGGTTTTCCCTGAAATGCAAATAAAATGCATTGGCAAGATGTTTCCTTCCAGAACCCTCCTAAACTAATTCTGGGACAAAGTGAGGCTTTTTGGGTAAAAAAAATAATTTAATTTTTATTTTATTATGACAGAAACATAACAGAATATTAACAATATGAAGTGCTTTAGTTATTGGCAATATTTAGAATTCTAATGTGTGCCTGTCATATTGGAATTTTTTTACAATTATGATTTGTTTTCATGCAGCACTGGCTGGATCACACCAAGAACATTCGGAAACAAGTAAAAAGTAAGGAATGTTACTGCTTTACCAAGCTGGTTTGGTTAATGGATGTTTGACAGTAGACCATTCAGCCACATAGATGTCCATTAACTACATTTATTGCACATGCATTTATTTACTTAAAATGTTATTGAAATATTTAGAGTTCATAAGTAGAAGTGCTATATTTAAATACATTCACAAAACACCCTTGAACTTTTAGAACGGCTAAAGGAAGGAAAGAGCCCAGGAGAGAGGTCTGCCGAGCTAACATTGCGCTGCGGTAACTTTACAACTTTGCCATTCACAATTCCGTGCTCTCTTCGCTGCATGCAGTCGGCCCTCCCTACTGCTTCCACATGCGTGTCAAGTTCTACTCCTCGGAGCCCAACAACCTGCATGAGGAACTCACCAGGTGCTCGCCTCAGTTTCCCTCATTTCGGGCGCACGTCTTTGAAGTGTCATGTTGGGCGATGGCAGCCAGACATGGTGCCGCCTCTCCCACTGCCCCCCTTTTCCTTACGCAGGAAATGAGGGCCATGCTTGCAGAACATGCACATGTGGTCTTTCATGCCGGTAAAACGGGAAGGGGCGGTCATCTTCGTTAAGACTCGAAGTTTTGGGGTGCTGTAAAAGGTTAGGCAACAAGATGCAGCGTTGTTACAATTTTTTATTGTCTTGTTGGACAATTTCCAGGCAGTCTTGTGACTATCCCCAAACCTAGGGGGTTTTTTAAAAAATAAGAATGTGTTAAAAAAACAACCCCATTGTGAGCACAGTTTAATGTGCACTGGGTTGCGTGTGTAGTGTTTGGCATGTCGAGTGCCGGCTGTGTAGCAGAGGCTGCCGTTGATGCGCATGAATGGTTTGTACAGCTTGTTGTTTTACTAGTCGAGGCTACACGTGATCAGAGCCTGGGTTCCTGCATTTGGAAGAACGTTGTTGAAAAGTTGAATTGTATAGTTGGATTTTATACATGTCTTGAAGCTGGAAGGCAAGTGTGCCATTGTTCTCAGAAAGACTTGTGCAAGATCAGATATTTTTGGTTTTTTCGAAACCATATGGGAGGTGTCAATCATATGCTCATTGCAAGTAATTGCGCAAGCGTTCCTGTTGACATACTCAACGCCTGCTGTAATAAAAGTGGGCTAAACTTCGCATGGCATACGTATTTTCCGTTTGAGTTTGCGTGCAGAGCTGAAACGTTGGTCAATGATTCATGTCATTTCGAGTTCTTGATCAATGCTTTAATTTTTCGGTGGTATTCTTGGTTCTTTCGGTAAAGTCATGTAGAAGGGAAACAATAAAATAATAAAAATATAAAACAATAAAATTCTCACGACGTTTCAACTGCAACACAAAATGTGGCGTTTTTTTTCATAACGAAAAAACCGCCACTTTTTTCAAATTTTCTTTCTGTGGTTTTCACATCTGATGATGATTGCTTGTGTTGCAGTCGAAACGTCGTGAGAATTGTATTTTTTATATTTTTATTATTTTATTGTTTCCCTTCTACGTGACTTTACCGAAAGAACCAAGAATATGAATCCCTGCAGTCACGAAAGCTTTAAATAAAAATTTGTTTGGTGGTAGTTCAAGAGCTCTTGGGGATGACAAAAAAAACGTGGCAGCCTGCATCACAAACATCAGGCCCTTCCTCATAAGTCTCTTTTCTGTTCTCTTCCAGGTACCTGTTTGTGCTCCAGCTCAAGCAGGACATTCTCTCTGGAAAGTAAGATTTAATTTTTTTTATCTTTATGTGCAAGGATGTGCTCCAGCCGTCCACAATGCTCGTGAACATCAAAAGCGTCCACTGTGAATGTTATATTGCACAGTTGCCGAGATGAGGTTCAGCCAGTGCACTTTGAGAGTCACTTGATATGAAGTGCTTGGAATTGCAGTTGGCTCCAAAAAATCCCTCTGCCATCTGTGGAGTGCCCTCGGTGTACCAGCCCTCGATTGCCAAAATCTGTGCACATTTCTTAGTTGATACTAGCCCCCTCTGCTACCACATTTTGCACTTGTAGTGCTGATTTCTGATGTTGTGGTATTTGTCTGCAGGCTAGAATGCCCCTTTGAAACAGCCGTGCAGTTGGCAACCTACAGTCTACAGGGTAAGTCGTGTGGAAAATGGTGTTTGGAAATATTTGGTAATTCTATGAAGCTAACTTGGCAATGAAAATGTCAAATTAAATTATATTGTTGCACCTCCGATTAGCAAGGTTGGCTACATACGGTGTGAAAGAAGTTCAACAAACATACATTGGCGGTTGATTTCCCTGTCTTAGAGCAATGGATATTCTGTGCTCTTATTTATTCTCTGGCTTTGTTTTTCTTTCTACATTTTGTCAAAACGAGTCCTTGGCCTTTTGTATAAAATATTGTAAAATCATATAATAACCTGAACCTGTATTTTATTGACACAAATTAACATTGAAGCAGACAATTGTAAGTTAATTGAACAGAGCAGAATTCATATAGCTGAGTGAATTGCCTAAAAAGATATTGAAGAGGTATTCTGGTCGTTTTTTTAAAGTGAATTGCCAACATTACATATACATTGATAAAATAGGGTGATGAAGTAAATTTGCATTTAGTACCTTGTTTTCATTGAATATAGGCTCTTTTTGCAATCAAATGTCTGGCTATATACACACATGGGCAATATTATGTAAACAGGGCAGTGTGTGCTGGTGAGTTGTGGATTGATAGCAGGATAAATAAAATACTTGGCCAGTATTTGTATTCGTTCACATACAGCCCTTTTATCAGTCCACTGAACAAGGGCTTTTCCCCATGCCACTTGGGGGTCACATGGGTTATTTAGAGCATACTTCACCATGCTGGTCAGCACATGTTATGTAGGCTGAGTACTGATCTACTGTCTAAATATGTTAAGGATATTTTACCAAAATCAACTGTAAGAGTTTCTGCATTCGTAAACAATGAATCCTGAAAGATAAGTGTCACATTCTCACAAGGAAGTTCACGTAAGTCAGTCCCATAATTTAGTTACCCTTTTGCTGTTAATCGAAGAGCATTCCGTTGAATAGTCCTCTACTAACATTTTTGCTGCCCATTCCTTGTCACTGTTGGAAATGTGCACCGTATACGTTTTTTGTGCAAATGGTCATCTGAGCGTGACGTCTGTGCTTCTAGGCAGGTTGGAGGAAGATTACAATAATCACATTGCATGCAGTGATTGTTGAATGCTGGCTAAATAGCTGATGGATTTTTCACGCTTTCAAGTTCACAAACAAACGGCGAAAGATGGTGATGGCTTTGGAAGGCTTTTATCCAGCAGTAAATAAATGTCGATGATGAATAAGACAAAACGATCCTGACAAAACGCCAGATTTTCCACTCAACTGGATTTGTGCAACTTGGTAATGTTAAGTCCCTCAAAGTGCTTCGGGCACAAGTACTTGTCTGCACATGAAGCAATGGGCTGCTTTTGTGGTTCGTTCACACATACCACAGGGCAAGAGCGAGTTGGTGTACGGGGTGTGTCTGCCGAAAAGATGTGAACAAAATAAAGGCTGCTACACCAATTTGTTGAGCAACTTCACCTGCAGCCCCTCTGCCAATCTGTATTAGATGGTTAAAAAAAATATTTGCTAATGATGTGTTGGCAGTGGTGCACAATGACATTTAATTTAAAACGATCAAAACGTTTGTCAATCGCAATGCCTTAATTGAAGGCCATTGCCTGAAAACATGAACTATGTGTATCTTTCTTTTTTCAAGGCAGTGTTATTTAGGAATGTGATTTTTTTTGTATTTAAATGGTTGTTTTTTTGGATATTTGTGGTCAGAAATCTTTGTGGCTTCTATCATCATCACTGTTTTAATTTTAAGCACAGTTTACGATTGTTAAAAGTGGCTTTTTACATTTGTATTGACTCTCTAGTCTTATCTCTGACTTTGCACTTGGAATTCTATATGCAGTGAACTGATACGAGAATTAATGTTTTAAAGTATGTTTACTTGTTCAGTAATGAAACGCTTAATTTTATGGAAAACCTGAAGATTTATTTCAGCCTTTCTTTGTAAATAATTCAATGGGAAAACTGGCTTCCATTGTAACTGTAAGATTATGTCCCCACATACATGTACTTTCAAGTGTACGTAGGAAGCTACTGCAAAACTAAACTTTTTATTTTACCAGGTAAGGCTCACTGCTGAGCTATATAGCTTTATCGGAAGCGACTTGGCCACACATGATAGCCCAATTAAGTAATTTATGATGTGTAAATATATAGCAGCCAAATACTCTGAACGCATATTTCTAAATGTGGAGGGAAAACCCAGGGGATCCAGAGAAAAATCCACGTAATCACGAGGAAAACATGCAAACTACAAATATACAGGCATCTGGGTTGGGATCAAACCCATGACCTGCATCCAACTGCATATATTTAACATCTCACCACTGCGGTGCCCTAAGTGTCAGTGTCCCAACATCAGTACTCTAAGCCATACACAATCCAAAGTGACAATTTTAGCTTACCACAGGTCTCCTCTTGATCATTTCAACTTAACATATGTACCTGATACAGTAGGTGGGCATCATCACTGGCAACACACAAATATCTGGGTGTTGTGGTTGCTGTACTTTCCCCCCCATCCTGTCATATCAGCTTTGATAGGTACCCACAATAATAGTACTATCTTGATTTGAAGCTTTCGTGACTGCAGGAAACCATACTCTTTGGTTCTTCCGGTAAAGTCACGTGGGTATAACGCCAAACAAGAAAGTATGGGCCGTCTTGCATGAGTACGTGCCACCTCTATCGACCCCATACTTATACACGCATGTGATTTTCACAGCGGAGCTGGGAGACTGTGATCCCGTGGAGCACAACCCTGCGCTGGTTTCAGAGTTTCGCTTCATCCCCAGCCAGTCGGAGGAGATGGAGGAAGCCATCCTGGAAAAGTGGAAGGATTGCAGGTGCTCGTCCTGTGCTTGTAGTGTCCTGTCACTGGGTGGTCATGATATGCAGCTGCTATGGCCAAAATAAACAAGACTACGAACCCTATTTTTGGCCCCTCGTATTTCCGTTCATGGTTTACAAGCTCACCTTCCTGAAAACAAATAAAACCACCTGTTATCACATTTGTAAGGGATGTATAGTTGAGCTGATCCAGCTTGTGTAAAGTATGTAACGTAAACAAAAAGGGATACATATAGGGAGTGTGAATATTTAGCTTTTATATTAAATTTTAATTTAAAAAAATAGATTTTTACATTCAAGTGAACACGACACAATTTACACTTTTTTGAGGACGATGCTGTAGGTGTATTCGGTGTAGTGCTTACAATGAACTCCAGTCTTTAGTTTTAACCGTGTTGGTTTTGTCGTAAACTTTATCATTTGACTTGGGTATGCATACAAGTCTTACGCTGAGCTCTCTGATGTAGAGCACTGTGATTCATGGCAGGGTATTGATAGGATGTGACGATATTGGCTGCTAGCTAAATAACTAGGCAATAAACGCCTTTCATGACAATAAAGGTACAGTACTGTGCCAGTAAAACGTACTTGAGGAAAGATTAACTGTTGAAACTGGCTAATACAGTGTAGAACTGTGTGTGTTTGTTGACGATGCCTAAAGTTTATATGCCTGCCATTTCTGCACAGGGGACAGACACCTGCACAGGCTGAGCTGAATTACCTGAACAAGGCAAAGTGGCTTGAAATGTATGGTGTGGACATGCACTCTGTAAAGGTACGTGGCGCAGTGGACGACATACGGTGCGAACGAAGTTCAACGTAATTAGTATCACAATCACGTTGTGGACTGCACATGGAGGTGACATTGCTTCGTGAAAAGTGCCCAATGTGTGCATTAACTGAGCAGCTCTCTTGACTTTTCTTTGCAGGGAAGGGATGGCAATGAATACTCGTTGGGGCTCACACCCACTGGGGTTTTGGTGTTTGAGGGAGAAAACAAAATTGGCCTCTTCTTCTGGTAAGACCACAACTCCCTTTAGTGCACGGCTATATCATATATTGAGCACAGTGTCACAGTTTTGTGAGTTTTGACGTCAGCTTTTACTGACGCAGACCATGCGATGTTTTTAAGGCCCAAAATTACGAGGTTGGACTTCAAGAGGACCAAGTTGACCTTGGTGGTCGTTGAGGATGATGATCAGGTAAGTGTTGCCTTGTAACCGATGAAGCGTAGAGAATTATCGGTGTCTCTCTCAGAATTTGTCAAGTGCCATGCATTCGCCATGTGCGGCCACCAGCCTCTTCACACAAAAACATCTGCCTTTCATCCTGCTGCCTCCTGGCTGGTTTCAGGCCAAGGAGCAGGAGCATACCTTTGTCTTCAGACTCGACCACCCGAAGGCATGCAAGCACCTGTGGAAGTGTGCGGTGGAGCATCATGCCTTCTTCCGATTGCGAGGCCCCTCGAAGACTAACGCCGACCCCAGCAGCTTTATCCGCATGGGATCACGGTTTCGCTTCAGGTGCGTGAATGTGCGAAAGGCTCGCGAGAAAACTCACTCGTGGTGATCCATTGCTGTCTGGTCTAGCATACGTTCTTGTTTTGAATCGGATATTTATACGTCATTACACAAGTGTGTTGATATCGAACACAGTCGTTCGATTTGAATATTTGCACCCTTCATTGAAAATACTTTATAGTTACACTTAAATGTAATGTACTTTTTTGCATGAAGTTGTAAATAATTTACAAAATGGCTAAGTACACAAGCACGCACCCAACTTTGTCTTGCACCATTCTCTAATGATATTGGAAATGTGTTCTATACATTGATTAAACCATTTTTTATGTACCTTTAAAATTAGCGTCACATTCATCTTAATTTCACAACATTTTGTAACTTTTGGCATCCATGTCTGTCACTTCAGTTGCATGATTGATTCAGATTGTGCCTGCTGAAATGTTCGTTATTCCAGACATGTGAGGCTCATGTTGTTTTGCTGTTGCTGCCAGTGGACGGACAGAGTTCCAGGCAACAAAAGTGAGTAAGGCACGGAGAACATCATCGTTTGAGCGCAGGCCAAGCAAGCGCTACACCAGGAGAGCCTCCTTCCAGAAAGGTAATGTGGGGTGTCTGTATAGCATTTGTCCATGTCAATATATAGCCATCATTTCTTGTGCTGTTTTTGACAGTCCCTTGTCTTGCCTTCAGCGTGCCTCCTTGCTCAAACGATCAATGGGGCAGCCCGCAACCAGCATCTGAAATTCCTAATTCCCATGGCAGGCGCCATTTTCTCCGTAGGTCAAAACTGTTGACTTAAATCAAGCCCGTAGGGATATTAAACTGAACCAACCTCTGACTGGAATTTGAACTTGTAATCTTCTGATGGCGAGTCAATTGCTCCAACCACTGCATCACCCACATCTTGCATTTACACATTTATTTCAGTGAAATATATCAATTATTCAGAATGTGTTTTCACATACTCAAATATAAATGTGAATCAAAGTTTTGGCTCATGGTTTTTTCATTGAAACGCCACATTTTCCAGTGTTAAAAATGGTAAACCTAATCTTATATTATTTACAGTTGTCTTCATATACAATATACTTCACTGCTGTACATATAAAACATTGTTTTCACTGCCTATTGTGTGCAGCATCAGTTGGACAAAGGAATTTGCCATCACTGTAAGTAATTTAAACCAAATGCTACTCGTATGGATTACATTGTTTCGTGAAATAGTATTGATGTGCACCTCCTGGATGTAAGCATGCCACGTGTTTGTCTTAGGGATCAATGTTGTGTACTGCAGGCATAGAAATGTCTTGCTTTGTTTTCACCTTGTCAGTAATGATGCACACGGGTGTATTTTGTTGTAATATCCTTGTGATAGTATGCTTGATTCATAATGTGATTTAATTCACTGGGTGGTTTATTTTTTTCTAACAGAAGCCCCGAAAAGAACCGTAATCAGCATACCCAGCAGGTAGGGTGTTTGCTCTTATTCTTTAATATCTGAATTTTTATTACATTTGAGGTGCCACTGTACGTACGCGTAACATAATGAGGACACATTGGCAACTAAAGGCTGTCGTGGTTGTCATTGTCATACCTGGTGGCCACATTTAATGTATTTAACTATTTAAATCGCAGTTTCAAAGAGTGACATACATCAGATGCATCAGTTTAACATGTAGGCTTTCGCAACCAGTATTATTCATAATAAAGGCTTTTGGGTTAGATCGAGTTAGTATAAATGTGTCACAGCTCTTCACCACCCGACACGGCCAATCAGTAAAAAAGGTGTCACGTTAATTAAACGCCAATTAGTTACTTCTTCAGCCCACCGGTGTGTTTGAAAAGTGAATCCACAACAGTTAGAATTTGAGTACGACGTTTCTCTTGATATTGACTCATCTCTTTAAATCTTCATCAATGGTAAATGCTTGGGTTGGTACATCTTAATAAACATTTGCTTTAATATTGTTCCCCATTTTAATGGTTTAATTCACAGTCACATTGATAACTTAGCTCACTGACCCCCGCCCTCCCGCCCCCCACCAAGTGACGAGACTCTTAAGGGTTTTAGATAGGCTAAATGCCAAAGCCATATTTTCTTCATTTGTTGATTTTCGCTACTTTTCGTTTGACATGTAGCCCTGGAACCGCCCTACCGTGCCCGTGGCAGCCCCCATCCCCTCGGGACACATACCCCTGGAGGTGGCACAGCTGCCTGCAAGCCCTGGGAGTCATGCGGCTGAGAGGAGGTGAGGCTCGGCAGGGCAGGGCCCCACCACTCGCGCTGCCAGGGTGCGGCGACATGAGGTTGGCGCTTGTGTGCGCACTGTATTAATTAAACAGGACGCATAACCCCCGCGGTAGCTACTGCCGTGGTGATCCAACTCCTGAATTTCCTCAGCAGCTTTGCCTCTTGTAAATTCCCAAGTTATATTAATTAATGTTGGTTGAGAATTATTTACAGTTCAGTGATTTCTTTAATTGGAACTCGATGCTTACAATTGGATGTATGATAGCTCCCACGTAAGGTCTTTGCACCCTTTGTTCAAACTTACTAAGAGCCTTTAGATGCATGGGTGCCTAACGCTTTCATGTCAATTCCATTCGCCTCATTCGATCTTATGACATTATTTATTGAGCGCTGATGGAGTAGTGGGTCACGTATGCTATGTTCTTTCCCCCCCATGTAGTTAGACTCTCCGTGCATGTTCATGATGCGCGGCTGTTTTTGTGTTGTGCATGTCGTGCTCTTATTTGCTTGGTTTTGCTCTGTGCGTCCAACCTGCCTTGTTGCTGTCACATAGACTGCTTACTGGTGCTGCTGGCAATGTGTGTACGATAATCCTGTCTGCCAACGTGCGTTCTCTCTTAAGCTATGGGGTGGTGGGATTCTCAAATGGTGCTGGGTGCTCGATCTTAATCACTGTGGTGGTGGTGGTGGTTTCTTTGTTTTTTTTTTATTCCTACTGATTACTGCATGGCTTGATTTCAAGACTGCCTTCATAACATGTTTATATCATACGCAAGGAATCAAACATTGCCTGTACCTACTACCTCTCCTGTTTGGGTTGTCTTAGCAGTAATCTTGAACATTGTAATAATTGCCATTTAATCACTCAGGAGTTTTTACTTTTTATTATTTGGGAAAACTGTAAACGATTTATAAACAAAAGAGACAAGAATCTAAGCAACTTTGGCAAGGCAGATTTTTCATCTCATGATTGTGACAGAATGTATTTCTGCGTCACACAGACCTGGTTCTGCAATGGATTATCAGATTTGTTTTTGGCTCTGGTGCATGGTGCACTGCTCAGTGAATGCACGGCTTGCTGCGATTTTTTGTTTTGTTTTTAAGGTTGCTTAGTGTGAGCCCCTTTTGCTTTCTTTGCCTTGGGGTATTTGAACACTTCCTGTGACCCGTAACTGTCGGCCACCTCTGTGTGACCCCTACATGCTTGCAGATGAATGCTGATCATGTTCCCGATCTGTGCATGTCTTTATAATTCTGGCCCAGTTCTTCCCTGACCACCTATTGTACCTTAACTAATGTTAAAAATAATGAGCACAGTAGAGTAACTGTGAAGCAATTCCCAAATGCTTCTTAATAAGTCTTGAGTTTCATGTTGCTACGTGTTTCGCTTGACTGAAAGGGAAAACAAAATCCTTCATTCTGGGGATTGTTAGAGGAGATGGTTTCAATGCTCTGTGTTAAATATCATCCCGGGCGCACGCAGATGCTTTTGTGCGACACCTATTTTATTTCTTTCTGATGCATTGTGTAAAATGCACAGAGAATCTGCTGAAGGTGGAGGAGGACGACTCACATTTTGCGAGCAAGTGGATGCGTTGATGGAAATCCGCACACATGGCTTTGCCTTTCCCCTAAATGCACACCTCTTGATTTTCCTGCTGAAGGAGGAGATTGTTTTACTTATTTATTTTCACTTGAATAGCCCTTTTGAAAAGTTCCTCTGCATTAGTTAATGGGCTCACGCTTAGATTTAGAATTATTTCTTACGTGGGACTGGAACTGCATTGCTGGCACAAATGCTTGACCTGCATGGAAATTAAGCAATGTGACATCTCTTAACACCTTTACTGCATGAACACGATGGTGCAATGATAGATTTTCTATGAAAAACTTCTCTTCACTTATGACGTGAAATTTCTGCATTTGGATGAATCTCTGCTCTCACTTACTGATTCTGCATGGGGACTCTCCCATCCCTTCCTATGGAATGCCTGATGCTGCTCTTCGACAAAAGCTTGCCTGCATTCACCGTATTTGGAAAACACGTGCTAATGTCCGGTTGTTGCCATTTCCTACAAAGCAGGTCAGACTTACCAGCCAGCCACAACGGTGGGAACCCCAGAAGGCCCTCGGGCGATGGGTACAACCAGGCTGTGCAGGAGAAGAACCTGAAAAATTGTGGCAGCACTGGGCCACCCCCACCCCACCAACCGCCATCATACCAGCAGCAGCGACAGCCGCCACCCTACCAGCAGCCACCACCCAGGCCCCATGCTACTGAGCTGTGATGGGACAACCGCCATCAACAACACTACATGAACATCTGTTCATTTTAATTGATTTTGTGTTTCTTAATAGCACCAATGTCACCGTTGGCCGACTGCTACATCAGAAGTTATCACATAGAACCCTGTATGTGTGTTGAAGTGGGGAAAATATTCTGCGTCTGAGAAAAATCAGCTGGCTGAAATGGCCTACATGGAAAAAAACCCACAACCATGTTTTTACCATCAATTTTCCGCGATTTTCAGGGTTTGGATGCATGCAACACTAAAAAAACATGCTACTGTATCCTTTCCAATCAGCCCAAGGGTCTGCCTTCTGATCCTTCAACAGCATCTATAGTCAAGTGTGCGGACGTCTTCACAAGGATGAAGGTCTACCAATGATAACTTAGTTGCCAACTCTTGGATTTTCAACACCCAGGCCAGACAATGGGTGAAAAAGGGAATATTTTTGATCGGCAGTTTTGGCAGTCTTACACTGATTGCACATGAGAATCCTCCTATCTGAAAACGTTGCTACCCTCCGATTTTTTAAACGTTCAATTTGTGACCTGCAAGATAGCTAAAACACCAAGATCTTCAGCTATGTTTTATATTTACTGGGCAGTAAACATTAGTCTTGTCACTAATACCACGATGCAAGTTGTACTCGGTTATCTCAGTCGCTCCATGTGACTTGTAATTCAGGGCACTGCACTGCAATGCACCCCGCAGCTCTATTTGCATACGGGAGAGTGGGGTCCTGTGTGCGTAGGGGCAGCCTCGCCACACGGTACGATGGGGTTGTAAAATTCGGCTGGGACGATGGTTCCAGGCACTCGCGTCGTCGGCACCAAGGCCACGCGAGGCTATGCCAGAAGCACTGCTGGTTACACTGAGTGCAAGCGGGGGGGGGGGGGGGGCCTGTTTGGATACCGGGGCTTCGGATATGAGGTGTTCTACTGTGCTTGAAAGCATGCCTTTGTGCGCCCATGCCGCATGTTCATGGGTGGCCCGGGGATGTAATTGCCGCCCCATTTCACTGTGAAACCCTTCTCCCCAAATTGGTCACACAACCAGGATGGGAACTGGGGCCATTAAAGGGAGTGTGCCCTTTCCACGGGTCCCTTTGTGCACCACCCTCTTTAATATTCCCTGTGTACGTCGCTGCTCATGTGGGCATAATGAGATATTTGATGCTGTGTGGCCACGCGACACCTAAAAGATTTTGGTTTACAAAATGACATTATTTATCAAATTGTACATTCGCCGGCATCTGCGTTGTGTGGTGGTGTTGGCAGTGTGGTGGTGGTCACGCTTGCACTTAGTTGTGGTCCATCGACTTTTAAAAGCATGTTGAATCGAGTGCTGGTACGTTAATGTAGTTCAGCTATAAAATGTTGTGGCACGCCGATAATAGGTCCTGTCTGGACGAACGTGTAATGCCTAAAACTCTCTTGGTAATGTTTTTTTTCATAAATCACATTAACCGTGTACACCTTACCAAATACAGATGCTGACATTAAACAAAAACCAAAAGTAGCTGGAAGAATTTAGATTTCAGAGTGGGATGTTTTACAAATGGGTGCGGGTAGCTAGTGTTTACATTGCTGTAGGATACAAGTAAATGACCTCACGCTCAGCTTGATGAGAGTGTACAGGTATGCACAGCACTAGTGACACAACGACAACGAATGATTCGGCACAATTGCAGGGCCAATGTCCACTCAATTGTAAAATGAGGTAAGTGCCTTAAGTTTAACGATAATTGAAAGAAAATAAAATCAGTTTTACAATGTTTATTAGTTTTGCAATTAATTATTAATACAAGAGACATCAACACGGAAATATGGGGTTTAATGCTTGATGAGCTGCTTGCATTTAACACTTTTTAAAACCCCGAGTTCCGTGTTGCCAAGTAGGAACACTGCGTGCCGCTTGTATTTTAGAACGAGAATTGACACTGGCAACAAAGGCCAACAGAGGGACAGAGTTGTGCTTTGGCACTTTTAACATCAATTTTATATTAAAAGTTCTACGGAAGTGTTTCGAGGTAAATCCTAATCAACTACAAGACCGTAGTCTGATTTCCAAAATAATATTTTACTATTCAAGATTAATTTACCGTTGTGTGTTTTATGCAGCAGTGTTTGAGTTAATTGAGGGTGGGGGGAAACTGCACTTTATTTGTTAAGGAATGTGTATAGTTATTTGCCAATCCGATTTTTTTCTGTAAGTAGATTTTTATTGACTCCATGATTTCTCATGATCCATGAAAGTGATGTCATTTGTAGAATTGGTTGTAGCTAGGTTTTCATTCTGCATGCATTTTGCTTGTGTTTTCATTAACTGGGTGGGACATGGAGTGACACTCGGTGAAGACGTTTCAATGCCACGGCCGCATATTGATGTATGTCTTGCGTGGTTAGCACATGCTTGGTTCGTGCCAGATTGAAAAGAGAGCGCCACACCAAGACATCGTAACTCTGCCATGTTTGACATCATTGTTTACCTCCCATATTGTGTCATTGTCCGTTTTGTGAGAGTGGTGTGTAATGTTTGAAAACGTTTTCACTTGCCCAGTGGGATGTGCATTTTGAGATCTGTGCCTAAACTTAGTGTATGCATTCCACTTGCTTACGATCGTAAATGATCTTTCTGCAGCAGTAGCACTTGGTCCTTAAAATGTTTTGCGTCCATTTCTGCACACCAGCTGGCTGCGCTAAACTCGGTGGAGGGCTGGGCGAACGGGTTTGGTATAATTACGCGACTTGATTTTCCTGCCCAAACTGGGCTATTTGGACTTCAAGGCTTTCACGTCGGGCCACCATCTATAGCCTGCATTGGGCAAGGAGAGTGTACGATTTGTGTATACCCTCTCTAAGTTCTGGGTCTCATTAATACCCAAAGTGTGTAGCACCAGGATTACCCAGATGCAGGGTGGATTGCTGGTTGCTTGAAATATGTTTGGCCGAGCTCTCCAGTTCACTGACTTGTCACTCGGGCCACAACGCCATTTCTTTTCCACGCTAGTGTCAGCGACTGAAGGGTCCTTTTGGACATTGGATGGCCATGTGTAAAAGTTAAACAATAAAAAAAGTTCGTAGCCAGCTGAAGCTACATTTAGCACAATAAACAAATGTGCAGCATATACATGGCAGCATTGTTTTGGTGGAAATTCGTGGCCGATGGTTTGTTCAAAACATAAAATTTGTGCTTATTGTGAAGATTTTTTGTTTTTTTTACACTAGGAAACAAAATTCTACACGTGAAAAACTGAAAATATCAAACCTAGTTCAAACTATATTTTACCCGTACTTGAATAGAATAGGCTAGAATAAGCTTATGACGTAGACACTTGAATGTTTACCGTGGGACTTTAGAATACCGTGTCCTGAGATCGTCGTTTCAGGGCCACTACTGTAAAGAAAGCCATGGCCGGGGCGCTTACTCAGTCCTCAACGGTGCTGTGTGACGGCTAGACGTTTCACGGAGCAGGTGACGGTTAGCTGAAGTGGAATTGAATGTTGCAATGTTTGTGTGTTAAATGCCTTCTGAAATCACATTTAGCTTGACAAAATAGCTTTGTTTTAAAAGTGTCTCATTCAGCAACTTATGTCAACGTATCTGGAAACGCAGAGCCTCATCTTGTGTGTTTATAAATGCTGCATTAAAACACAATCCTTTGAAAAGTCTTTATTTTCTGTACATCGTGAATGATTGAAGATTGCTTGTACGTGTGTGGCCTTGGAAATGTCATTTGCTTTTAGGTAATAAACAATGAAAGTCTGTCTTGTTCTAGGAAAAGGTTATATGTTTCTCGGTTGTGTTCATCATTTGGTCAATGTGTTTTGTAATGGTGGATCGATGCATTGATTCGCCGATTCATATCCGTTTTGGAGCTCGTGTATTTGAATCGTGTGGGTGAGAATAGATGATTTTCGGCTTGTGTACGTTGTGTGTAATGGGTTCACATCACCTGCAATCACTGGAGGTGCAACCAGTCACATTATTTTAAAAAGAGGAATCATTTGTTTTTAAATCGCGACTCTAAATTGTGGTAATTCATCGAATTGCTACAATTAGCAGACCTATTTAATCAATGTTTACAAGGAAATTAAATGCTGTACCTCAATTATGAAATGATGCTGCAAGAATGATTTTCAAAAACGGAAGACAACTAATTTACATGCTCATCAGCCGCCCATCACATGTTTATACATTGCTCACAAATATCTGAGAAAACATTTTGTGGATTTGCGAGGGCAATCAATCACGTGAGCAAGGATAGATTTAGGAAAGGTTTTTTTTTCTTTCCATCGTTGACCACATACGATTTAATGAAATAATAAAAGATAAGAATAAAATATAAAACACCATCATCCAGCTTTTGTCAATCATGAAAATGCATTTGAAACGGTGGAAACGGTGGAAACTCAAGCTCATTGCTACCTTGAGTACAATCCTTGAGTACAATCCAGAATAGGAGTCCGGCAAGGAGAGATGCTCTCACAAAGGTAATTTCCAGCAACATTAGCTTGGACAGATACAGGCTTAAAGTACATTGAGAAAAATATAGCCATCTCAGATTTGTTGTTTAGCAAGCGGTGAAAATGTATTGCAAGGTATTATTGAAGAACCTCGGAGAAGATGGCCAAGTTGAACTTAATAGAAATGTGAGCAAAACAAAGTAATGTACGGCAAGGTTGCTTACAAAACTAAATCATCGATGAAGGGCACAATTTTAAAACAGAATATGTATACCTTGGGCAGTTACTGAAGGTGAATTCGGGTCAAGACGATGAAATCAGATAAGAGCAGGGTGGAGTGCCTTTGGAAAGTTTAACATGATCAGCACCAGCTGTGACCACAGCAATGGGACAGTTGTGCGTGCAGATGGCTAAAGTGTGAGGATTGATGCCGAATGTCTGGTTAATTAAACTGCCATCATTCATTGTATTTAGAAATGAAATGCTAATATTTTGGGTAATTGCCCTCCGTTCCACTCAAGATGGGCAATTTTTGGTAATGTTGGAATATTTTTAATAGTACCGCGAGACTACGAATTGTACCTATAAGTAATCCACAGACTAGAAACAGCCGCATTCCTTTTTATCGTGCAAATACATTCATGGTGGCTATCATTGCACTGAATACTTGAGAACCCATGACGATGCCTCCATTGCCACGTCTTACAGCCTGGAGTCCGTCTACATCTTTCAGTTGAACCCCTTTTTTTGTGTCTGTGAGAAAGAACCACACTGGCTTTGTTCTCACTCGGCAACAGTCCTCGACCCGTTTAAGCAACTGCGTCTGCTGTGTACATGGGGGGGCGCGTGCGCTGCCGCGCTGCAAGTGCCGTGCAGCTGTGTGGCCAGCAGTGGATGAGGGCTGCTTGTCCACGTGCTTGCTTACAGGCGTGTGCCGCCGTGCCCCTCGCCGGAGGTGCCCACTGCGACGGGGGTGGCGTCGGCAGCGAGAATTGGCCCGGCCGTGGACACGGGCGCCGTTGCGCCGGGGCACTCCGTGTCGCCCACGGGAGGCGCCCAGCTGCACGCGAGCCAGGGAAGCAAAGGTACACAGGCGTTGGCAGGCGTGTTGCATCTGAGCATCTTGCACTGTCAGGGTTGGCTACGCACGGTGTGAAATAAGTTGAACATACATCGCTGTCCGACGTTTGTTAGGGGTTGTACCGCGTGCTTTTTCGGCATGCTGTCAAAAAATGTTGCACCGTGAGCTTAGGACCTTCGGGATCTGAAGAATCGTTAGACATCGTGCCGAAGAACATGGGTTACAATTCCACAAAAATATACCGCAAGCCAAATCTATTTTAAACTGCTGGGCCCAGGCAACTGCGTTGGAGCACCTTGCTTGCATGGCCGAGATGATCGGTTCAAATCAAGGCAGCCATCTGTGATTTAAACTGGGTTCTCAAAGTGAGCAGATGGCGTTGCCCCATGTGCTACTACACTAAAATGTATAATATATAAAAATATATATATATTTGGTGCATAGTCGGCTTTATAGAACAATGTTTTCTAGCAGCATTTATTCAAGCAGAAAACTGGACAAATTTTAGTTTTTTTTACTTTGAGTCTCATAAACGATATTGGGACCAGTTCAACAAATCCGGTTTGGCTGCCTGATGTTTGAGTCAAGAGCCATCAACGAGCACCGTGTGGAGCCCCGTTTAGTATTGTACGGCAAAACTATACAGAAACTATGCACCGTTGTAGTTGATTATTTTACCGTTCGCAGTCCGTGACAGGTTATCTCCCCTGCGTTTTATTTAACGGTGATGGGGTTTGTGACGCACGCTGGATCACATGCACGCTGGATCACATGCACGCTGGATCACATGCACGCTGGATCACATGCACGCTGGATCACATGTCGGTAACAATGGTGAGCGAGGGAGCGACTCCAGGCCAGGTGAAGAAGACTACTGCTGCTGCTGCTCCTTCTTCTTTTGTGTTCACTGTTCACACGCCCTGGAAGCAGTTGACGCTTGACCAGAGAGGAACTTGAGACTGTGTGCCCCACCAACCCCAGCACTCTCGCCAATCCTGCAGTTACATTTTCACAATTAACCGTGTTTTGAGCCCGTTCCAAATGTTTGAATTTTATATCCAACTCATCTGTGTGTACTGTATTCGTGTGTGTGTGTTGATACCAAAATGTAAATTGGTTGAAGAAAAACATGTCTTGAATGTGAAAGACGAAGGAGTCAACGTGTTGGCGGCTAACGATGCGTGTTCAGTTTTGTGTTGTCAGTGTGTGTGCCGTATTGTTTTACTCGCGCGTGTGCAGTTGTTGAAACTGAAACGTAACCTTCTTGTTATTATATAAATGCCTGTTGAGCCAATATCCAGAGTGCCTTGCCTGGTGGCGGTTTTACCAAACTGTACATTGTAAAATATTCTTCCTGCGTGCGTCGTGTTGCTGAGATTAGCAACTGATTTTTTTTAATATATAATGGCAACAAGAATTATACATGCATACTTTGGTGCCGCCGTTCAATCGTCTTGGTTATTACATTAAGAAATGTGACTTATATCTAAAATAAAGAGGGGTCCTTGTCTATAACATGTGGCAGTTCACCAGCATTGATTTGAGCAAATCTGACCTTGATGGTGAGGGACTCGGAGTCGAACGCGGTCCTACGTTTGCTTGGACTGAATCAATGCTGGTGAAATGATTCACTCACAGAAGGCCATGGAGGCCGATGGGTTGTGTGGAATCTATTATTTTTTTTTACGCGGAGAGAGACAGATATGTGAAGCAGACGTATTTTCTGAGTATCTATGTTGCTATTAATTTTCCGCACTACGACGTGAATTAACATTTTTTTTTAGTTTTATATAGGCCTACACGATCGCCGCCGATGAGATGTATGGCACTACGAACTGCTGGTTAGAAATCCATGCTGCGCTTAACGATGTTGAACTCGTGCACTGACACACCGGGTATCTGTGTTACAGCCTCATCTCCCCTGGCAATGAAGGCTGAGAAAGAGGCACCCAAGGCAGCGGTGAACAACGCCAACATTCCCGTGGTTAGCGCGCTCATTCCACGTTCCCACGCCGAAGCCAGTTCGCAACGAGTTTCTATGTTCATTTTTTTGAAACGTGGATCAGCATTCGTTAGCTCCCTGAACATTTGGAGGAAGTAAGATTTTTTTTTACAAATATTTACCAATGAATAGCACGGCGTTGATAGCAACGTCGTTGAGGTGGCGCTGCGACTATGTGCCCTCTGATGAGAGGCACCTGGTCACGCGAAGTGCTCCCGTTTGCACGGTCACTGAGCACTGCGAAACTGCCTCCGGCGGTTCATTGTACTCCAGTTTCTGTCTCTCTTTCGTTTCCCTTTTGTACATACAGTCTGTCTGGAGAGCGCACTGTAATCACACCCAACTTGCCGGCAGTGTTCTTGTTGTTGTTTTTTTTTGTGTCTTTACTTTCGCAAACTGCTGGGGGGCCCCCCATTCACACCGTCGCCATCATTGCGCCCTTGGCAGCTTTTGAAAACGACACTGCGCTTTCTTTTTTGCTGTGCTCAATCCTGTTTTGGGAGAGAAAATTTTTTGCTAAAGGCCCGTTCATCACGGTGCGCGGTGTTTTGTACACGTGTTGACGGGCAATGCAATTATCACTTTCATCTTGGCCTCGTGTATATATCGCCGTCGAACAGGAGAGAGTGCTGCGCTTTGACGTGTCGGAGACTCTCCCCTCCCCCCGCCACCCCGCCTGCTTTGACAGCTCCTCCGCTGCCTGCTCGCCCGGTTTTGCTGATTGCGCGTGCAATGAGCCGTGAATTTCTGTGCGAGGGCCTTAAAAAAATGGTACGTGGTGCCTGTTGATTGTGACTATATGGCGGTGCTTGGCCACCTCCTTATTGCACCCTGCCGGCCCCTTCACAGGGTGCTGCTCGCTAACAGCACTTGGCCCCAACAGTTTGTTAAGGCTATAGGGGGGGGATCTTTGTCTTATTTACGTGTAGGGGTTTGCGCACTGAACCATTAACTCGGCCACCCGGGTTTCATTCCCGCTCACAGCAACCATCAGTGACGGTAATTTGAAACGGTGACGTCGGCCTCCCCTAGGTCGACTCAGCTTGAAATGAGTACCCGGTGCAGTGTGTAGTAAACATCGCCACTGGGGAGACAAAGGCGGCCGGGCGTGGTGCTGGTCACCCACCCCCTCGTGTGCCGTAGTGGCCTTCGTAGGTACTCGCTAACAGCACTTGCCCCAATAGTCTGTTAAGGCTATGCCTTCCTATGCATAGATTGCTGCTGGCATGGCAGTTTCTGCTTTTGCAATTATGAAGCAGCCTTGATTGAAGGTGATCAAATGTGTCAGGATTATTTGTGAAGTTCACAGTTTTTTTTTGTTAGAATATATTACCAGTTTGTTGAAAAATAAAACTCTCGCAGTTTTAAAGTCGGAGTGGGAGCATGCACTTGAATGCCAGTCGCTTAAAGTCTAATACAGACAAAGCGCAATAGATTGGTCAAGTTTCGTCAAATTTACGTTGCGTAACCACGTGAGGGCTCGAGAGACGTCTCATTTCAAGAGTGATCTGCTTCACGAAAATTAGTAAAGCAAAACAATGAACAATTTACAGCAATGCAGCAAAGAGAAATCAGAGAAAATCTAAAGTACAGCACAGATGTAAGTCACTGTTAAATAATAGATTATCTATCTCACAAGTCGGTTCAGGCAGATTATTTTCAAACGGATCATATTACACTTGCAGTGAAGTTACAGAAACGTTCAGCATAGGGTGACGATTGTATTTATACGTAAACAAACAAGGATACTGTATATGTGAACTACAGTTGCAGTTTAGCATGACATTGTGATTTAGATGGGAGAATAACCAACGCCATTAAATATTGATTTAAAGCTTTCGTGACTGCAGGGATTCGTATTCTTGGTTCTTTCGGTAAAGTCACGTAGAAGGGAAAAAAATATTATTTTTTTGTTTCCCTTCTACGTTACTTTACCGAAAGAACCAAGAATATGAACCAAAGACATTGTTTTGTTCAAGCGATGACATTCCAGGTGTTTGGGCCATTAACAGAGACCTAGTGGGAACCATGTGAAGTTTTGTGTCCCCAGTACAGTGCACATAAGTGCTGTGGGGGGCATCTAAAATTCCAAGGGCTTTGTTCCTGAATAAATACTTTCGATAGGCAACACACTGAGTGACGTGTGTATGCGTCGGTACATGTCTTGCACAGTGGCGTAACTCGATAAAGGTGATACGCTTATGGCTAGAGGGGGATGTATGGGTAAATTAGATGGTAGTCATGTTGGTATTGTATTTAAATAAATTGCCTATTTAAGGATTTGCACCCGTGTAAATGTGAGCGGACCAATCAGTTTCAAAGACAGTGCATATTATCAGAGCATGTTTTTGTTTGTATGTTCACCATAAGTACGTGTGGTTAATGCAGACAGGATTCCTTGCGAAAGGTTTCTGTTTGGTGTTTTCACATCTTAACGCAACTGTTTTATTATCAAAAAGGGTCAAACCTATTCTGGTATATCTGGCTGTATGCTCTCTATGACTCGTCATGTGTGCTTTTAGCATTAGCTCTGGCACAGAAGCTGCAGAGCCATCTGTATTTACCCTGCAGGACCATTGTGAACGTCCCATCTCTAGATGTTATGATTTGGTAGGCATGGTAACACCAGCACACTTTGCTTAATTATGAGCAAGTATGACCCTTGATATATACGTGCCTTGCATTACCGACAGAAAATAGCACAGCAGCAAGAAACGCACAATTCCATCGACATGACTGTGGTTTTGGCTTATATCATACATTTTACATTGGTGTATTTAAAGACGGACAGAGTTGTTTTTGCAGTTTTGCAAGTTGAGGTGTGTTTTAATGGTTGACTAACATTGTGTTTTAAATGTATTGTTGGTCATAGTCTGATGGGACATTACGCTTTGCCATTATTAAGCTCTGATTTCTGACTGAAATGAGGTAGAAATGGGCGAAGGTTTTGAGATGTTTCAGCCCTCAGCACGTGTAGTGACATAGAATCGGTGACGTGGCAGAATATCGCTGGCTGCTGGCAGGGAAGGGGATCTGCAGCTTACAGCAGCCCTGACTGACAGCAGGTCACGTGATAGACCACAGAGGGATGTAGGGGAAAGGTTATGGAAGGGGCACATCGAGAACCCGCTAGTAGGTTCCAGAAGGGGGGCGTGGCCGGGGGCAGAGCCAGGCCACGCTGACAGTATAACAAGTGCACCACACCAAAACAGGCCCCCGGAGTTTGTACTTCCAATAGTTACATTAATTGCATTTGCCAATGCGATTTTGTCATCTGTAATTGCAGCATCTCTCGCGATATTTCTCCGCAGAGCTGTACTTCCTTCACAGTTCCATGCGTGGCTTTCACTGGTAGAGCTCTTCCACGTGTGTGGGTCACACACGTGGCGTTATAGGCGGTCGTGTAGCGGTTAGCGCGCTGCGCTATGAACCTGGCAACCTGGGTTCGATTGCCGCTCACGGCCAACACCAGTGACGATTATCTGCACCGGTCCAGGGCCTCCCCGAAGGCGAATCAGCCTCAAATGAGTACCTGGAGCGGTGTGTAAACATCGTCACTTGGGAGACAAAGGCGGCCGGGCGTGGTGTTGGCGACCCACCCCCTCGTGTGCCGTGCCGGCCTTTATAGGTGCTCGCTAACAGCACTTGCCCCAACAGTCTGTTAAGGCTACACGGGGGGGGGATCTTTGTCTTTGTTATAGGCGCAGAGCGCGTATGGCCCGGTGGACATTCTACCTCCCCGTGGGGAATGCCAGAGTTGTTTACAAAGCTGAGTCTCGGCAGTGACATCATGACCTGTGTGTGATGAGTCGTCGGCTGACCCATCCGTATGGATTATTATATTATTATCTCCTTGTATTCATGGGTATTTCCTCACCACACCCTAACGTAAAAATAACTTGAAAAAAAAACGAATTCGTCAGAGATTTCCAAGTAGTCTGTAGACTTACTCATACATTTCTGATTAAACAGAGCAACCATTATCACTATAATACCTGATTGGGTGGCACAGTGGTTACAGGAGCAACTAGCAACCTTCCATTTGTCACCGTCCAATGCTTTCACATTTTGGACGTTGCCAATTTCCGATCCCTTGTCGGTGGCAGTGATTCAGCCGTTTCTCCGTCCATGGATTATAAAATAAGTACCACTCTTCTTGGTTCGTTCGGTAAAGTCACTTAGAATGGAAATAAAATAATAAAACATGATAAAATAAAATTATCACGACGTTTCGGCCACAACACAAGTAGCCTTCTTCAGGTGAAGGAACAGAACTGTCGGGACGACAGCGCTTCAATGAACGCTGCTAAGATTTGCAGCGTCTTTTAAGCTAGGTGGGAGAAGTAACGCGCCTTGACAAAGGAGTTTATATATCAAACAGGAGAATTTAGCATTTAAATAGCTGTGTTAAAGTGTTGGATCAGCAGGGTGTTTAAGTCAGAAATTAGCATGTAACTGGGAGATTAGCATGATGTTAATGTGAGGGATTAGCATGTAACTGGTCACGGAAATAACTATGTTAAAGTCAAAGTTTACATATCAACAGGGGCACTTAGTATATGGACGCTGAAGGACTGCAACTACCCAACTATCATACAGTAAACCGATGTGAAAAAACTAAGTATAAACTACATCAATATAATAAATGTACTCAATATATTCTTCAATAAGTTGAGCTATTAACCATGAAGAAGGATCCTCTTGAGGAGCCATTCAAAACCATCACCTTACCCTACATTGCAGGGGTCACAAAAAAGATCTCCAAAATCCTGAATAAACACACGATCCAGGTCCGTTTCAACACAGTACATAAAATCCGTGATCTGGTTCCATCTGTAAAATATGTGGTTCCAGACATACAGTACCCGGGCGTCTACAAACTAAGTTGCCTCTGTGGTAGCAGCTACATTGGAGAAACCAAACGACATATCTCGGACCGCATCCATGAACATAAAGCAGACTTGAAACACGGTAGGACGAACACCTCGGCCGTTGCAGATCACTGTCATAATTCAGTGGGCTCACATGACATTGACTTCTCCAAGACGAAGGTTCTCTGCAAGCCATCCGGCTACCATGAGAGATTCGTTCATGAGGCCATCCACATATACAAACACAGAGACAATTTCAACCGAGAAGATGGATTCTGGCTTAGTAACCATTGGAAAGACGTTATAAACCATTTCGGTTCTTAATTAATTGTATTTTACGGTGACTTTCAGACCGCAGTCCATTCGCTGGCACTGCCTCTTAACACCTTTCACACGACGGTCAATGGTATGGTTTATAGCATGTTGTATAATAATAAATAGTATAACAGTGTAATGTTTAACATTATTCATAAGGCAAGATATAGTATCATAATTGTATAGTGAATATACAGCAGTGTGGTATACAGTAGGGTTGGTATAATACATAGTGTAATATTACAAGTCTAATATTTTACAGTCTAAAGTATAGGGCAATGTATAGTAACGCATTGTACAATTCAAGGGTGGGTTTGTCTATGGCAGTGTATATTACGGTGTATAGTCGTGTAATGTAGAAAAAAGTTTAGTTGGAGACATATCAATATAATGCATAATGTTAGAGCTTACATTGGGCTGTGTATACGATATTATACAATGTAGTTTGGATTGGAAGGTATAACATTGCAATGTATAGTAGTCTAGTTTATAACATGGTTGTAACGAAACACAGGACAGATCAGCGCATCATGGCTGTTTCTCCCCCCTCCTCCGTTCCGAGCATAGATGGACTCGTCCGTCTGAACAAAGCTCGTCGCTTTCCGTGGTGCTAACGTTGAAAAGAAAAAACCGCCACCCATTTTTTTCGCCATTTGGCATTGTAATGTATAACGACTTATTCTTAGTAGCTCAGCTGATTGGAGAGTATATAGAGTTTATTGATAACATTGATGTAGTTTATATTTTAGTTTTTTTTATTAGTTTACTATATGGTATTCATTATATAGTGTAGTGTATACCCAGTTACTTTATGTTAATAGCTCAACTTATTGAAGAATATATTGAGTACATTTATATATTGATGTAGTTTATACTTAGTTTTTTCACATCAGTTTATTGTATGATAGTTGGGTAGTTGCAGTCCTTTAGCGTCCATATACTAAATGCCCCTGTTGATATGTAAACTTTGACTTTAACATAGCTATTTCCGTGACCAGTTACATGCTAATCCCTCACATTAACATCATGCTAATCTCCCAGTTACATGCTAATTTCTGACTTTAGCACCCTGCTGATCCAACACTTTAACACAGCTATTTCAATGCTAAATTCTCCTGTTTGATATGTAAACTCCTTTGTCAAGGCACTTTACCTCTCCCACCTAGCTTAAAAGACGCTGCGAATCTTAGCAGCGTTCATTGAAGCGCTGTCGTCCCGACAGTTCTGTTCCTTCACCTGAAGAAGGCTACTTGTGTTGTGGCCGAAACGTCGTGATAATTTTATTTTATCATGTTTTATTATTGTTTTTCCATTCTACGTGACTTTACCAAAAGAACCAAGAAGATGAATCCCTGCAGTCACGAAAGCTTTAAATCCCACTCTGTAGGGAGTCAGGAGTGGTTGTCTGATGGAAATTCCGCCAGTGGTAGAGTTTCCATCACTGGTTCAAGGCTGTAAACAGGTCATCAAAAGCCCCCCCACACCTCAATATCTATGTAAGTTCGAGTGGAACACCATTTGGGATTTAAAAACATATATACAGTAAAACCTCGTTATTTCGGTATTTGATCATTCATAATTGGGGATGATTTCGGCACGGTTGCGCTTTCGGCATATATACAGCATTAGTAATTTTCCATTGCCCGAATTACCGTACCTAATGGTCAAATATTGTCATACACATGGAGCGACGCCGCGCACCACGACCAAAACAATGATTCAGTCTCGTGGCGGCGAGCGTCAGTACAAGCCTGTTGCTTTGGACTTTACCTTGTTTATGCACTCTGTGCAAGCCAACCCTCGAAGAGATGTCGTCTACACCTACATCAAGAAGTAGTAGAAAGGGACTGCAGTATACGTCCCTTAGTCTGCGAGACAAATGAAAGTTTTGGATAGATTTGATGCAGGTGCGTCAATTCGTATGGTGTGTGAAGAGTTTAGAAAACAAATTTGGAAAAAAAAACATTTCCATTGGGGCAGGGGGCACTGGGGTGTACCATTGTACATAATTCGGAATATTGGAAAATTCGGCAAGGCCAGAGCCCCATATGTCTAATTAACAAGGGTTTACTGTATACTCAAAATAATATAATTCCCCGTGACGCGCGCGCACGCGCGCGTGTGTGTGTGTGGTGTCATCGCAGGAGACCAAGGCTCTGTCTGGCCGCACCACGAATCCCACGGTTCCCGAGGAGAGCCCCACGTGTGGCCCTCCCCCGTCAGTGCTGAGCGCACTCTTGCCTCCAGCCATACAGGCGCGCCACCCCGCGCTGCTCAGCCATGCGGACGGCGTGCGGTACGAGACGCGCACCTCTCTGGCTGCGCGCGTGTTTGTTTTGTTGTGGACGCCGTCCCCTGGGTGAAACGCGCGGATGAGACTTTTGTCATATTGTGTGTGCGCGAGTGCCACCCGGGCGAAGTATAATTACGGTTAGTGGCAGTTGCTTGGAGCCTCGCGAATACTGAACACCGACATATGCAGCTCTTGAAGGATGAAACACTTGATGTGTGCCCGGGAACAATGAGACAGCCACCTGACCGTCGTCAAGGCACTTGAATGTGATCACACATTTCAGCATCTGCTTGAGATTCTAAAATTGCAGGGTTTTAACTTGTCCAGTATATGGGAGTATAGCAGGTAGGTGGATAATTTATTTGCTTGGATTTGCAAGCATTCCTTTAAATGTGCTTTGGGCGCCAAGCATTCTATTGCGGCTTCGTGATGAGTGAGGCTTCGCTGCAGTATTATTATTACTACTACGGTACGAATAAATTGAATGTGGTCATCACAACACACGGCTTCTAAACCAGATCTTCCACTTCAGCGCTCATTGTCTAATGATGGGAACGAGAATAACAGCATAAAGAAAAACTTCGACTTCGGACGGAACCTTAACAACAGTTATCAGAGCCCAGGGCAAGATTAGTTGATGTATTACCTGCCACACCCAGCGCTTGTCCCACGCAGCCCCACCCAGTATTAAACACTTAAATGGCACAATACAATCTGTTTTTTTTTTAAAGACGAAGGCACACACACGCACTGCAAACACGAACACGCACTGCCCGCACTAATCACAAGCATTATTTTTGGCGCAGAGTTCAACACGTGATTCCCGATGTAAACAGGTCGGTATGTGAAATTCAATAACCAGGTTCAGAGTTCATTGTGGTGCTTGCCTTTTAAATTTTAGAGGAAAAAAAAAACAATTAAATGAAGCTAGAGGCATGAAAGCAGGGTATGAAATAAAAACGACCAAGAAACCAAAACACACACGTGCCAACATAAAAAAATGTGTTGATATACGTATAACTATAACGATCTCGCACCTCCGATTAGCACGGTTGTCTACGTACGGTGCGAAAGAAGTTGAACGTACACACGTAATGGATAATGTTATATATATATTTTTTAAAGTATGTAAACATTTCACATCTAAAACGTAAGCAGGAGGGACGGCCATTACTGACAGGCGGAGGGAGGCTGATGTGGAGCAATCACAACTGGGAAGAGATACTACAATTTATTATTGGAGGTCACAGGTGACGGCTTGAGGAAAGGGGGGGGGGCAGGCAGCTGTTCCTGGAGACCTGCCCTCGTTACACCGAGAAGCGGGAGTGCAGAAAGGGGGGCTGCATGGATCCCGGCTGCCGGCTGCTCCTGAGCAGACGGCCACCAGTGTAGCAGCTGATGACAATGCCCAAGGTCGGGAACCGCCAACATTTGCGCCGAGCGATGTTTGTAAATTGGGCCAATTGTCGCTTTTTACAAAGTATTATGAACTATTCCCTTTGCACGGAAACGGCTTTTAGGATGTGCAGGCTTGCCCGCTGCGATGTATTACTTTTTTTAAGGGATCCAGGGACCGTGCTAACGAGGCGTTTTGCGTGGTTTGTGCGGTTGTGCGCGCAGCCGTGTGGAGCTGGAGCGGCCACGCACGGAACGGCAGAGCGCGGTGCCTGCACAAGACGCCAGCTGCCCCCTCGGTGCTTCACCGGCTGCGTTTCCCGAACCGTCTTATTCAGCAAAGAGCTGCGCCAGCAAACACGTGCTTCCTAGCCAGCCTGGCGCTTCACGTTTGAAAGAGCCAGATGTTTCTCCAACAATTAAGCTGGACTCTGTGGACAATGCTGCTCGCTCCTGTGAACCTGCAGGTGCCGAGAGTGAGGGTGAGCATCGCCTGTGTACGAGAGACTTCTCAAAGGGCACCGACTTTGTGATTGCAACTGGGAAGATGGCCGGCAGGTTGGACGAGGGCTTCAAGACGCCAGTGCAGCATTGCACCTTGAAGCAGCTCTCTGCTGCGCCACCCTCTAAAAGCAGGATCGAACACAGTCACTGCATGACAGTTCCCTTGAAGATGCCATGTGCTGGGCACCAATCCAGCCAGAAAGCCACCGGTCCTGTCTCGCATCAAAAGGCTGCTGTGCCGAGTGAGGCACCAGAATTCGGCGGAGATTTAGTCACCACGCGCAAGGATCACCCTGGTACGAGCTTTCCTGCGGCTAATGCGGAAAGATACGGGATGCTCTACGCCACCACCGAGTCTCGGCCGTTTCACTTTCCCGGCTACGAATACAGCCCCGGCGAGCTGTCTGAAACTCCAGCCTGCCGACTCGCTCCCAGCACTGATTGTCCGCCTGTAACTAACGTAAGCATCACGTGGGGCAGATCGCACAGGGGGCAGCGCAATCCCCCAATGACTAAACGAAGGTGTGCTTCTGAATACATTGCTTGCGTTTAAGGGACGTGTTACGTGCACCCATATAACTGACTTTCCACGCACACAGCTTCCGCACATGCTGTATCATGAACCCAGTATTGATTTGCTATTTATATAGTGCCACCTTCAGGGAATTGTAGGAATAGTGAACGCAGCATAAATGTCACATATGCATGACGGTTGATACCAGCACTGTTTTAAAACTGCACTGAAATCACCTGAACTGTTGAACACCTGGCTGTTGATGTGCCCAGATGACAGACAACTCAATATGAATATGACCGACAACTGCAATAGATGTGTACATTTACAAAACAAAGGTGTTGTCGCCTCCACTTTGCCCTGCAGGTGGAAGGTGAAGGCGACAATTTGGGAGTGCTACCCTCATTGCGACTCTGTGGGATTTCGGATGCTGGTGGACCGCTCTCCACAGACCTCGCCGAGCCCCGCGACGGATCCACCATCGCCAGCGACGGGTCAGTGGCAAACAACTGCCCAGTGGCACAGCGCAAACACGTGGTGGCATCACATCCGTCACAAATCAGTGGAGTACTCAGTGAGGAATTGACCATACATGTTAATGCAGAATCCTCCGGGGGGGGGGGGAAACTGTATTTAAGTTCAATGATGTATTCCTGTATATATAGTTTTCTGATTTTTCAAATTCAATTGCGTGGTCTGTGCAGGACACCTCTATTCAGATTTGCCTTTCCATAAAAAACAAAAATAAATAAAGGAAATATATTTATTTACTTATTATTATTTCATGTCTTTACCACTGACCTTCCTCATGCTATTCGTTGCGCGCGGTTGCATTTTACTTTGCTCAGTTGGTGTTAGCCGCTAATGGTGTGATGGGTTTCTTTGCTTATTGCTGTTTCTCTAAACCCCTGTACCGTTCCCATTCCGTTTTAATGTGCACTCACGGCTACTTTATTGAGGGCGATATTGGCACATAAATTAAAGATTGATTTATATATAATTAAAAAAAACTTTCATTGCAACTGCCTTAAAAGGAAACATACAATAGGCAAATGTTCAAACAATGGCCCTTCTTTATAGCACAGTTGCTATTGTCTGATATGTCACCCATTGTATTTTATTTATCTGGGCTTGACCACCTGAATGTGAAATTGTAGTTGATGCTCTGCATCTACATCAGCAGCCGTACGAAAGAAGAAATGAGGAACGTGTTCGGTTTATGTTCATCGTGATTGTGCACCACTACCAATACAGCATCATTAATTAATGTTTTCTATTTTTTAGGTGTACTTTGCAGCCAAAGTGATTATCGAAATAATTTCTTTGTAAAATCTATCTACATTAGGTTTATTCGATATCTGAACCTCATGGCGGAACCCCGGGGTACCATAGGACCCTGGCTCTCGCATAATGTCCACGATGCAGTCACGTTTAGTCTGTGCTGATGGTCGGCGATGCGGCAGTCGACTCATCTGGACGAGCCGTACTCACCATGATGCACCACCACCACTAGGGTGCGTGCCGCGGGCGTTCGGGGTTTCGGCGTAATCGTCCTCGCTGCGTTTCCACATCGCGGAGTGGTGGCACCGATGTCGGATTGATTGGGTACCCCAGTCGCGCAGTGAAGTAACACCCCTGGGAAACATTAGTGTCCCAGACATACAATATTTAATTGTCTCGGCCATTGTTTATTATTTGGTACCTCGGGTTACCGCCATAAGGATCATCTCTAGAGTAGCTACGTTTAACTCAAATTCATTAATTGTATTTTTGTTGTTTCTATCCATAAACAATATATAAACGACTCTCTGCCTCGCTGCTTGTTTTTTTTTATTACAGGGTGTCCTGGCAAAGAACTGGAGCAGCAAAAGCAGTGAAACCAAGGAGAGTAATGATGACAGAACTTTAGGCCATGCTTCTGGAAAATGTAAACTATATGTGCTAACACTTTACACCATCAACCATTGTTTTTTTATCCCGCACAGTACGTGATTAATGTCGTGCATTTTCTTGTAGTGTGACGAAAATGTTTCATTATGCACATTATTATATTATCCGCTGTGTTGTGTTAATAAGATCAGCCATAGTACAGTTGGTAGTATGTTCACACTCAAATGAGTATTGACAGATTACTTGCGCTGTAATCTGTGCAGTATGTGCACAGTGGGAGGTGTTCGGAATAAATAACCTTGCAATTACACTCATTAGGGACTCTTCGTCATAAGCACATGTGTGTCGTGTACACACATGCGAAACTGCCTCTGTCGCTGAACATTTACCTTGCCTTAATTTTGCAGAGCTCACAGAAACAGTGTGCAGGGATCACGTCTGCAGTGAGGTTTTTGCCCACCAGTTTGGTAATCGTTTCAACGTAAGACTTAAAGTCGGACAAGACATTGTGTTCATGCATTCACCAGACATCTGCCCGGACGATGGCAATGAACAATTATGCTGAACCACGCTATCTCTTGCGATGCCATGCTCTCCTAAAGGCACACCGGTGTACTTTGCATCAATCCACGCGTGTGGACACCCCAGCTGTGAGTTAGTGGCCAAGCCTTCCTGTGAGGGATGCTTCTTGGTAAGAGAATGGGAGGCCCGCCATGATTTACTATCCTATCACGATTGGCTCGAGCTCCAATGCGATGAGATGGACATTTCAGACAAATTGCACCCAACTGGAATCGCCTGGTGTGGTGACACGCACCTGTAATACAGCATGTACGTACGTATGTTGAACTTAGTTTGCACCGTACGTAGCCAACCGTGCTAATTGGAGGTGCAGGGGAAGGACAACAAAAATAAACAAAAAAACTGTTCTAAAGAAAAATGAGTTTTCAATCTAGATTTAAAAGTGCATAGCTCCAGTGGCTTCCTAATATGGGAAGAGCGTTCCAGATGGTCACAGAAGCGCATCTGAAAGCAAGCGAAGCAGTGCCCGTCTTTGTTCGATGGCTAAAAGCAATCTGAAGGTCGGGTTCGTGGATCATGCAGCAATCAAATGTGTGTCAGTGTGGTGCCTGTATGATACAGTACAGCAGCTAAGTTGCTGACCTGTCTCGTCAGCTTTAGCGCTGTGCAAGGTGCACGCATGAATTATCTCCTGGGCACCCACGTGCAAAATGACACAAAATAAATTGGCCAAATATCCTTGTCAGGACTGCCGCTGAAAGGGCCTTGAAATTCAGTGAAACTTTCTGGACACATTTAATTACAAATTGTTATCTATGTTGATTTGAAGCTTTCGTGACTTTCGGTAAAGTCACGTATGTATAAAATAAAATAAATCACGACGTTTCGGGCGCAACACAAGCGGCCCTCATCGGTGTTGTGCCCAAAACGTCGTGATTTATTTTATTTTATACCTGCGTGACTTTACCGAAAGAACCAAAAAGTATGTTACCTATGCTTAAGAAACATTCACAATGAACAGACTGTCCCTGTCGAGACATTACCAGGTACAAAAAAAAGTGTGGCATTAGGGGGGGTATATTGGGTGTGAGGTTCAAGGTGGTTAAGTTTAGGGCTCTCCAAAGGGAGGTTATGTTTACTGTCATCTTTCATGCAAAAACGGTTGTTTATGAATTTGCGTAATCACACATACGTTTAATGTTATGACCAGATTCACAAAACGATGTAGTGTTGGTGACCTGTATTTTAACCATCGTGCACCTAAAAAAAATCCCTTTAGATTTGATAAATAAGCACTTATCTGTGAAGTGTCTCGTGGGTTAACAATGATATATATATTTGTTCTGTTGCTGGTTCGTAGGCTATGCTGTAGAACAGTCACTAAAACACGACATGTCATTTCATTGATGTAAAGTGGTATTTAGATCTAAGTTATTTAGATGTACAGGATACATGAATAGAGCCGTTTGTATGTAGAATTTACTGTTCGTAGCTTCAATTATTTCGTAGCCATGTATTGTACCTTTTCATACTGTTGGTAATCACGTGGATATTATTGATGTCACATTGACGCAGAGATAATGTATCAGTTTTCTATGAAATATACAATATTTTAACCTAAGCAGCGGCGACGGCTGTGTGTGAATTGTGATGCGTCGTTCGCCAAGGGACCCTCGCATGCTATTCAAGGCGTTACACTTTCCAAATGGGCCGTACCATCACCAATAATACTTTCCAAATGGGCCGTACCATCACCAATAATACTTTCCAAATGGGCCGTACCATCACCAATAATACTTTCCAAATGGGCCGTACCATCACCAATAATACTTTCCAAATGGGCCGTACCATCACCAATAATACTTTCCAAATGGGCCGTACCATCACCAATAATATAATAACGCATTCCCATCAGGGCCCATCAGGGCCGGTGTTATATTATTGGTGACACGGTCTGCCCAGTGAGCTCGAGCAGCTTGCAGTGGCAGCGTCCAAACATTTGGAGCAGAGGGGACTCAATAATATTTTAATGAGCTGGCATCTGTCGAGTACTTAATATGCATTCCATTCACGAGGAACCACAGGGAGGCAAACGCGGGCGTTCAGGCTCGGATCACGAGGGCCAAGGGGTTTCCGTCCAGGCCATGGTTAGGGCCTACAACCCTTTGTGTTGACACTGGGAGCCTGGTCCGTGGCCAGCCCCAGGTTTGGTTGGCGCATGCCTTCAATGCGGAGACGTGCAAGTTGTGGTTCGTGGATTGCAATGAGGTGATGTGCTTGGAATACTCACCAGCAGGGACAGTGATGTGTCTGTGTGAGGCACGAGAGCGAGATCAGTACTGCAGTGCAAGGTCTCTAACATATCTCGATTAATTTTGAGTGATGATAATTATCCCTCCTTTCGATGGGTTTATTTTGGACATCCTTTCTTCACGTGCAGACGTACTCAAGGAAGCTGGCCAAACATGTCAAGTATAATCCTGCTGAAAACGTATTGACACCCAGTGGGATTTCCCTGGATATAAGGTAACTAGCAATTATTCCGTTTCGTGTGTGCGTGCACTCTGCGGAGGGACCCCACCCATACGCTAGACCAGCGGTCCCCAACCTTTTTGGCACCAGGGACCGGTTTCGTGGAAGACAATTTTTTCACGGACGGGGGGGGGGAGGGGGGTCATCTTTGGGTCTTTCCCCCTTTTCAAAGAAGCTCTCCAGCGACGTTTCTCTTACTCATTGTGGCTCCTAGGGGTTAGAGCTTGTGGGCTTACTCATTGTGGCTCCTAGGGGTTAGCTTGTGGGCTACACCAAGACGGTGACTGAGACGAGTGCGCGGTGCGGGAAAGAGGCGCGGACGGAAGTGGTGAATAATAAAATAATGGGGGTGGGCCACGCGCGGACTCACCGCTCTCACCTCCTGCTGCTGCTGTGCGGCCCGGTTCCTAACAGGCCACGGACCGGGACCGGTCCGCGGCCCGGGGGTTGGGGACCCCTGCGCTAGACCAGTGATCTTCATTGCAAGGCCCCCAGGTCACTGACGGCCCCTGGTGGCCTTTAGTGTGGCCCCTGACGTGCAGGCGGTGTGGCGGCCCTCACATTGATATCTTGTTAGTGCAGATAGCTGCGCTCGGTTATATTATTACTACGAGTATGTGCCCAGGAGAGCCTCAAGACTTTGTTTTTGTTGGAGGGTCCTGTCAAGTTTTCGCAGTAGGGGCGATATTGCTGCTGCGTATAATACCAATTGAGTAATTTTTTTTCCGGTAAATGTTCAGAATTGGTATGCTTGGCCAAAGCCAATTACATTGTATAGGGGGAGAACATACAAACTCCACAAGGCGCTCTAGTCATGCAATACCACCTAGGGCCTTGTTGCTGTGAGGCAAACATTAACACGAGACCACCCCTGTTATGTTGCACTTAGCTGTCAACCCATACGGGTTACACGGATTTTTGTACAGGGAAATTTGAGTTTTCAGGTCCATACGGCGTACAACCTTTTCAATACGGGCAAAAAACATAATTATTTACTGTCAATTGGTGTTTCTCCCTTGTGATGGGACTTTGTAGGATGAACGTTGAGATTTGTAAAGGCACGGGATGACCAATAATGTTTGAATTGGTCTGTAATAAGGTAGGCACTGATAAGGGGTTGACAGGTGTGCGTAGCATATTATTAAAAGCGGGAATATCATTAAATGGTTGCCATCACATGTTTACTGTTCAGTGCAGTAATTTTCATGGCACATACAAAAAAATCAAACAATCCTCTGCCGACCATAATAAATGTTAAATCACGTGACTTGGAAATACGTGTTCGCGTATTGTTTAAAATGCATATTCAGATGTCTTAATTTTAAAATATGCTAAGCCGGGGTATTTTGGTGTATTGTTCATGTGTTTCGCAGTGGTAACAATTGTGCCTCACAGCAAAACAAAAATTCATGGGTTCGCTTCCCGACTCGAACTCCTATCTATGTAGAGTTTGTATGCTCTCTGCATGGAGCTTCCTCCCGGTTATCAGTGTTCCTCCTGTAGCTGAAAACACAATGCAACCGGTATCGGTCAAACATCCCAAGCCTCAAGCATTACCCGCAAATTACTCTACTCAATTTGGCTTACACATAGCAACATTGTCCAGCTACAGTGAAGACTTGGCAGAACCCCCTTTTAAAAAGTCGACAGTGAGGCTGTCCTCGGGCAAACAAGCGTAAGTCATCAATACATCACAGTGGTAGCCATGTAACGTACAGTGTTACACAAACTTTACACATTTTAAATTCTAAACAGAAATCAACAACGACACGATCTGCTTCTATCGTGCACTCTGCTCTCGCTCTCATACACTCTACATACGAGGATGGGCTGCGACATCCGTAATTTTCCGCCCAACAGTTGCTGACTACACTACAACAATTGGTCCTTATGGCGGGACCCCGGGGTACCAAATTAATAAACAACGGCCGAGGCAATTCAATATTTTATTTCTGGGACACTATTTTTTTTTACAGGGGTGTTACTTAACTCCGCGACTGGGGGTACCAATCAATCCGAGATCGGCGCCACTCCGCGATGCACCAAAGCGCATCGTGAGTACAGCTCGTCGAGATGAGTCGATTGTCGCCGCGCCGACCATCGAGAGACTAAAGATGACCGCGTCACGGACATTACGCGAGAGTCCGGGGTACAAGGTTCAATTGAGCATCGGAGGTTGGGGTGGGTGCTCAACCCCCCATCGAGCTGCCGCTGTCCGTCCATCACCGCGCACGTGGTCTTCAGGAAGCCCTCTGAACTCTGAAGGCAGCATGGCAGCAGAAGCCCATGGCCGTTATGAAACAAAGGCGCGGCTCTTGCGGGAGTGACCGCGCGGGACTGGTGGGCGGCGCTGCCTCTTCCACGGCTCAGCGCGCACATGGCAGCGGGCGGGGGCTCGCCGTGCTGCCGCCGTTAGCAGCGTAAGGGCGAAGAAGAGGCTTCGAACCAAATTCTAGCGGCGACTGAAATCGCGAACAGTGGGCAACGCTGCAGCAGTAACGACGGAGAGCATGAAGGCGTTCAAATACAACGACGCTGTGATGACGCGACCTGCTGCTGCTGCTACTGCTGTGCACGGCGGACTGAAGCGGCGCCAATAGCAGCAGCGAGCACTAATAACGGTTCCGGTAATAGCCTAATGGGAAGAGTAAATATAAAAATAAGGGCAATTTGAGGCTTTTTGTTGGGTCTGGAGCAAGCGAGTGAGGGAGCTAGGGAGCAAGCGGCACGTTCCGCATCCGATTTGTATCGGATTCGTGTCCGGTCGGTGTCGGGGATCGCGTCCGCTCGCTCCGCATCGGAGGAGCCGGGGGCATCGAAAGCGGCCGCAGCCTCTCCCCCCCCCCACCCCCGCGCAACCCTTCTCCGCCATGGCTTCACACCGTGGTCCGCTCCTCTTCTCCCCGCCTTCGCCGCCGCCTCTTCCGCTGGTGCTGCTGTGGTGGCTGACGGCGCTGTGCGCGGCGTGCAGCGCTGCGGGTACTCCGGACAGCTCCCGGCTGCAGCCGCGGCCCGCCTCGTTCTCGGCCTCGGACTCCGCGGAGAGTACGGCCGCGTGGCCCGGCGGGGCCGGTGCCGGCGAGGGCAGCCGCAACGTGAGTCCCGGCTACAACAGCGCGGCGGGAGGCATGCAGCAGCAGGAGCAGCCTGGGCAGCGGCAACACGAGGAGGAGCAGGGGGAGCCCGCCAGGAGCAGCGACCCCGAGCTCCTCGAAGGGGATCCACATTTCCTCCCGTCCCCGGAGTCGCTGCTGCTATCGGGTGAAGGTGAGCAGCGGAATCGGCATGAAGATGACAAGCAGGACGGAGACATGATGGTAATGGTGATGATGGAGGGTGGAGAGAGCGACTACGGCGAAACGGTCGAGCAACACGGGGAACGTGGGGAAGAGGGGGGGCGGACAGAGGGAGACGGGAAGCTGGAGGAGCGGCAAGGGGAAGAGCAGGAGATCCAGGAGGGGCAGGAGATCCAGGAGGGGCAGGAGATCCAGGCGGAGCTGGAGTTCCAGGAGTTCCAAGAAGTTCAAAAGTACCAGGAAAATCAGGAGATCGAGGAGGAGCAGGATATACAGGAGCGGCAGGATATCCAGGTGGAACTGGAGTTCCAAGAGGTTCAAACATACCAGGAGAAGCAGGGGATCGAGGAGGAGCAGGAGATACAACCGTCACAAGAGATGCAGGAGTCCCAAGAGATCCAGGAGGAGCAGAATAATGAACAGAAGGAGCTTCCACCGAGTGCCCCCTGGCACGGGGACCGACCCGAGAGCCACAGCTTCAGCTCATTCACCCGGGAGCTGTTCAGCTCACACGTCATCGGTGAAGAAGGTGGGTTAAGGTTGTGCCATAACTTCTCCATGTGAGAGTCTATTGCTTGCTTTGATTTTTTTGCGGAAACTGTTTTTTTCCGTCCATGTTTGCCGATAACTGACCACTGATGCCATCTTTTCGTCAAGCGGATACGGCCTTCTGCCCGACGCATAGTTTAATCTCTTGAACAAGGTGGGGTGGCGGAGTGTGGGGTTATCATGGCTTCCAAGATCGAGTGGTTTCAACCCGGAAACTTTGCGCAATGTGTATTAATAGCTTAAGGCTAACGTCACACATTAACACAAACTAGTGCAGTGAAAACAATCTGGCTTGTGAATGCTAACGTGGTACAAACAAAAAGTAAAAACGAATGCTTACATATTTTGTTTTATGTAAGGTACCTTTAGTGATACAACTGAAATATTAGGAATGTAGTTACATTACAATGAATAATTTGGTGTTACGTACAGTACTGAAAATAGTCTACACGTTTTATTCAATCAACTTCAAAATATAATATCTATAATCTATATCTAAAGCTTCAAATCAAGATTGATAATATCTACATTTGTATGTAATGATTTTTCTTTGGCTCTTCTGTGATATTGTAGTCGTCTTAATTGAACTGGGTGAGATCCCATTCCAGTCACAAACATCTCATGCAAAGGAGATCCGTGAGTATTCGTGGCCATTCGCTCGTGTGCCGGACGGAGGGATGCGGGATAAACGGAACATTTGGGAAATGCCACTTCATTTAGGATACCAAACGTTTGTGCACGGAAAGATTAACAATAGTTTAGTTTATTTATTTTGGTTGCAATAAAATCCACCGTGCATGGATTTATTGGGATACGGTATTGTTCATTGTCCGCATTAAGTGCACGCATATGTATTATCCAGAAGGAATTCTGCTCTTCGTATGCCAAATGCATATGTCTTGTTTAAATATAAGTCTTATTCAATCACAACTGCTGACTTTTTCTCACTGTTTTTTTTTTGCTTACAAGCATTGTGTATGTCTCGTAAACCGGTCTTGAGTGCAGTGTTGTGGTCAGCATGACTTTTAGCCGCAGCCATTGCTGATGTTTTACAGTAGAAAACACTATTTGTGTTTCTCATACGTTCCGCTCCATTGCTTTGTATTCATTACTGGGCATCATTTGAAATCGTGCCTTCTGACATCTCACCCACTGCTGTTGCAATTGCGTGTAGGGACTATCATCGGGTTGATTCCCCGCCCCTCTCAGGCTTTGTGATCAATGCAATCTGTCTGACGTTTATTAAAAGAGAAGATGCTTTACACAAACCGTGTTTGCAGCAGGGCCAAGTCTTGCTGCTACAGACACAAAATCATTTTAATAAGCACTGTTTTGTTTTATAAATGGCAAATAAAAATAGAGAACTGATTTAATCAGCATTAACATTTGACAACAATTGTAAACATTCCTACATTTATCTGATGGCTTAATTATGAAGCACCGTGAGTCGCTTAGCCGTGCCAACCGATCATCCCTTATGAACACAAACTCGTCTCATCCACACTGATGGGAATCTTCCGAGAGTATAATAGCAATGCACAGCCCTTCCGTTTGTCCACTGCTGGATGAAAGCCTACCCACACCTTGTCAGTTATTGGGGGGGGGGGGGTATTTGACCATACTTCACTCAGCGGGTCAGTGCGGGTGTGGGAAAGAGGGGATCCTGGGCCAGATCGGTTATCTTTTGCCACTGATGTTCGCCATGGCCAGGAATCAAATTCGGGTTGCTGGGATTGTAGTGTGGGGCGCTCACCACTGTGCCACCCCTCCACCCCTTCTCGCAGTAAGTTGTGTAATTGTGCGATTATTTGTTCATCACGTCACGTGCTTGGGCTCCATGCGTTCTCCATTTGAGAAGTTATTGGACGGTGTCGGTACACAGCGCGGAATTGGCAAATCTACTAACGCTTGGCCCAAATCGTAATGCATGTTCCTGAGTTAGGCACCATTGCATGGGTCTGATACTCTTATTGTCATCGAGGCACAAATACATGTTCTGGGTTGGTGGGGATATTTATTACAGTCATTACTTAAAAGCTCATTCCTGGCATTAAACATTTCTTGGGTTGTGACGAACAAATAACCTGACAGGGGAGTGGTGAGCTAACATGCATTGTCAATTTCACGATATACACATGTCGACCAAACTCTGCATTCTATGGTCCATTATCATAACTATCGATAGCGATGCAAATTGAACACATTTTTTTTCTTAAAGTGTATTCAAAGTGGAAAAAAAATCTATTGAAGGCTTCCCCACATCATCACAATTCCTAACAGTCCCCCGACAGACAAATCCTTCTCGCTGCTGTTGCACGGCGCTCCATCTCGTCGCTCCATCTCCGCAATTGTCAATCTCTCGCCTGTGTTCCTTGCTTTGGCTGCCACTCGATTACGAGTCACGTCCATCGACTATTGTCCCGTCCACTGATACGTCCTGCCCAGTCCCACTCCTTTTTATTACCAGTAAAAAAAAAGTGTCTCTCTCGATGCCATTTGTTCTCTGGTCAACGTTGCTGCTCTGTTTGTATCTCAATGTAATTCCCAGCATGCATCTCTCCCTGCTTCTTTGATGCTTGTTCTTCACTTTAATTCTGCATTGTTTGTCGGTCTGTGTTTCACATCCCTGTCTTAGGAGGTAACATGCACTGACTAAAACATGTTTTTCTGTAGTCACATTTGTACGTTGCCTTTCCCCTGTAAAATATCATTTCCAAAAAATACCCCAACTCCATCCTGTCCTCACTCACCTATTTATTGTTATTATTTTAATCCTGGCCCATCTTCAATATTTGCCCGTAATTTACATGCTCTGCTGTGCTTCCCAGCTGCGTCCCTTCAACTATTATTTTCTTTATTTCAGCGAACATAACAGATATGGTTTTCTCACTTACACAGCGTAACTTCAATCATATTTGATTTGACGCTTTCGTGACTGCAGGAATTACTCTTTGGTTTTTTCGGTAAAGTGACTTTACCGAAAAAAACAAAGAGTAATTCAATCATATTGCTGCGCATTACACATTTTATGGAGTGTTTGCAATAGTTAAACAAAATAAACCAGGCTACAGCTCTGTATTCTGCAGTGCGAGTTATATACCATGAAACAGCCCATTAGATAAAGTGCAGTAAATTCAGCTTAATGATCATGGGCTTCAACAATACGTATTTCACATCTATTGATCCGGAGTATTTCCTGGCAACATAACTCCAGTATTGACTATTCCATACTCTTCCATCACATGCTGGGTGTGGTGGCGCACTCCTGTAATCCTGTGACTTCAAGTGAGGGTTGATAGATCACAGAGAGATGCAGCCGATATATATGTGCGACAGACACACGCTCGGCAAGAACGTATTCGTAAGAGGCGAGGCAATTAGGTTATTGGCTGGCTGGTAAAATATTCAAAGCAGCTGGATCCTCATGAATGAAAAAAATCTGAAGACTTCGTGAGGCTTCCCTGGTTAAATAAATAATTACTATTCTTGGTTCTTTCGGTAAAGTCACGTAGAAAGAAAATCAATTACATAATAGCATACACGACATTTCGATTGCAACACAAGCAACCATCATCAGGTACAAATGAAAGAGAAAACAAACCTAGTAAACTTAGAATTATAATTCAATACAACATAGAGAGTCGGCTAACACAACAGTCAACACCCCACCTGGTTGATTAACGTTCTTCCAAAGATTGCAAAATTTGAGAGAGAGACAAAACACAGACACGGAGACACACAGACAGACACATAAGCAGAGAGAGATAACAGAGACACACAGAGAGAGACACACACATAGGCACACGGAGAAACAACGCCTCTGTGTCGAGGCCTTAAACAGAGAGAGGGGGGCAGAGAGATAGAGGGGGGGGAAATTACTGTCATCAATTATTTAAGAGAAAGTGCACGTGTTCTGTCTGCAAAAATAAAATAGTAAACATATTGGTCAATAACATTGCCCTAAAAGGAGAAATATAACTTAGGGGACATTAAAAATGTATCTGCAGCGTTATTGACGAATGTGTTGAGTTTTTTTTTGTTATTTGTGCTTGTGCACCTCTGCCAATGCAGCATCACCAAATAATGTTTTGTGAAAATATGCATCTTCGTTCTGTTACAGCAGCAAATCGCCGCAAACCTTTGTCAAGCGGTGACGCTGATGAGGATGATGTCCTTCCATTCCCCATATAGATGGCGCTGATGAGGATGATGTCCTTCCATTCCCCATAGAGATGGCGCTGATGAGGATGATGTCCTTCCATTCCCCATAGAGATGGCGCTGATGGGGATGATGTCCTTCCATTCCCCATAGAGATGGCGCTGATGAGGATGATGTCCTTCCATTCCCCATAGAGATGGCGCTGATGAGGATGATGTCCTTCCATTCCCCATAGAGATGGCGCTGATGAGGATGATGTCCTTCCATTCCCCATAGAGATGGCGCTGATGAGGATGATGTCCTTCCATCCCTCATAGAGATGGCACATGGTGCACATTTGATGGCATAGCCGTGCCAAGGGCGAAGAGCTCGCTCTCATGTCACCCACACTCATGGCTTTTCGATCGATGTCGCTCACGTGCAATTGTGCTGTGAAGGCGTAAATTGATGTAACGTTAGCCGTCTGGGCCTGGCCGCTCCTACTTGCTCAGCTGCTGATGACACAATAGGCCATCAAAGATTTTCATGGTGTCAAAATAATATCGTCGTTGGCTGCCGAACGCAATGCAGAGATGAATGCAAGTAATGTAAAAAAAGAGAGAATTCACAAATGTGCTTTTGTGTCTTGTACAAATTGGAGTTCTGCTTAGCGACGGTGGACGCTGGCCCTGACAGGTGTGACGTATTTACTCAACGCTGCGTGGTGCACGAGGGAGGAATACGGTGTGGGAAGCTCGCAGCTTCGATAACCTCGACCCGATGATTGTTCCCCAAGCCGATATGAAACAGCACGGGATGTCCCGGCCACAGGGGGAACCGATTGCACCCCTGCTCTGCTCATATATGCTCATCCACTTAATTTAATGCCACATTCATACATTTCAAGTGGCCATCAAAATCGTCTGTCCCTTGCAGTTGATACAGCTGCGATGTCAGTTGTAAAATCCTACAGCATGGACATGGAGATAGGATAGCATGGAGATGTGTTTACCAAACAATCCAGGCAGTGCCCATACATGAAGATCGATACTTCTACATTACAATTGACAATACGATGTGGATATATATAGAATGTAACATCAACCGTATCTGAAGATGCTGTTCAGAAACAGTGTGCCTATTTATTAAATAGAGGCAAAGAGGCACTCATTTTAGGCGGAAGGAAAAAAGAAAAGATCTGGAACCTGGATTTTGAACAAGGGCATCCACAAAACAGATGGCTGGGGAAGGGAGCTCCAGACTACGGGGCAGCAGTGAAGAATGAGCGAAGGTTGAATGGAGGTGGGGGGGCTTCCACAGAAAGCCTTGGTTAATGGAGGAGAGGGCAGTCGAGTGAGATGAGAAGAGAGAGGGAGGCAGGCAGGCATCAGGCAATGGATGTTCATGATTATTTTTCTTGTAATCGCGGTCGCCAAACATAGTCCCCCAGAGGTTCAAAACACCAAGCAGCCAGCAACAAACAGCACGAGTTAATATATTTCTTGACTTGAGCGAGCTCAACCTGAGACCAATGGGAGGGAAATCCATAAGTCGAGCACTGCGGGGAAGAAACAGGTGACGATGATGATGATGATGAAAGCCTTGAAACACGAAATGCATGCACGGTGCGAGTGCTGCCATTAAGGAGTCCCCCACCCCCCCCCCCCCCCCCCCCAAAGACAAAGATCCTCCGTGTCGACTTGACAGACTGTTAGGGCAAGTGCTGTTAGTGAGCACCGATCAAGGCTGACACGGCCTTCATAGGGTGGCCAGCACCACACCCGGCCGTCTTTGTCTCCCTAATGGCGATGTTTACACACCACGCCAGGTACGGACTTCAGGCTGAGTCGACCTAGGGGAGGCCCAGGACCCGTTACAGGTATTCGTCACCGAAGTTTGCCGTGAGCGGAAATTGAACTCGGGTCAACCGGGTGTCGTAGCGCAGCGCGCTAACGGCTACGCTACCGCGCCCCCCACCCTGCGCTGCCACTCCACTTGCCGCGCGTGCAGATCGACCGCTGCCCTCTCCTCCACCCCTTGATCCGTTCGTGCCGATCCGCTCGGATGACTGCGGCTTCGACAAGGGGTGCTTCAGGTAGGCGGCGGGTGGACTCGGGCCGTCGCGATCGGTGAAAGTTTTAGTTCTTTGTTATGCGACGTGAGACCCAGTTGAGACAGACGCCTGCCTCTGCCAGGGCCGACGTTGCACGTGTATTTGTTCCCGTGTGTTACATGCAGGGGGCAGAATTATAGACAAGCGGAAATGTTACAGGGGGAGGAGGAAGGATTAGAATCATGAATTGTAAATATGAATAATTTACAGCCTCTTTATGTCAATCCACCGCTGTATGACAGCCCGTCCATGCTGTGACGGTCATGGGGATTGTTTGACCATACTTCACCATGGTGGTCTATATGACTAACGTTATCTGGTGCACGGGAAATAAATCATAACTGAAACACGATGTTCCGATTGCCAAGAAGAGGGAGTTCCAAACAGCAGAGGAGGCAGTTTAGCAGTGTTGCCAATGTGGTGAGTGATAGGGACATTCTAGTGCGTGTCCATGTGCATGTCATTTGAGTGATGGCGTAGTGGTTAGCACACTGCATCATGAACTTGGTAACCCGAGTTCGATTCCCAGCCAGGGCGAACATCATCCTTGAATTCTGCATCTAATGTGTACACATCAACACTGGTACTGGCCACAACGCCATCTTCATGTGCCTTACAGGCCTTAATAGGTGATCGCCAACAACACTTGCCCCAACAGCCAGTGAGGGCTACACGGGTCTTTGTGTTTGTGCACATGCGCGTGGGCAGGTATGGAGCTCCGGGCTGCGATGCCAACTCGTGCGAGTACTTCCTCAGCTACCGGCGTCTCGGGGAAGATGTGGAATTTGAGCTGAGCGCCGACACAGACGGCTGGGTGGGCGTTGGCTTCTCGTCTGACCGCCTGATGGTGACGAGCACCACTAAATATCGCAGCACACACCGGAACGAGACATCCCCTTTAGCCTTGCAGACTCGAGCGACACAAGAAGCAGGTTTCACGACCAGCGCAACATGCCAAGTCAGCTTTGGCTTACCACATTGCAATGTCCGTACATCATCTTCTGGTACTTATTTACAGCCGGGTTTATCTATTGGAAAGCCCATGACAGATCATCAGATGGAATTTGCCACAAGGAAAAAAAAGTCAAAGTAATTTCCTGCTCCAGCAGCAATGAGGCTGTGCTCATATCCAGCTTACAGCTCAGAGCAAGTGGTGAAAATTCCACTGTTGACTTTCCCACGAAGTGGTAGTAATTTTATCGACCCTGGGGGTCATGATGGGCTGAGTCAATGCCCAACCAGGAGTTGAAATCGCAACGCTCCAGTTGCCAGCAGTTACCGCTGAGCCATCTGGGTGGCTGGCTATGCATAAGGTAACACTCCAAACATATGCACTACATCACACAATACACACATATAACAACACTTTTTACACACACACACACGTAACATGCCATCATCGATCATACTTGTGAAATGGATCTTCCTATCCAAACGCTCATGCTGGCCACACGAAATCGAGATTGTATTCCTTTCCGTAGTTAAAATCATCACCACCAGGTGGAAACATCGAGCTGAATGTTGTTCAGCTGAATGTTAATGCAGTGCAGCCGCTCCCCACTTGATCCAAACGTTCGCAGCAGCACAGCATCCGCACTTACATCTGGTGTGCGGAGCAATGTGAATGGCAGTTTAACACGTCGGCTTTCGCGACCAATATTTGTCCACAATACATGTTTTTTTTGGATTAGATCGCATAAATATATAAATGTGTCGTTAAACCCACCACCACCCGACACAGCCGACTCGTAAGGGTTGTCACTTAAACAGAACGTGCCAATTCGTCACTAGTACAGCACACCGGTGTGTTGGAGAGCCAAGCCACAACATTTACAACATTACTAATTGGCTGTGTTGGGTGGTGGCGGGTTTATCGACACATATATTTACGCGATCTAACCCCAAAAAACCTCTATAATGGACAATGTGAATGTATTTCACGGATTACTTTTCGATTCACTATATTCCCAACACCGGCGTGCAAATGCATTGCAATGCACAGACTTGTGCCACGCATGGCAACCCGGCGCCTTTCTGCGCGATGAACTGAAATCCAGCAAAGTACAGCCAGGCGCCGTAAACGAAGGTTAGTGGGCTCATTGGCCAAGATCGGATTCAATTGCGACAACACCATTAAGCGGTGGCACTAAGATCACGCCACCGCTAAGACGTTCACTGACGGCGTTCAATGCCCTCCCCACCACCACCCCTCCACATTCCCACCACCCTGGGACCTCGGTGCCGAGCCACCACTCTCCCTGTCGTCGTCGCCGTCGTCAATATTTCAAAGTTGACTCCTTTTGAAAACCGTCACAGGAACGTGAATTTATGGCAAACAATCTTTGGCAGGTTTTAAATTGCCCCAACGGCTGCACACATCGGTATTATATAACGGTTGCATACGATCGTTGTGGTGATTTTGCGAGTTATTTACATTGCCTTGGTTTTCCCTGTAAGCTATATATATGTTAGGGTTTTTTGTTGCATCCGATATTTGCCCTACACTAATTTCACATGGTGTCATTTGTTTTAATTTGCTTAACTCAATAACGTTGTGTGAATATAAGTTATCCCTTATGCATATCATATATAAAATCAAAGCCATAACAACATTTCCAATGAGAGACCCAGCTGCATCTCAGCAAGGTTCTCCTGGCCAAATAAACAACTCGTAGAATGATGATTGTATTTTGACCTTTGACCACATCACCTAGAATGAGCCCAATCTCGTCATATTTCACGAGCTAAGCAGGAGTTGGCTGGTTATTGCTTGGACGGGTGACCATCATGCACATCATGTTGCTGTAAGCTTCTTCACCAGCTCAAATAACCACCACGATCAACATGGTGTGGGGGAGGTCCTCATCCAGCAGTAGATTGCCTTCAGGGCTGTATGAGTCCTCAATAGTATCATCTACAGGCTAGTGCAGATGTCTTGTGGCCACCAATGAATTCACCCCGAACACGTTTTTCCGTTGCATATTAATTTGTTTTAAATAAACTTTACTTAAAAAAAATATTCTTAGTTTTTTCGGTAAAGTCACGTTGAAGAGAAACAACAAAATAATAAAATATATAAAACAATAAAAATTCTCACGACGTTTCGACCATAACTCAAACGGTCGTCTTCAGGTGTGTTGGTTCGCATAAATTTATTTTTAAACGGCGCATTTATTTATTTATAAAAAACGTTAGCACCACGCGCAACGATTTGGCAGTTTATTTAGGTCTAGTCCATCTATATTCTGAAAAGAGGAGGGGGGAGACGAATTTTTTTATAAATAAATAAATGCGCCGTTTAAAAAGAAATTTATGCGAACCAACACACCTGAAGACGACCGTTTGAGTTATGGTCGAAACGTCGTGAGAATTTTTATTGTTTTATATATTTTATTATTTTGTTGTTTCTCTTCAACGTGACTTTACCGAAAAAGCTAAGAATATGAATTACTGCAGTCACGAAAGCTTTAAATCAAAATTAAAAAAAATAATAAAGTTTTATAGAATTAAATGGGGGTCACAAAACATCTGTACTAACCCTGTATTTTGTGTCCAACACCACAACATTCCAGTACATATGATCCACTGTGCGTGTTGTTGTTGTTGTTCCGGGCACAGGGTGGAAGTTCGTTGACGAGTGCGTGCTTGCCGTGGTTTTGCTGGCAGGGTGGAGACGACGTGATGGCGTGCGTGCACTTCAATGGGAACGTGCGCGTGCAGCACTACAACAACGTGGGGCAGTGGGTACGGGAGCAGCCACGCAACCCGGCGCGCGACGACGAGGCCATCTTCGAGAGCGGACGCGTCACCTGCCGCTTCAAGCGCGCGCTCGCCGCTCACCGCAACGACGCCATGGTGGACCTGCACCTCAGCTGGTACTACCTGCTGGCCTGGGGCCCGGCAAGCCACGGTGAGCTCCCCTTGCGGGCGTCAGAATGCGATGCCGGTGCCGTGGGTCCGTCTTGATCATTCGTCTTTGGCTCTTAAAGAAATTCGTAGGCTGCCATCACGCCTCGATTATCCGTAGGTGTTCACCTGAAAGTTTCGCATTATCTAGCATCTTCTACTCCAGCAACAAATGTGTTCTTCCCTGAGGTGACCTTCATTCTCCGGGAAGGTCACCCTACTAGATCTGTCCCCATTACAGACTCCTGTATCTTAAAAAAAGATTATAATATTATTTGAGAGTAGTTGTCATCTCCCCTTGTCATTTTGTTATTTCCCCGTGGACATAATTATCCACTGTATGCGCGTCCATGTGTGTGACTGCAACTGCCGACAGGCCTTCTGCTCTACGTCTCACGCTGACAATCCTGCTGTGTGTTTCCCCTCGGTGAAGTCACCCTCCCTCCCCCAGCACATGTTATGCGGCTCCTTCACATAAAATTGCCGTAAATTGTACAGTACTTGTTACGAGTGAATTAGACACGCTAACTCGGCTCCAACTGGGGAGGAAACGGCTCGTAACAAGACGTGACTTCACGCGCATCACCTCCACGGTGAATATAATTTCACCTCCTGTCACTTTTCCAAGTGACGATTCGCCGCATCCGTGTCCCCCGCTGCGCTGTGCAGGGCTGCTGACGCGGCACGACATGGACACCCCGCCCGTGACGGACTCGCCCGTCAGCGTCTTCCGCTACGAGGACGTGTACATGCCGTCGGCCGCCTACCAAACGTGCTCGTCACCCGGCTGCCTGCTCGTCATTGTGGCGATCACGTTCTACACACTCATGGGCGTGCCGTGACGGTCGCGACCAGGGCGGCGGTGGGGGGGGGGTTCTCTCTTCCTCTCTGTCGTGATCTACTCCGAGCCGTATATTTTCTTGAGCCGATTAGCTGGGCTTCCTTAATCAAGTGGGTCGACCCCGCACTCTTGTCCCCCCCCCCCCCCACTGCAGTATATGCTGTTGTGTCAGGTGACGAACAGCGCTTGATATATTCACATCCAACGACGCTTCCACAACGGCGACGACACAAATGCAAGACTATTCACTCCCGCGAACTGCGAGCAGCAGCGGCCCAATAAAGGTTCGACAACCATGAATGGGTATAGTCCACCCAGTTACGACTACACCTGTCTCTCGCTTCGAACGGGACCTGTAACCACCACCTGCCTTCCCTATCCGATGTCAGTGCTTTCGCTGTCACCGGCAGACTCTCGTAGGTCAGTCGGCTGCAGCTCTGCTCACCTGCATGTCCACCACACTCGTTGTCTGTCAGCGTCGCACACTCAGCGTCACGTTTGCAATGCATCCTGGTGGGCTTCACTAACGATGTGCCAAATCAGACCGCCCCGCGTTTCCAGGCAGCGCCACCCTGTAGGGTGCGCGCACCGATGCTAAAATGGCCCTGGCACCTTCTGGGTAATAAAATGCACGATAATGCATCCATTGTTAATATTTATTATCAATAGCAATTTGGGTTTATACGTTGTATAATTGTGGTCACCATCTCCAAAAGTTATGGTGCAATGTGGAGAAACGTTCTGCTGCCTCATTGAGTCTAAATACTGTTGGGAGTGTCCTGATTTGGGATGTTCGTTCGAATCCTTCGGAATAGATATGCGTGGTACATAGAACTGCAGTGCCCCAGGGGAAACTCGTGCATAGGAAACAGAGATGACACTCAAACTGCTCATCAGCGTGCCGGCAAACCTACTTGCTCTACTGTGAAGTCTTTGAGGTGTTTTCACTCAAATCAGTCGGAGGGAGGCTTTGGGGCAGTGTTTGTGCTGGGCTGTTATCGTCCAGAGATCTGTGTCATGCACGTGGCTATGCTTCCTAATTGAGTTGACATGACCATTCTCGTCACACTTGTGACTACATGTTACATACATTTTCCATGTTTAAAATGTTCTCTCGAAAAACATAATATTTACTATAGTTAGTAAAAAAAAAATAGATTATTAATTTAAAAAAATATTGTATAACACTGTCAAGATTGTGTATTTTAACAATATACTAAGCCGTAGTTTAGATCATGAGGATGACAAATTATTACCGTATGACGTTCCACAGTTGCCAAATAGAATACGGTACTCAAATATGGCATAACGTCTACGTCGGTTAACAAGGTAATTGCTGTGATAGACGCAGCGGTATTTATTTATTCTTAAGAAGTAAAAAATCTCATCATGTCTATTATTACAATGGGGTTCATATGAGCAATAACACAAGTACGTCCGCCAGCTTGCTTTGCTTCCTACCCGGTTTGTACTTGCAGCCCTGCTTGATGAGCTATGTTTGGGTTAGACATCATCGATGCTGCGCTCGTTATTTTTGGATGAAATCGGCATCGGCACTCGCACAATACAACCAAGTTCAGTGTTAATCGGTTGCAGGTGTGTGGACACACCAAAGACAAACTCAGGAGCTGCTCAGTATTTCAATGAAACACCTCACCGCGAGTCACTTTGAAAACTTTGTATGACCATTACGATGAGCCCCTTTAAGTTTTGAACTTACACAACGTACAAATGTGACAGTATCTCAGTGGAGCTGAGAGGATGGGTAAAATAACAAGCGTAAATTCGGATTGGCGAAATTATCTTCTGTGCTGAAGTTATTTAATTCTCCAAGTGGATTACTCATCTGGCGTGCAGCTGTTTGCATGCCTTTGTGTGGGGCACCAGTACAAAACCATGCCATGATCGAGAGAAAAAACTTCGACCCAAAGCCATGACATTAGTTATCGCCGCTCATTCACAACGTGTTTACCCAGCACTCTTCCATTCGCCTCAGATTCCCTGTGGTCCCATACGCCTTCGTCTGCCGATGAAATGGGGCCCTTTTCACGTGGGGTGAGGCTTCACTGGGGTCATGACATGGGTCTGAAGCAAGGAGTGAGAATAGCCTCAAACTGCCACAGTGGTCCTTTGGAGAACAGTAACTCGGTCGTTGTAGCGTAATCTGGGTCACTGCACTCGTTGTGTCAGTAAACACATATGCTTACATTCGCGCTTTTCTGAAACGGTATACCACATATACAGCACAGTGTTTGTATTTGCCATTCACTCTTTGAGTGTAGTTCAGATAATCACTAAAGTACGTACTTGTTCTCGTCACTACGGTATTGGTGATCACGCACTGGAAAATAACGAGTCGTGTAAAAATGTCATTTTATTTTTCCCCCACCACTGATGGATTGAGGCCTCTTTGCGGCATCGCGCTCCCTTGCGATCCCTTTGACGCCACAATCCATCTCTCTGATGCACACTAGACGCTCTCCTCATGGCTCCATCTCAAAGGTGGTCGTCCTCTCGTGTGATCCCTCCTTTTGTAGCCCTTCCGTAAGGCGTCTTGTCCAGCAGTCCTTTTCCCTTCCAGCAATGTGTCCCACTAATGTAATTATTGCGTCAAAACGATTTCTCTAATCTGTTCACTAATCCACGTGTTGCCCATTCCATCTCTCGGTCTAATACTAATAATGAGATGTCTCCACGACAGAAATAACCGCGGTTTTCATTTCTCCTTGACAAAGTGGTCACCTACACGAATGGCAATGGCGGGGAACTCAGTTTACGCCTGATATGAAATGTGAAATAAAATGATCCTTCTCTTCACCAGTCTCTCCTGCGGGTGTGCAGTTTTGTCGTGTTTCATTGTTTTTCATGATGCCCCAGAAGCCACTCCTGTACATGTGGAGTGGGTCTAACTGAGTCGCAAACGTTGTTCCTTTTAGAGGCAACATTTTTATTTGTAACACAAAGGGGTAACTGCCCCTTTGCCATCTACAGCGAGTTACTGCTACGAGGGGTCGATTCCTCACTCGGGTCTCCGACCACGTGGTTGCCTCGTAAGACGGGGAGCTTCAGCTTGAGACGTAGAGCTTCCCACTTGTAGATGTTGAGATTCCAGCTTGTAGAATGCAGCGACCCCGGTCCCTCTCAGGGACCCGCCTTATATCCTTCTCCGGTCGGGGCCGCTCCGCCCTCGGCCCCGCCCGCCTTCCCGAACATTCTCGTTCCCTCTCGATCCTTCTCAAGAGCTCTCTCCGGACACGTCATCACCCCCGAGTCCCCCCACCTGGGGCCCCCTGTATGGGCATTCCGGATCACGTGTCTACGGGGTCAACCAGAGTGCCATGGCCCGGGGCCACCCTGCCCCTGGGCTGACACTCACCCCCTCCCGCTCGGGGGAGCCCCCACCACACACTGTGCGTGGTGCCCGCACTATCCCAGTGCTCACCAAGCCCAGCTAGGGCTGGTACTACACACAGCCACCCACACGGTGCTGTCCACGCTAGGGCTGGTGTTACACACAGCCACCCACACGGTGCTGTCCACGCTAGGGCTGGTGTTACACACAGCCACCCACACGGTGCTGTCCACGCTAGGGCTGGTGTTACACACAGCCACCCACACGGTGCTGTCCACGCTAGGGCTGGTGCTACACACAGCCACCCTCACGGTGCTGTCCACGATGTAGGAACATCGAACGACACGACCCTTCCGGGCTGGCACCATACAGTGACATCCCTGATGTCACTACACATTCATAAACACACCATGGAATTGTCCACAATGTAGGCAAAGGTGAGAGCCCTGTAGTTAGTTGCTCACGCTACTGTTTGCGGAAGTGCCTCCACTGTAGGGAGCTCTAAAGGGTATTTGGCCTACTTTTCCACGCTCGCCAGGACGTCTGTGAAGAGGTGAAATACCCATACGTTACCTCGCATCACACGCGGACCTGCTTATCCACTTGGGTGTACCCATTTATACTGCGACATGGACAGTGGCAGGTGGTGTTTATAAACTGTTTAATAAACGTGGTAATCATTACACCATGGGCATTAACTTTTTTGTAGATGCCGTCTGAAAAAGGTTTTGAGACATAAACCAATTCATCTTTTCACTCCACCCTGACAACATTTCCTAGGGAGTCCATTAGTGTAACCCAACTCGGAACCCGTCTCCCACCAACTTTACCTGTTTAGAACGTGACCCCATGGCTACAATGTTTCCGCAATTCACTCTTACAGATAAACAATGGAAAACGTCGACCCCTACTGCGAACAATGAGCTTGCATTAAACACTCCCAGAAATGTCGATTTAAAGCTTTCGTGACTGCAAGGATTCATCTTCTTTGGTTCTTTCGGTAAAGTCACGTAGAATGAGAATAAATAACAATAAAATTCTCACGACGTTTCGGCCACAACACAAGCGGTCTTCATCAGGTGAAGGGACGAGACTGTCCGGAGGACAGCGCTGGAGCGAACACAGCCAAGCTCAGACCGCTTAAAGGTCGCGGTCTGAGCTTGGCTATGTTCGCTCCAGCGCTGTCCTCCAGACAGTCTCGTCCCTTCACCTGATGAAGGCCGCTTGTGTTGTGGCCGAAACGTCGTGAGAATTTTATTGTGTTATTTTATTTTATCAATTTATTATTTTATTCTCATTCTACGTGACTTTACCGAAAGAACCAAAGAAGATGACTCCCAGAAATGTCATGTGGAAGGGGCAGATCTGAAAGATGTGTTTTCTGCTTGGTTTATTTTGTTATATTCTCCATTACGACGCGCATCATTACCTTCTTAAAAAAAAGAGTTGAGCCACAGTGAGGCTTTCCGTGATACACTTAACAACCACAATAGCTTTTTTTTTAATTTAAAGCTTTCGTGACTGCAGGGATTCATATTCTTGGTTCTTTTGGTAACGTCACGTAGAAGGGAAACAATAGGATAAAAATTTTAATTTAATAATAATCTTCTGATTTTTTTTATAATAAAAATATATATTTTTTATTATTATTTTATTGTTTCCCTTCTACGTGACTTTACCGCACGCTTGCGAGGGATTTAGCTCTCAAAGGGTGAGGTTTACGTTAAAAATAAATAGCCAGGTAACACGCTGTAAGCCCTGCGATGAGCAAGCGCTATTCCTTTTTCCCATCCGTCAACTTTTAAGTACTTTATTTAGCGATTTTGTGCAGTTTTCGATTGTATATTGATTAAACTAGCCATGGTGGAGAGTTTGGAATCTGATTGATTGATTGCTTCTGTGGACAGGTGTCTTTTATACAGGTAACAAGCTGAGATTGGGAGCACTCCCTTTAAGAGTGTGCTCCTAATCTCAGCTCGTTACCTGTATAAAAGACACCTGGGAGCCAGAAATCAATTTATAACATTTTTGACATGCGTTTTTCTTGATTTTGTTGTTGTTATTCTGTCTCTCACTGTTCAAATAAACATACCATTAAAATTACAGACTGATCATTTCTTTGTCAGTGGGCAAACGTACAAAATCAGCAGGGGATCAAATACTTTTTTCCCTCACTGTATATGTTTCTAAGTCCATGTGTGCGTGTGATTTCATGTGCGTGTGATTTCATGTGCGTGTCTGCGTCGATGTGTGCGTGGCAGTCGATGTGTGTGCACGGCTCCATGTGAGTAAGTCCATTTCTTCGTGTGTGTAGGTCCACGTGTGTGTGTCAGTCGATGTGTGTGTGAGTCGATGTGTATGTGTACGTCGATGTGTGTGTGAGTCCAAGTGTGTGTTAGTCCATATGTGTGTGTGTAGGGCGTTGTGTGTGTCAGTCTATGTATGTGTTTGTGTGAGTCGCTGTATGTGTGTACGTCGATATGTCTGTGTAACTCCATTAGTGTGTATCTAAAGTCGATGTCTGTGAGTCCATATGTGTATAAGTCGATGCGTTAGTGTGTGTGGGTCAATGTCTGTAAGTGTGTGTAAGTCAATGTGTGTGTCTGATTTTTTTGCCCGGGCAACGCCGGGTACTTCCCGCTAGTAAATAATAACCACGAGCAGGTCATCATCTATATATATATAAAAAAAAGGGAAATTTGTGAATGTGTCTCTGTTCAAAATGTTTACCATACTTTCCGATATGCAACAAACTTGAAATTTGGCATGTGGGTAGCTTCCAGACTGTACACAATGCAAAACGTATAAAAATAGATTTTTGTATTTTGGGGGGGGGAGCGCAATAATGGATATAATATACACGGCAGGTTAGCGGTGACGTCACATCTGTGATGTCACCCGCATGCGGCAGCGTCACGCAGTGTGCCTGCTGACGTCACGCATCTAAGTCAACGCGACTATTTTCAGCTCGCTTTTAAATGTAAAGCAGAAAATCCATCTGTTTGTGTGAAGCAGCAGAAAAAAAACTCTCGAGCGCTGACCTCTGACGTCATGTAATTTGCACAGCTGACGCTGTCTGGAATGTCTAAGGCCACGTCATTACCTTCCCCGAGTTTGCCTGCTTAAGGTTAAATTTTCCTTGAAGTGAAACACATCCGATTAAGTAAAATTGATTTGTTTCGGATTTTTTTCTTTCTTGCAAGCATCAATTTTTTTTGCAGTGTTTTCCACTGAAATATAAGGGAATGTTAAATGAATCCCGGGGCGAACCCGGGTAGTACAGCTAGTTAGGTTATACAACTGAAAAACAAAATCACGTACTGTATTCTGTAAAACTGTTCACAGTGGCGTACTGGCTACAAATATAAAAAAAAACATTCGTCAATAACACCGTGGTCTTAAAACTAAGTTATCATACGCGACGTTTCGGGCAGTGGCCCTTCGTCACAGCATACAGAGACGTTAGAGGCTGAAGGCCAACTCCAGGTGCGACTCCCGAACTCGCACGGACGAGGACGGAGAATCGATCCGAGCCGGGACTCTCATCGTGAGCGGCAACGTCACCCCGAGTGACAACCACCCCACCCCTCCCACCCCAAACACCCACCCCACCCCTCCCACCTCTCCCACCCCACGCACCCCACCCCATCCACCCCACGCACCCCACCCCTCCCACCCCACCCCTCCCACCCCACGCACCCCACCCCATCCACCCCACGAACCCCACCCCTCCCACCCCACGCACCCCCACCCCTCCCACCCCACGCACCCCTCCCACCCCACCCCACCCCTCCCACCCCACGCACCCCCACCCCTCCCACCCCACGCACCCCTCCCACCCCACCCCACCCCTCCCACCCCATCCACCCACCCCTCCCACCCCACGCACCCCATCCACCCACCCACCCCACCATCGTGCCCCGTGAGAGGCGGTCGCGATGGAGGATTCTCAACCCCACCACCGCCGCCGCGACCAACAGCCACCGCCGGCGACGCCGTCTGCTCGCGTGGCTCGCCAGGCCGTCTACAACACGGGCGCGCTGCTACTCGCCGCGCTGTGGTGCGGCGCGGCGGTCTGGCTCTGCGCCCTGCTCGAGCAGTTCCTGCGGCCTCTGCTCTGGGCGACGCTCTGCGGCTCCTTCCTGCACCCGTGCAAGCGCGCCCTGGCGGCGCGGGCCCGCGCCTGGCTCGCCGAGCTCCGCGCGCGCCGCCGGCCCCTGGCGCTCGCCGCACTCGCGGCGCTGCCCCTGGCGATGTCCGCGCGCCTCTGGCCCCCAAAGCCGCCGATGCCGGCGGCCCTCGGGCCGGGCCCGGCGTGGTGCCGGTGGCCGGGCACGTGGCGGCAGAAGAGGGGTGCCGGGCTCGCCGTGCCGCCGCCGCCGCCGCTGCTGCTGCTGGCGGTCGGGGTGACGGCGACGGTGGTGGTGGTCGCGGAGGTGCTGGGCGGAGTGCGGGAGACGTTGCACGGCGTGTTGGGGCTCTTCGACTCGAGACGGGCGAGTGTTGGTGCGGCGTGTGTTGTTGGCGTTGGGCTTCTTTCGGACCGTACACACATGGCCAATCGTGCTGTGTGTTTGGAGAAGCTTTGGCATGCTGTGCCTGTTCGTCGTCATTGGCGGCGCTCGCTTTAGCACTGCGCTGTAATTGTGGGCGTCGTGGCACGGTTGAGTCAGAGAGACTTGATGCTGATTTGTGTACGAGCCATTGTGACGGACACACAAACAATGTGACCGAAGTGTGTTCGGCATGCCACGACTGTACCGTATAATTGGAAGGGGTTTTAGAAATATCCGGGGAGACTTTAAACATAATTTTCACGGTTATTTGTTTTTAGTTGAACTTGTAGTAATCACTGGTATTGATCCTAGGGTTGTTCTTTCCCAAGGGCTCTATGGGAAGGGATGTAATAACGGAATGAATGTTATGGAGATTATGCCCGAAGTCTCTGTTAGAGCGTGTGGAAAAAAATGCATTGCTCTTTTTTCTGACTGAGGGCGCTTGAAGGGATGGATCTCAGTAGTTTAGTGAATTTTTTTTTAAATAAGCGTACAATAGGCAAATAACAATTTTAACATAACTGGGCATACAGCACGAAATGAAATCCACAACACAAATCCGTACGTGTCAGCGTGTTGGACAACAGAGTAACACCACTGCCAGCATCAATCATTTGCTGCCAGAATTTCAGATATTCGCCAGGCTAATCCTGAAGCCGTCCACTGGCTTCACACGCCATCCTTAAAAAATATAAAACGTCGCTGATTAACTCCCCCACCATACAGTATAATAATGCAAATCAGGGACCTCATTTCACAATCATTTCAAAAAAATAAAACATTATTTTGAAATAATTGCAATGACGGCAAAAAACGCGAAATTGCCGCGTCTGCTTGTTGTCTGAACATAACTCTCAATGCTCTTTGCTCAGGCTAACTGTGTTGCCATGTCGATGGGTCTGCTCTCACGCTCTCGTAGGTGTGGAGCTTCGTCTGCGCCTACCTGCTGGCGGTTCTGCTGTGTTGGAGGCCGCGCACTCAACCCGTGCTGCAGGGCCTCGCCTGCCTGCCCTGGGCCGCCCTGCTGCTACATCTCGGTGCGCAGCAATGTGATGCCACGTTAACAGATGGATCGAGAGCGGCCCGAGACACATCGATGACACTCCCAACACACCGGGAGCACGTGACGCTGGCCCGTTGTGCCCCGTCCAGCGGCCCTGCCGGCGAAATCCGATCAAAGTTAACATGTGATGTGCAAATGTTTACGGCGTTGTAGTTATTGCAACGTCATTTAACTATACATTTATAATTGTATCTCGAATGCTTTTTTTTCTGTTGCTCTTCCAGTATGAATAAATATTAATTATTAGTTCATTCACTACAGTTAACTTGACAACAACAACATAAGCCTGCCATACGTTTTTTAATCATTGCAGCTTTACAATATATAACGCTTATTAGTCACATACCATGACACGGCTTTGGTAACAGCGCCGAGCTTTAACGATCAGGTGGCTCGCTGCCTGCCACACTCTCTCTGGTGGCTTGTTAACAGTGTCTCTGGCCGGGAGTTGGCGGATACCAGCCCTGCTACTCCTGCTCACCCTGCTGCTCGTCGGCTGGCTCAAAGAGAGTGGCAGAGACGGTAACAAAGGTGTGTGCACTCATTTCTTTATAGCCTCGCCGAGTCCCCCCCGGTTGCTCTGTAGGCGTTTTATTATGGACTGCACCAAACCCACTGTCCTAACATTTAGCACATTGGAGTCCTGGGATTACATTTGCAACTGGGTGACATCAGAATATATTTGCTTGAGAATAGCTGATTAACTTGTTTTGTTGAACAGAGCATAGTTTCCGATTATACCTGGCTACATTCACACTGTTTTGTGATTGTTTTTTTGTGATGAGTCTTCGTGTTGGGCCTTTATACACTTTGAGGTGTCTGCTAGAGGCGTTGTATTTCTGAACGGAAGAATGTGTGGTTGTGCATTTAAAAAAAACAATTCCTGACATTGCCAAAACTATAACGTAAATCAGTATCATTTTTATCAACTCAGAAATGTTAATATTTTATTACATTTTTGTATGATTGTTTACCAATCTCGTGTGTTAATTTTTTTCTGAAGTATTAAGTTTATTCAAGTTGTTGTTGATGGGCCTCGTCAAGAAGGCATGATAAAAATGAGCATTTCTGTGTTAGACTTGAGTCGTGAAAGATTCGGTTGCTGGAATAGCGCGTGGCTTTCCTGTGGCCAGGAGTGGGGTTTTCAGACCTTCTGGTTCAGATGTCTACCATGGCCACCTCCATCACGGGGTTGGGAGCCTCGCTCAAGGAAGCCCAAGACTCCTCTGCAAGTAATATCCTTCTCTCCCCTTGCTTTCGCTCCTTGGTATTCACACGTCAGTTTCATTGTTCGGTTTATTAAGCTCTGCTTTTTTTCTCTCACTTTTTCAGAAGCTCATTCAACAGAACGCTCTGAGTTCACTTCAGCATCGTTGACAGCAGACCAAACATCGACTTCGTCACCTCAAAATTCTACGCTCTCGGGTGAAACCTCTTCCTCAAACCGTGCAGCACACACCCCAGCGCGACCTCCTCCTACCAGCTGGACCCAGGGACCTCACCGAGTGCTGTGGCTGACGCACAGGCGGAAGTGCGTCAGTAACGTCTACTTCGTGACGCTGCTCTGGGCGATCGTGTCCGTCCAGATTTGGCTCAACCTCTGGATTCTGCAACTCCTTCCCATTCCCATTTCCAGTGAGTGTGCACATGGGCCACGTGAGCTTTATCATCTACTATAATTACAATAATAATAATAAAAAACACTAATAATGTACTTGCATTTTAATAGGCATTGTATTGCAAAAGAAGAGCACACAACAACTTCAGGAATGAATTTACTTTTAAAATTTTTTAGCGTAAACCTTGCATTGTAACTTTTACGTTACAATTTCGACAACTAAAAATGCTGCGACATGCTAACGGAAGCGATGGATTAAAAAAAAGCGGCGATATTAACAGCACGGAGGTGCTGTCCGTCGATGGCTGTCTGGATGGTGTTGCTGTCGTCTCCGCTGATGCCGGCTGTCTCGGGCACAGTATGCCTGCTGATGAAGCTACTGGAGGCGTTCCGGGTGCGGGAGTTTGTGGTGGCGTGCGCCGGGCGCTGGCTCTCCCGCCTGGAGAGCCACCTCGAGGAGCGGCGAGAGGCCCTGCTGCCCCGGCCGATCTACGGCCTTGGGCAGCTCCTCTTCAGTGCTGACCGGAAGGTGCGCCCCTTCATCTCGACCGCCGCTCTCCTGCAGCTGGTCTCGATGTAACAGGAACGGCTGTGCCCCGTGACGAGCTTCTGCTCATAGAGGTGGGGGGGGGGGGGGGCGCACAGCCTTAGTTATTGGCCATAAAATGTGAGGCGTCGTTCCTTCACCTCAAACATGCCGACCATCCGTAAGAGTGAAGATTTGGATACACAGTCAAATTTATCGGACTCGTGTGACCTAGTTTTGCATGGCGAAACGTTTATTTTGACGCAAGGTCATTTCCGCACCTGAACGTTTTATCCTTTTGAGTCGAGTTTGTGACCAAGGGCTTATTATGTGAGCACCTGCATCACCTCCTGAATAGAACAGAGCGACAACAAGGTGTAAGTGGAAAACGTTAATAACAACACCTTGTAATTTCTCCCGTGGTGGCTATTTTGGTCAATTTCACGTTGTTTTTGCTTTCCTCTTTCGCCACAGCTCCAGGGCCGTATTGATAACGGTTTCGAAAACAATGATCTGCCCGAGCCAACTCGGCATTATTGCGCACACAGCCAACTTTTAGTAATGCAGAGTGTGTTAGAGCGTTGACCGTCCCAATTGGTGCCTTTGCCACCAGAGAGGATCCAGTGACTTCGCAAATAGAAGAAGATGCCAGGAGAATCAATTGTTGCAGATTGGAGCAGACGCTGGCTCAGGGAGCAGTCGGAGAGAACCCCAGGGGGAGGTCGTTCCAGATCTTATTACACCATGCCTATTATATGTTTGGCATTGCATGTGCTTAATCAGCAGAATTGCTGGAGCCTTTTGACATTATGCGATCACAGTGATGGGTCATATGATACTTGAGCTGTTTAGCGCAGGCTACAAGTGAAAAACTCCGACGTTAACATAATCAAGAATCTGTCATTTACCCAGGACTCGTATAAAAAGTTACTTGTTATGTGTCCGTGTCTTGAGCCGTACACAAATTTTGTCGCAAACAAATATCCCTGCAGCATCGTCTATTTTAATGTTACGGTGGCCTGTGCTTCAAGATCTCACGCAAACGAAAATGATCAGGGATGTGGTTTTGTGATTCTGCCATTGATTTGCAAACCAAGATAAGCCACATCTGTTGGATAACATTACACTTTTTATCCCATGACATTATTGACGAAAACTGGCCTTTGTTTGCCATAACATATTTTACTTGCGTTTATAAAGAATTTTCCCGGGATAACAAAAACTACACTTGGCTTGGGAAAATGCTCCTAGACCTTGAATAGCCTTTTGATATTCGCATTCTTGCAAACAAGTCGTGTTCACTCGAATAGAGTCACGTTGGAAATGCCCTCGCTCTCTGAACAATCATGCCACAGTAATCTGGGTTTTTTTTAAGTGATGGCAACTTTTCCTTGCCGTTCTCCCACGCGTTATTTTGAACGCTGCTGAATGTGGTGCCCACGGTGTGCGTGCGTGTATGTGTGCGTGTGTGTGTGAGTGCGTGTGTGTGTGCTCAGCTGCGGTGGTGTAGTGGGGAGCGGCAGTGCAATGGCTAACGCGCTTCCGTTACGAACCTGGCGACCCGAGTTCGATTTCTGCTTACAGCCAACATCGGTGACGAATATCTGAACCGGTCCTGGGCCACCCCTAGGTCGACTGAGCCTCAAATGATACCTGGTGCGGTGTGTAAGCATCTGCACTGGGGAGCCAAAGGCGGTCTGGCGTGGTGCGGGCCACCCACCTCCTCGTGTTGCTCGCGAGCAGCACTTGCTCCAACAGTCTGTTAAGGCTATGGGGGGGATCGATTCACGTGGTTTGCTACGTACGGTGCGAAAGAAGTTCAACATACATACATCTTTGTCTTTGCTCAGGTGCTGGGTTGGCTGGAGTCGTCTCTGGACAAGCTGATCAGCGTGCTCATCATCCTGCTGCTGCTGGTGGGCACGCTGCTGCTGGGGCTCTTCCTCACCGCCAAGGTGCACCAGGAGAGCAAGCACGTCGTGGCCGTCACACGCAGCCTCATCAACGAGACGCTTGCCCAGCACCCCGAGTGGGCCAAGTGAGCTCGCCTTGTACCCCCCCCACCCCTGCCACCCCACCTCCCCCCACGCTCCGCACCGCTCACGCACAGAGGCACAAATGTCAGAAACTGGACACGCTTGTCCATAACACTGCCTTAAAGCAGGACAATAATATAGGTGACATTTCAAGCGGTGACCTTTCTTTTGGAATAATAAAACTAAAAATTGCTGATGTGTTCTCACTGCAGATCTCCCTGCTATAAAGAAAGGCATTTTCCAGAAATGTAACCTATCGTGAGTTTTTCCTCTTTAAGGCAGTGTTTATTGATGAGTCTTTTGAGTTTGTGTTGATGGTGTTTGTGCACCCCCTGCTAATGTAGCATCGCAAACGATCTTTTGTTTAATTTTGCGTATTTAATATATATCTTCGCATTTATATGGTGCTTATAACTGTCTTAGCAACTCAAAGCACCTTGCCTCACATCTCAAACATTCAAAGGCGACACCAGGAGCAGCTGTCACTGTGCTGGTGACTAGTAGACAGTCACTGTGCTGGTGACTAGTAGACATTAGTCCCTGTGCTGGTGACTAGTAGACATTAGTCACTGTGTTGGTGACTAGTAGACATTAGTCACTGTGCTGGTGACTAGTAGACGTTAGTCACTGTGCTGGTGACTAGTAGACATTAGTCCCTGTGCTGGTGACTAGTAGACATTAGTCACTGTGCTGGTGACTAGTAGACAGTCACTGTGCTGGTGACTAGTAGACATTAGTCCCTGTGCTGGTGACTAGTAGACATTAGTCACTGTGTTGGTGACTAGTAGACATTAGTCACTGTGTTGGTGACTAGTAGACATTAGTCCCTGTGTTGGTGACTAGTAGACATTAGTCACTGTGCTGGTGACTAGTAGGCATTAGTCACTGTGCTGGTGACTAGTAGACATTAGTCTCTGTGCTGGTGACTAGTAGACATTAGTCCCTGTGCTAGTGACTAGTAGACATTAGTCACTGTGTTGGTGACTAGTGGGCATTAGTCACTGTGTTGGTGACTAGTGGGCATTAGTCCCTGTGCTGGTGACTAGTAGACATTAGTCACTGTGCTGGTGACTAGTAGACATTAGTCACTGTGCTGGTGACTAGTAGACATTAGTCACTGTGCTGGTGACTAGTAGACATTAGTCACTGTGCTGGTGACTAGTAGACATTAGTCACTGTGCTGGTGACTAGTAGACATTAGTCACTGTGCTGGTGACTAGTAGACATTAGTCACTGTGCTGGTGACTAGTAGACATTAGTCACTGTGCTGGTGACTAGTAGACATTAGTCACTGTGCTGGTGACTAGTAGACATTAGTCTGTGTGCTGGTGACTAGTAGACATTAGTCTGTGTGCTGGTGACTAGTAGACATTAGTCACTGTGTTGGTGACTAGTAGACATTAGTCACTGTGCTGGTGACTAGTAGACATTAGTCACTGTGCTGGTGACTAGTAGACATTAGTCACTGTGCTGGTGACTAGTAGACATTAGTCACTGTGCTGGTGACTAGTAGACATTAGTCACTGTGCTGGTGACTAGTAGACATTAGTCCCTGTGCTGGTGACTAGTAGACAGTCACTGTGCTGGTGACTAGTGGACATTAGTCCCTGTACTGGTGACTGGTGGGCATTAGTTTGCCAGTAGGGGGTGATGATTGCAACGTGTAATCCCAATTGAATAAGTCGAAGCAAGTTTACTTCCAGTGACGCTTTTAAAAACGAAGTTAATACCTCAGTGGGCATTGTCTGTTAGGATGGGGATGGTTTATTTTATTTTGTATGTTTTTCGGGTGATTTCTTTTACTTTTCTTGTGCTTTTCACTCCTTTCGTGTTTTTGTCTTTGTTTGTGGTTGTAACGTTCTTACCCTCCCCTACCGGACATCTGCGAAAAAGAGCTTTATTGCTAATTGGATCCTTCCAGTATAAATACATATTCAGATTTTGGCTCAAAGGTCACAGTGCTGAGCTGGCGTCGCTGAGACCTGGGTTCGAATCCAGGCCGCCGCCCGCTGATGATTACACCAGGTTCTCAAGTGTAGCAAGCTAATGGCTTCAGCTCAGTGACCAGTCCCTGCACAATAAGACCCGTTTATTGATTTGAAGCTTTCGTGACTGCAGGAATCCATACTCTTTGGTTCTTTCGGTAAAGTCACGTAGGTTGAAAATAAATCACGACGTTTCGGGCGCTTTTTCCCACCTGATGATGGACGCTTGTGTTGCGCCCGAAACGTCGTGATTTATTTTATTTTATACCTACGTGACTTTACCGATAGAACCAAAGAGTAAAGAGCCATTATGTTAAATTTGGTTTGGACTTTGGTTACAATTCCAGCTCTGTGAAGCGATGGTCATCTTTGCACAGTTCCTTACATTTTAACTCATTATTTTTGCGTGTAGTGAATACATAAAATGGCATATTGATTTCCTCTGTGCAAGTAAATTTTGGCTGAATGCCAGACCCCAGAGGTCACTCTTAAAACTGCAGGTACAGCAGTTGAGCTGCATTTAAAGAAAGCTAAAACAACACCTTGTTATCGCACCCTGACCTTATGCAAAAAAAATTCACATTTAGTATAATAACGTGTGTTTTACCTTAACAGTTTTACACTTATTCTTGGTTCTTTCGGTAAAGTCACGTAGAAGGGAAACAATAAAATAATAAAAATTAAAAACAATAAAATTCTCACGACGTATCGACTGCAACACAAGCAATCATCAGGTGTGAAAACCACAGCAAGAAAATTTTAAAACTTTTTTCAAACTTTTTATAAAATTTCTTGCTGTGGTTTTCACACCTGATGATGATTGCTTGTGTTGCAGTCGAAACGTCGTGAGAATTTTATTGTTTTATATTTGTATTATTGTATTGCTTCCCTTCTACGTGACTTGACCGTAAGAACCAAGAATATGAATCCCTGCAGTCACGAAAGCTTTAAATCATCAATTTTACACTTGTATTGCTTTTCATTCGTGTGCTACAAAAACAGCTGTTGCAACAACAACAACAAAAATCAAACATTTTGGATAACGTGTTTAATATGGAAATACAGTCAAACTTCATTTATCCAGGGTCAAATGGGGCTACGGGTTCCGCGGTTACAAATATCCGAAGTCCCAACCTAAGATTCACTCATTTATCCAGGGAGGGGGGGGGTGACCACGGATACCCCCAGATCATTGAAATAATTTTCTAAATAACTCCGTTTATCCGTGGTCCCAACCTCGGATTTTTTAAAAATTATTTGCCGAATAACTCAATTAAACAATGGTCTGGACCCCGGATATTTGGATGGCCATGCCCCCCGAATAAACAAATTAACGGATAATCTGGTCAGGGATAAACGGAGTTTGACCTCAAACTGACACAGCATTAAACCATGATGTGAAACTACTGTTTTGTCACAGCTGGCTACCAGAGGCTGAGGCGGAAATGCAGAAAGCCTTGGACTCGGCGGCCAATAGTGTCTATCAGTACGGCCGGGAGTGGATAACAAGCCGGGTAACGCAAGCTGCTCTTGTAGGCACCGATGCGGTGTTCCTCCTTAGGCGTCGGAACCTCCAGCTGTTTTTATGTTGTGCTATGAAGAAGGGGGCCATTTTTTTTATTTTATTATGTTTTATTTTATTTGTGTTACTTTATTATTTACCTTCTACTTGACTTTACCGAAAGAACCAAGAATAAGGGGGCCATTGCTCGAAACGTTACCTATTTTTTTTTATTTCTCTGCTATTGACGAATGCGTTGGGGTTTTTTGTAGAATGTGCTCGTGCACAACTGTCGTCGCAATTTCACCAGATAATGTGGTGAGCAGCGCTGCGGTGATTCATAGCGGACGCTTAGCGTTGTCGTCGCTGCTTGGGGTTAATGGGAATTAATGATGGCACTGTAATTGAGTGGCGCAAGACGCCTGCTTGGCACATTAATGTTTCCACACCGGTTCGATGTGGATGCTTGGCACCAACGATTCTTTTGAGATTGTTGCATGCTCCAGTTACAAAATATGAGTTGTAAAAATTGCTTTCTACCTTTGATATAAACTGTCTCCCCTGTTAAAGATTACATGAACGTAAATTCATAGCACCTCAATTTAACTTGGCAGCCCGCTCTTTTTCATTGACCGAATTCGTACATTTCAGCAATCTGCTAATTGGCACTGGTGCGCGTGTGTGTGTGTGTGTGTGGCATGCGTGCGTTGCGTGGGTCACGTGTTGGTGGTGTATGGCTGGTGTATTGCTTGGGTCGCATGTGCGGTGCGTGGGTCGTGTGACGCATGGGTCATGCGTGGACTGGATTGTGTGTGCGGTGCGGGTCGGGCGTGCGGTGCGTGCGGCCTGCCTGTGCGTCGGTGTGTGTGGTATGCAGCTGCGGAAGATGCTGGGCGAGAAGGTGCACAACACGACACGCGTGGAGAAGCACGTCCTGGAGCTTTGGGACCGCCTTTACCAGTCTTGGTTCATGCACGTGTGTGTTTGTGTGCACTAGTGCTGCCGAGGTGCATGCCTGTGCCCCTGTGGCCCGTGGCTGCCGGCATTCCACACGTACATCTTGCACTGTGTGCCTGCCAACTTAGCCGCCGTTATACACGGACATTATCACGTAGTGCCTGTGCATTAAATGACTCCGTGTTGCTTATTGTTAATCACAGTCTCCTGCAAGCCTCCCTTGCACCTCAAAGTTGTGTTAAACTGAATAACCCCCTCTTATAATAAGTAAGGTCGTTGTGAAATTGTCATTAAATATTAATTCGTACAGTTTAATAATGTATCATCCGTTACAACTTTTGAGAGTTATTGTGCCAACGGGCGACTCTGAATCCTTTAAACTCACACATTTTGTGTTGAACTCAATTTCGTTAAGATCGCATTGGACCCTTTATCATCACGATCCATGGGCAGATAGCCCGTAGGCGTTCACTGCACGTTCGTAATTTGGGGACCCTTCATCAGATGATTTAAAAAGGTGGTGGTATTGGTCTGCGGACCATACTCAAGCTACACTCCTCCAAGACTAGACAAGCTGCTGTTGAGCTCAAATAGAAGCAGAGGGTCTCACACAAAGCCTGTGTGTGAGGCCTTGTGCCAAGCGGCCAGCAACAAACTGCACTCTTGAAGGTGTAGAAGATAAGAATTGATACATTTCTGAAATTCAACAAGGTTCTAACAACTTGGGTGAAAGGTGACGTTGGGATGGAATTCCAGAGTGGAGATTGGGTGGCTCTCTCGTGTGGTCAAATCCATAATTGGCGGGAAAAAATAGTGACGGAAAAATAGTGCGGGCTGGAAAATCATAAGTTTCGAACAATACACAAATATTTGTATAAAAGCACTCACCCTTTGTGTATTATGCAAAAACCATCAGCAGTTCCTGAAGAACTGGATTGTGCGTCTCTTGTTTCAGGTCACCATGAAAATCCCCAAAAATAAATAAATATACATTTTGATGGTGGACTTGCACTGCTGCCTGTCAGTCGGTCACATTCACACAACATTTATTTTGAATTTGACTAAAGACAAGAGGACCAGAATACAGTTCTTCAGGAACGGCCAGGGCTCTTTTTTTTTGTTGTTGCATTCCACACAAATGCCGAGTTCTCTCTCGTGTGCTGCAGAACGGGACGGCGCTGGGCCGGAGTGGGAGCCGTGCGGAGAGGGCCCCCCTGGGGCGGCAAACGTCGTGGATCATGGACGTGCTCGACTGGCAGGACGTGGCCTCCTTTGTGCAGGAGAACATCTCCGTTTTCCTCTCGGTGAACCTCACAATGGGTCTTCTTTGCTAAATTTCCACGCTTTCTTGGCAAACTCTGTCATTAACAAAAAAAAACTCTGTAATTGCAAATTCCCCTTCCTCATTGCACGTTGAAGTGTTCACAGGTTTATGATGAAGGGCCATTGCCCAAAACGTTGCCCGTTTATATATATATTTTTCCCTTGTAAGACCACAGTGCATTTTTGCTCAATGTGTTTTTTTTGTCACAAGTCAATGCAGTATCACTGTCATGGAAATGCTTTTGGCATTATGTGCCTCGAAGGCAGGATCGTTTTCGTTACGTGAATGTCACGCTATGTAAAGTGAGGGTTATGACCCCTATCATCAGTGTTTACTTGTTTCAAATCTGATTTGGTTTTCTTCAAAAAAATCACTTAGAGGTGAAAGGCACACAGTGTTACATTTTCCAAGGTTGACCAAATATGTGTCCACGAAGTTTTGTATTTGACCACCAGACACTGCGTCGGAGAGATTCACACACGGGTGTTTAATAAAACAGTTGCTCTGCACGGTGGCCTGCTTGAGCTGCAGCATCGTATCGAATCTAGCTGCAGTACAAGTACGTCAATTCCTCGTTTAACGCAGCAGATGCGTTCCTGAAAAGTGCCCCGTTAAGTGAGGAATTTCTGCATATACACTACAGGGCATAAATAAATGAAAACAATACAAATTTGAATCACCTTCGCTCAATAAAATCAGCCTGCAGTCATCGCATGGCGGGACAAAGAACTGTGATCAGAGTACACCGACGCGTACTGTAGCATTCCATGCGTGTACCCAGAATTCCCATACCGCTCAGTCGCTCAGAAACCGCTTTATAATGGGCGCCCAAATAGAAGAACTGCGTCATTGCAAAAACGTGTTGTGTGAACACGCGTTAAGAGAGTACCTGCTGTATATCGTAGGATGCCAGGAAGAATCTTGATTTGAAGCTTTTTTCTGTGGTTGTCTCACCTGATGACGGTTCCTTGTGTTGCCATCGAAACGTCGTGACCTATTAATTTTCTATCTACGTGACTTTACCGAAATAACCAAAGAGTATTGATGCCAGGAAGATTGACATGACCCCTGCCAAGGTTCAGTTCGATTCTGTGGCTGCTCTTAGATCCTGGAGTCGCTGTGGGTGGTGATGATCCACAACGTGACTCTGCTGGTCTCCATGGCCACCACGCTCCTCACGCTGCTGTTCTATGGGGGCACGGCCATTCTCAACTTTGTCCTGTCCACGGTAGGAGAGAGCACGACAAGATAATGCGTACGTTTCATTCCAGACGTTGCACCCATAAGGAAGACTGCCTCTTTGTTTAAATGCCTTCAAATGCGCTCACTCACTTTTTCTTTCACGTAATAAAAGATTTAATCGAACGCTAAAGTCGGACAGTAGTCGTATGGCGATAGGAGTATTGTCCTAAGTTGGTGTTCTGTTAACAATATGAGAACACGCAAAAGGCCGAGCACATGACTTTAAAATAGCAATAAGCTTAAGCCATTGTAACCCTGTGCACTGTTTATTTGGTAATAGAAACCACCCACCAGAGAAATCCCTGCACTTAACGGTCGTCTTGCCTGACAGGTAATCTTCCTGACTACCCTTTTCTACCTGCTGAGCTCCAGCAATGAGTACTACAAGCCTGTCAAGTGGCTCATCAGCCTGGCCCCTCTCTCGCACAGTGGTCTGTCTAGCCACCTCATCGGGCGTACCGTGGAAGACTCCATCAGGTGACTCGAGCACGGTTTTAGCTTTTCAGTTTTGTTTACTCTCATTAAGCCATGCATATTGTCTACACTGCATTGTTGTCCCACGCTTTTATGTGGTCTGCAATCGCATCCTTACTCACGTTGATATCTCAGAAGGCCCCTTAATTCTTGGACTCTAATGATGTACTGCAGCAGAGGCACAGTGTAAGTAATATTTGGTGAAGAGGAAAACATTGCCATCTCATTACTGTGCGATTATAACGGTTTAGGAAAATCCTCAGGCTTCAAACTGTTCCCCTGACCAAACTGTTCCCCTGACCAACCTGTTCCCCTGACCAAACTGTTCCCCTGACCAACCTGTTCCCCTGACCAAACTGTTCCCCTGACCAAACTGTTCCCCTGACCAAACTGTTCCCCTGACCAAACTGTTCCCCTGACCAACCTGTTCCCCTGACCAAACTGTTCCCCTGACCAAACTGTTCCCCTGACCAAACTGTTCCCCTGACCAAACTGTTCCCCTGACCAAACTGTTCCCCTGGCCAAACTGTTCCCCTGACCAAACTGTTCCCCTGACCAAACTGTTCTCCTGACCAAACTGTTCCCGATTTAGCTGCAGAGAGACGAATGCGTTCTAAACGGTGTCGTCTTTTCACAGGGGCGTGTTTGATGCCTCTTTAAAAATGGCATCCTTTTACGGGCTCTACACCTGGCTGACGCACACCATCTTCAGCATTAATGTGGTCTACATCCCTGCAGGTGAATTCCCTCGCGCCCTTACGTCGGCGGTAAATGGGTTTCTGGCTTGGAAAATTGTCAGACGTGCGGTCGCAGCTGCGCGCATGGTTGACAGGCCTGATGGAATGACCAGCTGCCAGGCATTCACTTCACGACTTGGCCAAATCTTTCTTGGCCTGACATTTCTTCCAACTCTCCGCATCGGCTGCATTTGCTGTATTTTTTTTGTCGTTAGCCGCTGTGTATATCGTGAGCCGCATTTCCTATCTATTGCCTGTTCTCTCATCCATTTTAACCTCCTAGAAGGCAAATACATTATATTATTAATACAACTTGCATACATTATTAATGTTTGAATGTTACTTCGTGGTATAAAATGTGCTCGGTGCGCGTGTACCTAGATTTATATTATTTTGAAGCCAATATAGTAACATGGCCGATTCCTCTTTTGCAAGCGGGATCATTTTTGCAGGTGCCTTCGATACTTTCCTCCGATATCATATATTTCCTTATTTCAATACATGTTGGTATCATAGTCGGAGAGTAAAGGCGGTCCTAATTTAATTGTAGATTACACGATAAATTGTGATATAAGTAAAATAGTTATTTAAGATACACCGCGTGTGGCATATTATTTGACCACACCGTTGCCTAGCGGTGATAATTCCCAGAACGCTCCGGAGTGGTTCAGCACAGACATTTCTGACTTTGGCGAACGCGTTTTGCCAGGCGTTGAACCTTTTTGCCGAGAAGGTAGCGAGCCGTCCTCTGTGCTACGAAACAAAAACCGTTGTTGACGCTCAACCCAGGCATCGTTTCCAAAGTTCATGCCAATCCCTGTGACCTTTTTTTCGTTACCACCCACCCTTCCCAGAATAGCTCCTCAGCAGTTGTAACATAACAGTTACGATCATGCCACCTACTTGGGGCTGCGCCTGTTTGCTTTTGCTCAGGAGTAGCTTCAAGCCTAAAAATGCCAATAACCAAATCCTGTAATGCTCGTTAGTGGTAGAGTGCGTTTACACAATAGGCACTTGATGCACTGATTCTATTATGACCGGAGGATGCCTCCGTGATGACTGAACAACTAATGGAGTTACACAGGAAGGGTCGCTTATTAATCTGAGGAATTAACCTTATAAGAGGCATTGCCTGATTGTAATGAGTCAATGTTTGTCCTGCTGATTTGATAAAGGCCTAATAAAGAGGAAGTAATATTGTTCCATATAGGTGGTAGCCATGTGTGTCCTCGCATGCTGATGTGCGAGCTTAGGTTTCTGTTTTTAGACATACACTGGGCATGTGCACGCATCCTAATAGTGTGTGCGCACGGTACCGTTACGTACGTGCTGTGTCGCATGTGCCAGCGTACGTGCGCCCTCATGTGTGTCCCCCCCCCCCCCCCCCCCCACCACTGTATTCCTGTAGCGATAGCGGCGTGCCTGGGTGCGGTGCCGTTCCTGGGAACGTACTGGGCGGCCCTGCCGGGCGTGCTGGAGCTGTGGCTGGCGCAGGGCGCCCACGGACAGGCGCTGCTGCTGCTCACTTGCCACATCCTGCCCACGTACTTCGTCGACACGGCCATCTACTCCGACATCTCAGGGTGGGCTGCCGTACTGCCACGCTCCCACCAAAGAACCCACATCTCGTGCGCATCTCTGCATTGCGAACGAGATTAGGCCATCAAGGAGCTAGAGACGTTTTAGAATTCGCTCGTCGAGTATAGTGTCAGATAAAGGTGGTGGTGCAAATGCTTAGCGCATCGCACTACGAACCTTGCTGATCTAAGTTCAATTTCAGGGCACAGCTAACATTGGAAAGCGATGTGAGCTAGTACTCGGTCTGCTCTACACCAGCCTGCACTGACTAAAGCGGTGAAGCATTGTTGAACAAACTCCTCTGACCAGCATGGCGTAGTAGGGAGGCCTTCATCCAGTCGTGCATTCATATAGGGCTGTAAACTATTGTTATTATCGAGTATATTGTTCTTATATATCAATGTAAATTATTAATTGGGTTTACCCTTTTCCATGTTTAGATTGCACAGTAAATAGAATTGCACAGCAATAAAAAAATATTGTAATGTACATGTCTGACATTTTTAAATGATAGCCTACGATATGGAAACGTCTTTGAATATTCCCTACAGCCCCCTCGGTTGTGGTTTGACCTGATAACCTCTATGTTCTTTGAATGCTAAAGCAAAAATCAGTTCCCACACTTGAAAGCAAATATGTGTTGCGGTAGCCCATTATTCTTAGAGTGCACAATGAATTCCACGAGAGTTCTACTATATAAAACCCTTGACTATTTATTAGCAAAACTCAAAATGGAAGCATTCAGCAGCTCTTCATTTCTCTTTCGCAATTCAATTTCCGCACCTCTGATTATCACGGTTGGCTACGTACAGTTCAAAATAAGTTCAACATACTTACATATGACTCTCAATACAAACCGTGCATCTTTTGATAAGACACGAGGGATCTATTTAGTATTTTGCTGGCCTTAACTCTTTCCCGTTCCGATACATCTGCAAGTTGCAGGGTGGGTCCCGTTTACCTCTGAATCCCGGGGTGCGTAAGCGGCTCGGTGTTAATTTTATTTAGAGAGGGGTAGCGCCCGTTGTTTTTATAGACATTTTACTCACCGTAGCGACACGACCGCACTCTATGATAGCTGGTGCCAAACTGTGCCACATGTCCTTCCGCATAACCTTGTGGGAGCCTCGATACCGTTGAAGTTCTTTTATTTTTTCTTCCGATTTAGGAACGTAATCGGAAGAAAAACCGATGACGTACACACGTACGTCGTCGGAAAGGGTTCATCGTGCGTTTGTGGTGGTGCAGAGGCGGCCACCCGTACCTGACGGGGCTGGCGGTGGCTGGCGGCGTCTACTACCTGGGCCTGGAGGGCGCCATCGTGGGCCCCATCTTGCTGTGCACCCTCGTCGTAGCCGTCAACATCTACAGCGCCATGCTGGCGAGCCCCAGCACGCCGCTCTACACGCCAACGGGCTCCTCGCACATGCACTTCTTCAGACGGTGGGCACCGGCGCCGCTGTGCGTCGGCCGTGCTGTCAAGCTCGCGGCAACTTTGCGCTTGCTGCTCGTGTATGCGCTCGCTTGGACATAACCGTGGCGACGGTGTGGTTATGAGAGCGCTTTGGACCCTCTCTTTACTGGCTATGAAGAAGGGCCATTTCTGGAAACGTCACCTATGTATATATATATTTTTTTGTTCATTTAAGGGCCAGTGTTATTGCAGGATGTGTTGGTGCTTTTTGCTATTTTGTGCTTGTGCACCACTGCCGACGCAGAATCACAACGTCATTTGTTTCGGTTTTCAATAGGGATGTTGAGGGGCATAAGGAGCTGTAGGGGGCATCGCATCCCATGTTGGTGCGGATGATTTTAGTTGAGTTGCCACTGTTTTACAGGGTGAGGGTATGCATGATGACATTTTTTTGCCGCATATGCAAGTTTTTCTTTTTGCCATGTTTATTGATGATTGCTTATTTTTATAGATTTCCATTGCTAATGCTACAGCCATTAATTTTTATAGAATGTGATGAGTTTTAATTAGCAATTAGCCCAAGGTTGTATGTGCCTAGTAATGTTTAAAAGTTTAATAAACAAATATAGTAACTGAAATATTAATTGAGCGTAAAATGTGTTGCATATTAATTTAAATAATTATCAAACCCATTTTTATGCATACTGCACGATTCGTTTTTTAAGTGTCTTGACATGTCTGTTTTATCTGGTTAAATTTTCCAGGTACATGTCTGAGTGCCTGGACCAGGACTGAGGGAGTCGGCTCGCTGCTGCTACTGGTTTTGCAAACTCTCTTTCGTCAAGGCCGAGGATGATGCACACGCTGGTTTTTTTTTTAAACGGTGAGCACTGGTGGATGCCAACTCACTGCTGCTCCCATCAGCAAACTCCCGGCATTTGGACGCTACTGCTGCTGCCACCTGCAGTCGGCGCTGGGTAAAGGTCAGAGTCTTTTTCTCACGAGGGGGAGCGGCGACTCATCTTCCAAGACGGCGAGAGAAGGAGCACTACCCCTGAGCTCGGCGTCACATGACACACAGGCACCCCACCACACCCCCCACCGTGATATTGGCGCGTGACTGAACGTGACGATTTCTGCGTGAACTTTGCAAGCGGCTGTTGCCGGGCTGCTATGTTGTTCGTTGCACTTCTTTGGTATTGTGGACGCGTTCAGTCGCGTAACAGGTGGCGGCTGTGGCCGGGAACGCCATTGCGCCGGGATGTTTGTAAAGCACTTGTTACGGAAGCTAGGGATGCGCACAGCACTGTGGACTTTACGAGGAAATGCATGAATACATACACACACCGGCCTGCTTGGAGCCAAAATCGCTCGTCTCCTGTGCCTTTGGTTCGCCATGTGAGCGCAACGGGAATTTGTAGGTTAGTGTCCTGCATTTAGGCTTGTGGTGAGCAGCACAATTTTGGTGCAACCCCATAATTTTGGGGGCATTTGATGTACAGTAATTATATTTTCCTGGCTGGGCCGAGACGATCGCTTTACCCTCACAATGAAGACTGGATGAAGACGAGAGACCTGGCGTCAGATCCCAGTAGCTCTGAGGCATAGCATCGGTGTCCAGGAACACTGTGGTACTCCGGTGTATGGTCCCAAGGCCACTTGCAATGCTCTTTTCGTGCGGATGCGCTTGTATGTTTTAAATCGCTGTTATAATTTATCATTATTTAAAATTGCATTGAAGTGAAAGTTTTCGGTAAGAAATTGCGTGCAATTGAAATGGCTTCAACGTTTCCATGCTACTTCATATAGTCGTGCAATATTGAAATTAATAAAATCTTCTTGCAATCGTTGCTTTTAAATCATGTTTCTTTATGCCAATGTTTTTCGGTGTTGTTGCTGTAGTGTTCACGGTGAGTACTTCCTTTGCATGATGAGTTTATGGTAAAACCCGTGTCACCGTGGAGCTCATGTAACCACCCTGCAGGTTTGGTTTCGTTGCCCATGACGAGCACGTCTGAAAATGTGCACGGGGGTCTTTTCACGTGTTTTGCCGACATGTAGGCCCATTCAGAATTAAATTGACAATTTTTACTGCTGAGTGTTCCAGACTTTTACGTCCTAAATACAGAAGCTTAAGCGAGGCATGTTTCGATCAAGTGAAAAAAATAATGTTGCATCAAAGTTTTACTCCCTGATAATAAGTTGTTAAACAAAAATGACGTGTGTATATATACATTTTGTCACGTGATTAATGTGGTTTTCCATTCCCCATTGATCACCTTCGCACGGCACGTTGGTTCACTTCAGGTTGCCGTGTTTGAACAAGCACCCTGGGAAGGTAGCTGGCTGTGTGTGTACATGCACACTTGTTGAACTGGGTATTTTTGTAAACCGGTGTGTGTATTTCCTGATGGTGTGTGGTAAGCCGTTGTGAAACGGCCCTTTTGCGAGTTCATCCAGCAGATAGCGATATGTTTGTGTTATCGGCGTGTCGCGTCTTCCCCCCCCCCCCCAGCACAATGTTCCATGCGGCTCAGTTAATGTTTGCTTCTGGTTAAACAGATGAAACCCGCTTTGGCGTGTTTGTACCGACAGTCAGCTCTATTCAGTTCCTGTTGCTCGCCCTGCACACCCGCATGTGTGAGCATGCTGCAGCCAGCAACTCACTAAACAAGCATCACATGGCCAGCATCTCCACTGCACGGCAATCTTAAAAACACTACTACTGCCAAAATCGTGCATTTTACGTAAAACAAATGTCCTCCCTGGGCTGCTGGTCTCCTGTAATGAAGGAACTGCATGTACTGCTGCTGCTGCATCGCAGCGTTGATGGTCGATGAATGTGCGGTTTTATTGTTGCATGATTATCACGGTGTTGCCAGACTGAAGTGCGACCTAACGAACGGCAGAAGGCTGGTGAAATTATCTATATGGGCACGTACTGTATGCTCCTGTAAACTACTGTGTTTTGGGCGTGTATGCGTGTCTTGTGTGCATATAATGTTACACACTGTGGTGGCAGTTTACTGCTATTAGTGTTCACTGAATATTAACGGATTTGGTGGCCAGTGTGATGCTTTCCTGGGGGCTTTGTCGCGTCCGTTAGACGTTCCGCCAAAAAAACGGGGTTTTTTTCAAGATGAAGTAGTGATGAATAAAGCAGTTGGAAGTGAAAACAAAAACCAGTTTCCCTGGATGTTTACAAAACAGCAGGCAAGGAAAGCGTGCTGTTATCTCGGCCCAAATGTGCAGGGTGACGCCGATCGAGCGGATCTTCAACAAGCGTTCTCGTGCCCGCAAATTCCACGACGCCGTTTCGTATTTGCGCGCTTTTGAATAACTACCCCCCCCCCCACCCCAAAAAAAAAAACAGATCGCGTGTTTGGCGAGTGAGAGGAGGGCGGAGAGTGTGTGCAGGTCGAGCCTTGTTTACGAGCGATCGGCACCGAGATCGAGCGAGTGTGCGAGACGTCCCTGCAGGGGATGCATCTTACACCCCCACCCCACCACCTTCGGATCGCACCTCGCTACCGCTGGTGACCGCGCGTTGCCACAGGGGTCACGAAACCGAGCCGTGGCACCCGCTCGTGATGGAGCTGGGTTCAAATCCCGGTAGCCAGCCGTAAATAAATTCTATGTAAGCCAATTTCATTGAGCTATTATCACCTGTGGCCAGGTCGCTTCTTAAAAATAGCTCGGTGGGCTTTACCTGGTAAAATTAAATATAGTTTAGTTTTCTTTGTATTTTTTTCGTGATTTGCTTACCTTTCTTATACTCTGCACTCCTATCGTGTTTTTCTTTTGTTTGTTTGTTTTAACGGTTTGACCCACCCTGACTGGACATCTGTGAAAACTGGCATTAAAGCTCATCCGATTCCTCCAGTGTAAATACATATTCTGATTAAACCGGGCTCTCGACTGTAAGCAAGGACGCCATTGAGGGCACATTAATCATCACGATTAAGTTTGCACTTGGAATAAATACCGTGGCTGTATCTAACATTGGTTTGACTGCCGTCTTGAGGAATATTTCTCTGGCAGGGGCATGCAAGGAAATGCGCCCCCCTAATGCGGATAGCAGTCGTTTGAAGGGGATTTCAGAGGCGTTTCTGTGATGTCTCCTTCCGTGGGCCGTTCTATACGCCCACGGTTAAACCGCTCTGCCAAATTTCCGGATGGACACTTTGTCACTTGACATAACGCCGACAGCACGGTTTGCATAAAGTTAGGGAAATGCGAAAGAATGCTCCTGTTACTCTCGCTGTCGCCTTGCTTGAGTCACCTCACTTTGCATCGCAGTGCGTATACTGAAGCCCTGCTACAATGCGTGGGTGTGTAGTTAGTCTTGCGTCGTTGGATGTGCCATCAGTTGCCTTTGGTGTTGGGATTTTTAGCCCCTAGCTGGTGACGAACAGGCTGTGCATAAAGTGTGAAGTTGTTTTTGGTGGTCACATGATATCACCGCTTTTCGTGAAATGTTTCAGCGTGTTGTTATAAAGTAGACGGTGCATTAGACCTATCAGTCAATCAGATTCACAACCAGGTGAAAACCCAGCGGTGTTTATTGTTACTTCAGGAACCTCATGCATGCGATTCATTATTCACGGGATATTTTTTTTCCCCTTTCGCCATGGAAAATGCTGCAGTGGCTTGCGTCAAACTTTACGGCCAAACGATAAGCCCAACTAGTGGTAGTCGGACGGGCGATAGCTTTTGCCCTGTAGTGATCGTTGTTGTGAAAAAATAAATAGCTTCGGTTTATAAACACTTCTCAAAGGACCTTTTAATCCTTTTTTGCGGCTTGATGAGTGGTGCCCCTGGCGTTCCCTGGGGAGAGGAGGGCGCAGTGGTGGCTGGAGTGGGGTCAGCGGCTGGCTTGCGCTGGTGCCAGATTCTTATCTAGCGTGGGTGTGCGTGCAAGCACCCCCCCCACCCCCCCGTACATCACTCATCCAGGCCGGAGGGGGAGGGGGACCGACAACCCCCAGCAGCAGAAGCAGCCCTTGAGCGCAGGGCTGGCTAATCCACCGAGCTGTATATTTTTGTTGCCAGGATTTATTTTAACTGGATGTATTTAAACTGCCAGAAAATGACTGTTAAGGAAGACGAGTGGCGCTGTTGCGTTTGTCGAGTTACTTAATTTTTTTTTCATTATCGTGTAAATGCGTGCATTTTTGTGATAAACATCGCATTATAGACGCAAGATGGCGAGAAAAGCAGTGATATTTTTTTTTGTAATTAGAAAACCGTACCTAAGTTTGCTTGTCGATTATAAATCCCACGGCAGGACTGGGTCCCTCCAGGGGCGATGGGCCTCGGTGCAGTTGCACGGCCTGCGCACGATAACTACACCCACCACTGATTCGCTCACTGGGTAACAATCTCTACGAACATTTGAACCTTTTTGTGAATGTCATGATTCATGAAACCCAGTATGTAATTTGTAGATTTCTGGTTACGGTCATGTTGCAACCAAAGCGCAGGGCAGTTCTGAGTAATCAGAGTCGTTAGTGGAGGTTAACTTTTGTCTCCTGAATATATATCTGGAACAAGTCGGTACCCACACTGTTATGTTTGGAGTTGCCTTTTTAATGAAAACAGCAAAGGTCATGGAGCCCACGGTGAATGGGTTACCTGGGTGGGTGGAGCAACACTCCAGTCAAACCTGCTCTGTTGAATAGCGGTCAACAATGGGGCTTAACGATGTAACGATCGTGTTTATGTAGCCACCATAAACGTTCAGAACACGTATGATGCGTACAATTATACATTCTTTGGGGACCGCAGTGGGAACGCATTTTAAAGCGAGAAGTTACCTTTGGCCATGTGTTTGCTTTATCTTGCCAATTTTATGAGAAGTGAGCTGATCAGAACAAAACATGGCGAGATTGGTCCACAGTTCTGTAAACTTTCTCCAACAAATCGTGCTGGTGAACGCAACTCTGGAAAGCTACTTTGCCGATAGACAAAGACATGTTTTGCTTTTATGCGAAGCTGTGGATATGCTCACAGCGGCGACGCGGTGGCGAGATGTTAACTCCCTCGCCTGGTACACACGAGGTCGTGGGTTCGATCCCGATCCCGACCCTGACGCCTGCTGTATATTTGGAGTTTTCGGTGCCTCTCTCCCCGTGGTCGCGTGGATTTTTCTTCGGGTCCTTCGGATTTTGCCTCCATATTTAGAAACGTGCGTTTAGAGTATTTGGCTGCTATACATTTAAACATAAGCCACTTCGTTGAGCTATCATTTGTGGCCAGGTCGCTTCTGACAAAAGAGCTAGATAGCTCAGTGGGCCTTACCTGGTGAAATAACGTTTTCAGTTATATTTTTTCATTATTTTGTTTATTTCCGCCATTTCAGCAGGGGCCTCGGTCGTGTATTTTTGTGGAGCACACCAGCGCGCGCTTCATTTTCAGCATTTAAATTGTATTAGCAATAAATAGTTTGTGTTTATTTGGTTAATTGTAAGCTGGCCGTGTTTTTGTAAACCAAGTAATTACATTTGTGGGGGTGATTTTGTTTACTCTGGCACACAGGAAAATGATGGCTTGTTCCACATAGGCTTCATTCAGTACCGGTACTGAAAGACGCGCATAGAAATGGTTGAAGACGCAGTGCAACAGAGAGTTAAGGGAGGTAATTATCTTCACAAAGGGTTGTAGATTATTGGAGCAGCCAGCCCTGTCAGTGCTGCGGAGGCAGGATCCGCTCATTTAAAACTCATTTGCATTCTTAGCACAGGATTTGTCCTGGGCTCGCACTCAGCTGGAGTGAGTAAAGCTTCGACTGAATAAGGGTGAAAATAACAGAATGCTTGTGTACGTAACAATTCATCAACTACACAAGTGGCCATAAAAAAGCAACCCTTATGCAATAGGGAGACTTTTTTTTTCTAGCCTGATTTTGCGAGAGTGACAAACAGCCCCATCCCATCCGTCAGGAGGCCTGGGCCCCAAGGGCGGTAACGGCAACAGCAAAAAAAACCGTGCCAGAGACAGCAGCAATTAGCTACAGCCAAGGTTGGGGGAGATTTTACTAGCTCAGATCCCAACAACCTCGTCCCACCAGCCCCCTCCCTGGAGACAGTGCTGATGTGATCTGCCCTTTTTCCCTGCACGCCTTGGTGATCAGCTTTCCCGTCTCCGTCCTCCCTATCCTCCCTGTTGGATATTTAGTATGGTATCTTGAGTGAACTTTTGGGATGGGTCCTGTCTTACACTCCCACATGATTGTGCAGGGGTGCTGGGCATAACTTGTTTAGACTGCACATGCCAAACTCTGAACTTGCAACAAAGTATTGATGTCTGAAACGTAGCAGTTTAATTGACAGATTTGTTGGATTTTGCTTACACAAGCCCTGCTTAAAAAACTTACACAGTGCAAACCGCCTCGCGTGCACTTTGTAAGTTTTTAAGTTTTCCTTGAACGTTCATCATTGCCACTCATCAACCTTCAACAAACATCAGCATCATCATCTCTCAACCATTATCTTGCATTGCATATGAATCGCCGTCCATCTTCAACCCACCACCATCAACATTGATCAACCATCATCCGACATGCTTCATCGTCCGTCGTCAAGCACCATTTATAATTGCCCAGCATTCGTCAGTCATCAAATGCCATTCATGCACCCACGCATGCACAGTGCCGGCTCGGTTACGTTAAACTTCGCCAACGCCTACGACGTCTCTGATGCTACCAAAGTGGAGTGACGTGGACAGCAATTTTGCCCTGCCTAAAAAAGCCCTCAGCCTTGACGTATCGCGTCCTGTTGTCGTGCTGCATGCCCGGAGACCCAGCAAATGGGGGGCAGGGGGGGGCTCGCGTTGCCTGTCGCAAGGGGTTTCCCATCGTAGGGTCATGTCGTCGCATCACGTCGCTCACTGCCACTTGGTTCCCACCGCGCTCCGCTGCAAACCGTCTGATCTCGTCGCACTCCACTGTAAAACGTGTGCCCACATCCACGCTGCTCTCTCAACGAAAGACGCGTGGGGAAAACAGGCAGCAGCAGCAGAAGCAGCAGCAGCAACAACCTCGCCGAGCCAAACCGTGAGAGTGTGGGGGCTGACGCCCTCCTCCTTCTCATTCCCCTTCCTCCTCGGCCACTTCTCGCCGGGGCTCCCGCGCCGATCGGATGATCGGCCCCCTGGCACCAGCGCCCTCTCTGAGGGACACGGCTAAGTGGCTGGATCACCACCGCCCGGAGTTATCCCACACACACTCCCCACGTACATCACCACCACCACTAATGCGGCGGTGGCTGCGTGCACGCGCGTGCCCGTGCAGGCGCACGTCGCCGACCACGGCTAGCGCTAAAAATAGCCATGTGAATATGCACCCGCCCCTCGCCCCTCCTGTGGGTCGGCCTTAATCCGCTGTGCAAACACTCACGCGAGTGCGAGCGCGCGTAAACAATGACGGCAAATTGGTTTAAAGTCACCCCTCCCTCGCCCTACTAATAGCACGGCAACGCTGCACGGACACGGTAGCCGTTAGTGAATTACTACCCGCGTGCCTCACACACACACACACACGCTCGAATTACACACCACGCCGACACTCTCCCCCCACACACAGAATTCACACTACACCGAACTTCTGAACTGAAGTTTATGAATGGCGCGTCTATAGCAAACCCTGTACGACCCGGAGTAAATAGTCGGCGAGCAGCGCCTAGCCTATCCCTATTCAATCCCTGGGTGCACTCTCACCCTTCTTCTCACCTCGCAGACGCACCCACGGTGTCGCACGGACGCGGTGGGAGTCGGAGGGACGAGGATACGAGAGGTCTCTGCCTGGGGTCGAGTTGTAGCAGCACTCGCCAGCGTCCCTTGGACTCTAAGAGCGGCTGGGAGTCGGACCGGGCAGCTGAACTGCTGGAGGAGAACTACTCAACGTTTTCCCCCTCCCTCCTTTTATGCCCTCGGAATCCAAAGATCCAGGGTCACGTGGTGTTATCCTGCGCGGCCAATCGGGCGCCTACCTTTCGATGTTAAGCCTCGCCCCTACCTGGAGCGCTGCTTCCCATTCCGCCTCGATCCATTGTCTACGCCCCAGGCCTCCCACCCCGTCCCGCGGCATATGCAGCTGCAGTCAGTCCAGGAATTTCCCTCCCACCTCCTCTTATGCGCTGCTCGCTGAGTGTTTGCCCTCGAGGCCCTATCTCTCTGTGCTGTGAGTGTCTCATTGCGGTTCGCCGGGTGAGCTTCGTCGTGCCCATTCAATTTAAAGTCAATTCACGAGGGCCGCAATGCAATTTGGCCTGGGGGGGGGGGGGGTCGGCCAATCTCCTGGCACTGGGAAACCGTGGGACATCCCCACTAGGGGCTCCTCGTGTAAAAACCCAGGGAACCAGGTGACCCCCCCCCCCCCCCCAAGAGACCCTACGTGGGTGCGTGTGTGTTTAGTGGGGGTGTGCGTGTGTTTAGTGGGGGTGCGTGTGTGTGTTTAGTGGGGGTGCGTGTGTGTGTTTAGTGGGGGTGCGTGTGTGTGTTTAGTGAGGGTGTGCGTGTGTTCGTGTGGAGGGGTGCGAGGGGATGGCAGCGCCGGCGGAGTTGCTCTGTTGCTGTGGCACCACAACAGCACCGCTCGTCGTGTTAACGTAACACCAATAAATTACGCGCACAAAAAGGTTGGTGCAAATTCCCACATGTCACACGCGCAGGAAAAAAAATACATTTGATTGGATGGCATTTGAAATGCACGCTTCAATCGTGGTGGCAGCGCTGTTGATTACAAACTAGCTTTTTTGCCCATCCAAGGATGGGTGAAAATTGCAGTAAATCCGAAATATTCATTAGAAAAATTGTTCAGCTCATGCTTATTAATGAGGGGAGTGACGTCACCCGCTAATGGTTATTGGGGAGGGGTGCAGCATGTGGAGTGACGTCGCCCCCTCATGGTTATTGCAGAGGGGTGCGGCATGTGGAGTGACGTCACACGCTCATGATTATTAATGAGGGGAGGGGTGCGGCATGTGGAGTGCGCGACCTTGAGCGTTCGTGTAAATTTCCATGCGTGCATGAATATTAATGAAGGGGGGGGGGCTCTTTTGCAGTGACGTCACGCACGGATGTCGCACTGTACTGCGTAGATTTATTTTTTACCGTCACTTTCTGTAAAGAAACGTCATATTTGAAGCGACTTTACGAACTAAATGATTAAATTCAGCTCGACCTTCCTCTGCGTTAGTATAAAAATCCAACCACTCATGAATATTAATGAGGGGGTGTGGTGGGCCTCATATGGAGTAACGTCACGTGCGGGACACACACACATTCTTGGCTCATATTAGTATACTAGATTTACTAACCGACTTTGCCCGGGACTTGGATCCACCACGCTCGACCGCCTTTGTCTCCCCAGTGGCGATGTTCACACACCACACCAGTTACTCGTTTAGAGGCTGAGTCGACCTAGGGGAGGCCCAGGACCGGTAAAAATAAGCGTCACCGGTGGTGGTCGTGAGCGGGAATCGAACTCGAGTCGCCGGGTTCGTAGCGCAGCGTAGCGCTAACCACTACACTACAATGCGTTACGCTTTCACATGCGCGGGTCACATGACAGATTTGACGTCACAGCTCACTTGCCATGCAAAGAAAATACGATTTATTGAGCTCCCCCCCCCCCCCAAAAAAAGTTTATTTTTTATAATTTTTGCATGGTGTACAGTCTGGAAAATACCCACATGGCAAATTTCAAGTTTGTTGCATGTCGGGAAGTACGCTAAACATTTTGAACAGAAACACATCATCACAACTTTGCCTTTTATATATGTAGATAATACGTGATGAAGAGTCGGTGGCTGACACGTGCTCACAAATCGTCGCCTTGGCGTGGTGCGAGTATCCACGACGGTCCGAGGTCAAGAGAAAATTGTCCCAGCCATGTGACTGGACATGCCATCATTAGCCTAGGACCACCAATGGAGATGAGCACTTTCCAGCGATCGACGCGTAATAATCAGTCTACAAACCCAATGTAAACCAAACACAACATGCAGACGGCACCACCATTTGAAAGTTGTGCAAACAATTAAATATATATATTTACACCACACGGAAGGTTGCAAGTAATGTTTACACGTAAAAAAAAAGAATAGCGACATGCACACATTGTAACATCCGTACAATTATAATCCCTCGAAATATATTTATAGCAGCTGCTGCCGCAGTGCCTGCATGATTGGGATCTATAAACGTTCACTGACGATTGGACAGAGGCTTGTGCGCGATTGTTTTGTCATTAGTTGATGTTCCGTGGTTGTTGCTGTGGGTGCCCATTGTGAACGTCTCTCCCGGTGTGCGCCTCACAAGAGGCCCTGATGAGCACTCTGCTCGAGTGGCGGTGCCATGGCGAGGCAAATTGCCACCTCGAGATACGGCGTCTTGAAACAGTGGCGGCTGATTGCTTGGGGAGGTCTTGTCATAGCGATAGAGCACAGCGCGCTGGCCTGGTTCTACAGCGTTCCATAATCTCAACATGCAGGACGAGGACGTTATGTATAATAATACTGTAATGTCAATGGCATTTATTTACAGAGAGAACAGCCTCGCCGAATATGGCTCTTCTTTTCAGGAGGGTCCTGCACTGGGATGTTTGCCCAAACTTCGTAGAAGCAAATAAAAAAATGTTTTAGCTTAGTATGAGATGAAACTGGATTCCTCGGAGGAAACCCACTAAGAATACTAGAGAACAACACTGTTCATCATCAGGCGTGAATAATCCACTGCTGGATGAAGACTCAACCCCTCCCGCCCCAAGCCTTTCGCACAGATGGGTTCACGAATCAAATTGCTGTCGCAGCCCATGGGGGTTCAGGAGCTGTACACACCTGTATGAGTCACCAAGCGCTGAACGCCACAATAAATAAGCAGAAAACGTCTCATGCTTCTGTCCCTGCACATAAATAATAAAAGCACTTTACGCTTATATTTGTGTGCACGAACCCCCAAAGCGCTGTTCGATGTTGCCCATACGTTCGTACGCGCGCTCACCTGTGCCTGAGCTGTTGTCTATTTTCAACAGACGGGTCTACCTGGACCAGCCTGGGTTCACCTCTCCCCACGTCCCCGTCAGCTTTGATCTACCCCAAACCCCAAATCCCCTTCCTCACGTGCCCGTGCCTCCTCTCTCGCACCCTGTCCTCCGCCCTTCTCCCCCGTGCGTGCGAGCTTCACATCAGATTGCAGGGCGTTTGCTCATGGAGAAGGGATGGCCGTGTGTGTGTGTCATGCGTGTTTGGGGAGCAGTAGAGAAACGGTTTACGGGCTGCGCTCCGAAACCTGCGATCCGAGTTCGATTCCCGCTCACGGCCAACACCCAGTGACGATTATCTGAACCGGCCATGGGCCTCTCCTAGGTCGACTCGGCCTCAAACGAGTGCCTCGTGCTGCGTGTAAACATCGTCACTTTGGGTATAAAGGCGGCCGGGCGTGGCGCTGGCCACCCACTCCCTCGTGCACCGTGGCCGGCCTTTATAGGTGCTCGCTAAAAGCACTTGCCCCAACGGTCTTGTAATTCTGTACGGGGGATGTTTGTGTCTCTCTTGTCATGCGTGTGCGGTGTGCGAGGGAACGTGGGGTGCCCCGGGGCGAGGGTGGGTGCGTGTCTGCCGTACACGGGGGAGACAGGCTCCAGAGATAAAGTGTGAGTGACAGAGTGAGTAGCGGATACCTGGGGCTGTGGTCTGTTGTAGGGGGCAGTGGGAGTAGCGGTTCTCGTCGGTGTGTGTGTTCCAGTGGGGGCTTGGCGAGGAGTGTGTTGGGTGAGCTGTTAGGTGAGTAGTCGACAGGGCATGTAGGTGGTTGGGGGGGGGGGAGTTACTGTGCTGTGTTGTAAAGGGGAGATGGGGGTGGTGTGTGCTGTGGGGTTGTGTTTGTGCTGTGGATGAGTGGGTGGAGCTGTAGTCGGAGGGGGAATTGAGGGGCGGCCCCTTTTGGAGGAGGAGGGAGGAGGAGGGAGGATGAGGGCGTGGGGGAGGCTCGGGTCTGCGGTGGAGCGGAGTTGTGCTTGGCTGTGATGCCACTCGCTGCTGACTTGAGAGACGGAGTGGGGAGAGCGCGGCGTGAAGTCTCCCCTCCATCCCTGCGGAATTGTGCAGCCCGCTGAGCCACGCGGAAGCCAAGTGGGGATGCGGTGCCTCTAATCCAGGTGAGAATCGCGGCTCGCACAGATCTCCCTCCTCCGCTCGGCTCGTCCTGATGTCGTCCACCCCCTGATTTCTGCTCCGCTCTCTACGGCCTCCAATCTCTCTGAGGTTTTCGTCTTGAGTGTCCATACCCCGCTCGCTACTCCGTTGCATTGCCCGAGAGAGATGGTGAGAGTGGGTAGTGGTGGTGGGGTCGGTCTCTCTGGACTGGAGCCAGAGTGAGGTTCCCTGCAGGGACCTGCAGGGAACCTCACGCTGTGGGCTCGCTCACTCATCCTGTTATCCGCGCTTGATCGCGGTTATTCGATGTCGCCGTCGCCAAAAGGAACTACGTGGAGGGTTTTGGTTTCACGCGAACCACATTAAAGCACACGCTTGCGTGAAGGCGTGGACGAGTGCGAGATATGTGCGTGGGTGTGTATCTGTGTGTGTCGTGTGTCGCGGTTAGCCAGCTGCGCTACGAACCCTGCGACCCGTTCGATTCCCATCTCAAACGCGTACCTGGTGCGGTGTGTAAACATCGCCACTGGGGAAACAAAGGCGGCCGGGCGTGCTGTTGGCCACCCACTCCCTCGTTTTTGCCGTGCCGGCCTTTATAGGTGCTCGCTAAAAGCACTTGCCCCAACAGTCTCTTAAAGGCTATACGGGGGATGTTTTATCTTCGTGGTGAATGGTGAAAGATCATCACTGGTGAGTGATCTCTGAACTGCTCCTGTGACTCTCGCCGAGGTACGACTCAGTCTCAAAGGAGTATTTGCGCTGTCTTCTGACTAGTAGCGTTCGGGAGATAAAGGCGGCCGGGCGTGGAACCTCCCTCTCTCCAAACCGTAATACGCGCTCGCTAACAGTCTATAATGGGAAACGTTGAGCGAGGCAATGATCTGTAGAGAGTCGAGGTTGCTCCCAGATGTGTTTACGCATGTTGATATCATTGCCATTCATTATATACTCTCTATAGACATGCATGCAGGGAATTATGCTGACACAAATGGGAACACATTTATCAGGAGAACAACATTTAGATACATGTTGGCTGTTAAGAAAAGCAATTGGGCTCGGGCAAGGCACAGTGTTGGAACAGATGATGGCCAATGGTAAAGACTGGTAACAGTGTGGCAGCCGAAGGCGTGAACATCAGATGCGCAGGAGCGAGATCGATTTTTGGCATTGTAGGATCGTAAGGTGAACGCGGCAACGTGGGAAAGGCATTCGTCCAGTAGTGGACAGACCAAGGGTGATGAGCAGCTGATTAAGAGCCCAAGCAGCACATGCGAAAAAAAGATTCCTCTATGTGGTCCATTGGCTTCCCCAACGTTAAAACAGGTCCCTGCAGGGTGGGCTGGTAGGAACATTGGAATTTTGCGCAATTTTATTTTTACACCCCAACAGCACGAGATTTCACTTCGTTAAAGTATTGAAAGGGGACGGACGGACGGACACATTAATCTATTGCAGGCTGGTACACTCAGTTTACAACTTCGTTCCTACCAGTATAATTGTGCATCTACTGAACTGCCAGAGCAGCCTGTATTTTGTAAAAAAAAAATCTATGAAGCGTCGGCTTAATCAAATCAATAACTTCAGCTAATACTATATCCCCCTTTAAACCCCATCGACAGCTCTGTGAAAATACCATGCATAACATGAATGTGGCCTATCGGCAATGAAACTTTCATCTTATTTCGCGGATCGCCCTGATTTATGAACATTGCGTTATTAACCCGGGAAGGTAACTGCGCTTTTATAATGATCAGTTTGAGCAGATGAAATAATTGCATCCCCTCCTCCTGGAGAGGCCGTCATCCAGCAGTGGATTAATAATGGCTGGCGATGAGTACGAAGTAAGCCTGTTGTGTGGGTGCACAACAAAACCAAGTCGCATGTTGAAAATTCCGAATAACACATAATCCACCATGAAGGCACTCCGTAACGCGGCGTTTTGGAGTCTCAGTCGGGTCTGTCCGTGTCGGCGACCCTGCAAATATTTTCGCGCCCGGCAGAACAACATCCATCATGCACACCTCTCGCTACGGCTGTTATTTTTTTCTTTAATATGCCTTCGATAGCAATTTATTATAATGCGATTTTGTTTTGTATGGAAATAGCTTTTATTGTTCTTGCGATTTAGTCTTTTAGTAATGTTTTATTTTATCTGTACAGCACTCGGAATTGCATCTTTTGCACGAAATAGTGCTATAGAAATAAAAACTGGATTTATTGATACTAATCGCGCGCCTCTTATACGGTACTCCAGTCTATCAAAGACTCGACAATATTGAGTGAGAAATCATTCGGCACTGGGGAATGAATAGACGTATAAAGCACGAGTATTGACGTGAACGGCGCGCGCAGGAATAGATTCGAGGTGACGTCACCTCGGCTCCATGCGAGGAGGAGGAGGAGGATCGTGGCTATAGAGAGAGGAAGGGCAGAGAAGACCGTAAGCATTCCACACGCAGTGGCCCGCAGAGCCGGGAACTAACAATGGGGAAGGAGGGAAGGGAGAGAGGCGGCTCCATTGCGTGTGGGCCACGGTGACTAGGAGGTGTTAACTAGCTCGCCCGGTACGCAGAAGGTCGTGGGTTCGATCCTGACACGACGCATTTGGAGTTTGCACGTTCTTCTCGTGGTCGCGTGGATTTTTTCCTCCGGGTCCTCCGCCTTTTCCCCTCCACATTTAGAACCAACACACACGCGTTTAGAGTATTTGACTGCTGTACATTTCCACACGACCAGCCACTTCGTTGAGCTGTTATTTGTGGGCAGGTCGCTTCTGAAAAAAAGTATTTGAAGCTCAGTGGGACTTACCTGGCTGAATTCAAACAAAATAGTTTAGTTTAGGACATCGGGATCCTGACGATGCATCACGCATCGGTTAATAAGAGACGGATATCGATTGTTTATGCTCACGTAACGTGCATGCATGGAAACTCATGCAAATCATTGTGTGAGAATCAGCGTTTTTAGATTCGTATATGCTGTATGTAATGGGTTCGTGAGATTTGCTGTTCAGCCACTCGACGCTACTTTCTTCGCCACAGTGTGCAACGGATTCGGCGACGGTGTCACTCGACGAAAGCATTCGATGCCACCGTATTCTGTATATGGAAGAAATGCAATTATCCGCGTTGATGTCGGAGGAGCCTATCAATATTTCGCTCGCTGATAACTGGAGTTGTCAAATAATATTTGGTGGAGAACGGTGGCGCAGTGGTTAGCATCATTGTTGAGTGATATCTGAACCGGTTCTGGGACTAAACTTTAGTGGCCCGCATTGACCTGCGTGGTGAAATATGATAAAACAATTCCCATGACCGGTGCGGGTTGTTTTGACAACAGCCGAATGACTAAGCTGATGTAAATGATCAATAATTTATTTAAATATGCCAGGGGAACGTGTGTGTATGTGTGTCTTTAATGCAATGCCGTGTGGTTGCTAAGTGTGGGAAATTATGTGGATCATTGGGCATACACCCTGCTCCCATGTACACAACACGGCCTTGAACATGGAGATAATGTACAGAGTCAAACACAAGCGCTGCCTTTTGATTTAAAGCTTTCGTGACTGCAGGGATTCATATTCTTGGTTCTTTCGGTAAAGTCACGTTGAAGGGAAACAATAAAATAATAAAATATATAAAACAATAAAATTCTCACGACGTTTCGACTGTAACACAAACAGTCACACCTGATGATATACTTTATTATTTTATTGTTTCCCTTCAACGTGACTTTATTGAAAGAACCAAGAATATAAGCGCTGGCTTGTTTAATACATTACTCTGGTTCACAGGTAACGATTCTCCGACGCCTGGTCTAATAAATGCATGAATTAATCTTAAATCCAGGATAGCAATGTTGACCATCCACAGCCAATGGCAATTGGCATTCAACCTACGCTTGACAACAGGGGGCGCGCTGCAGTAACACTATGTAACACGATTTTTGTTCCTGGGTAGTACGTTTTATTTTCGAATTGCTTATGCCTCAAAAGTATAGAAAATGGATATTATTCCCCACAAACTTTGCTTTTGTGACCGGGACTTTATGTGAAGGAATGACACATTCACACGTTTTCTCATTGAAAATAGATACATTAAAAAATATCACTGTCCTGGTCACAAAAGCAAAGTTTGTGGGGAATAATAGCAGCCAGTGTCTATACTTTTGAAGCATAAGCAATTGGAAAATAACACTTACTACCCAGGAACAAAAACACTTTTTTTTAAAAAACTGTTACACAGTATAATCAATCTGAGAGATCTGCAGCCATATGCTTGCATCGAATTTATACTTTCATATTCCAGGACACAATGATAATAATTCCATCTGTATAGCGCCTTTCATAAGAAATCTCAAAGCGCTGTACAGGACACAGCGGCAGCAGCAGACACGCAGCATTAACAGAATTATGTTATAAATACATTTTAAGAATCCATTTGCAACTGCTGTGGCGAGCAACACAAACCAGTGACAAGATTGCTAAAGATATAATTTGTGACGCAAACCAAGTAAAACATGAGTTAATTTCTCGTGGAATATCCTCCGACCCCCACCAAATTCCCAGTGGATATTACCCGGGGCTTAGCTCCGAACAGCTCTGGAATGGCATTGTAAGTCCTGCTTGAAGATGCAACCCAATTTAATAAAAAACAGCTTTTATCTGCTAGCTACACATCGAGGCTGTTTGCCCCAGGCTGACCACACGAGTGTGGCACTTGGTTCACGAGTGAAACATACTCTAAATGCATGTCTGGTGAACTTCTTTCGCACCGTACGTATGCAACCGTGCTAATCGGAGGTGCGGGCTAAACGGGCATTCCTTTAATTTTTTTTTATCAAATGACTGTATTTGGTGAAACTGCGCTGGCAGTGAGTGATGCACAAGCCCAGAGAATGAAACGACTTATTCACAATTCATATACGGCCCGTTTGTTCAATCCACTGCTGGATAAAGAGTTCTTGACCGTTTTTTTCCCCCTGCGTCATAATACGTACATGG